TGCCGCAAACGGCTGTACGGAATGTTTATTAGGCGATTACGAAACACGGCGCGACGTTCCCGCAAACAACCAAAAGATTATACAGTCCAAACGAATAATTTCGGCGCGTGATCGATGTGCTGCGCAGCTTAAGTGGGAGGAGAGCGGAAAAAAAAATCGGTCGAAAGGTCCGGGCTGAGGCACGTACGAGGTCGCGGGAGGTGCAGTCCGGACCGATATGACCCTGTACAGCCGTCGACACGGTCGACCGGCGACATTTCCGTAAAGATCGAGAAACACGATCGATCGTTCAAAAAAAAAAAAAAAAATCGACAGCAAATTTAGGAAGCGAGTACGTCCAGGATCGGCTTGGATTTCGTTCGACTACCGTTTAATCGGTTAGTTAGTATTTTCAGTTCGGTTTGGTTAGGGCGCAGTGATAGTAATTATTTTTGGCATTACTTGTCGCGGAAAATCATAGAAAATTAGTAAATACGTAGGCGCGTGACATTTATATTTAAAAGAGAAGAATTATGTTATTTAATTATAACATACGAGGAAACGTTTTGAAATATTTTTCAAGAATGTGTTATCAAATAAATTTTTTTTTTCCCCCATATATAATAATCTATAATTTAATTTAAAACAAGAAAAAAAAACATTATCGTTCATAATATCAATGGTTTTAGTGTGGTTCATATCATAAATTTTCTCGGATTTTCGAATGAAGCATTTTTCATGAAAAGTAATTTATCTATAAGTTGGTGTATTGAAAAGGTCAAAGGTTTTTTTAATTTTCCCAGTATTTTTCTTTATAGATGGAGTAAAACGGGAAAATTTGACGGCTAATATAACCTTTTCGTTGTTTTCGATTTCGTTTATGAATGTTTTGTAATTTAGTTAAAAATAATGTAAGAAACTTGAAATGTTTATTTCACCATTATTGCAGTCTTCAGAAGTTATTCAATTTTCAAAAATATTCTAGCGATGTTTGAAATATTTACTATATTATAGTAATTTAACGTTTTCGAGTTGCTTTCTCATAATTATGTTTTATGTGGATGAAATTGTTTCGGCCAAAAATAAGTGCTTGGAAATTTAACACCGAGTTTCATTATATAATGTTAGCGTAACGTAGTAGGTTTTTTTTTTAAAAAGTCATTAAGTACAAATTTTGAAAAAAAATAATAAAAAAATCGTAAAAACTACGACACCTCAACATAGGTGAATTTCTGCGTGCAACCGAATTCCGCTCAGAATAGTATTCTTTTTAAATGTATTTTCGACCATCGATCATAATAATATCGGTGAAAGATTAACGCGCCGAAACGATCCGGGAAAACGATTAAGGAAACCCGAACTGAACAGAGCTAACGGATAGTGAAACGGGATCCGGGCGGCGTTGCAGTATTATTATGAACAGCGTCTCAATTCCACCGATACCGGTCCAATATGCGATATAATATTTGCTCTGTAGATACGTTTCGAATCGAATCCATTGGCCGTGTTACGCGCGAATATAATATTTACATCGAATGAACGTTTTCGAAATTATTCGTGGTCGAGCGGTATTGAGAAAAATTATGCCGCCACAGGGTGCACCAGAAAGCGCAGCTATATGCAATCGAAGTCGTCGTCAAATAGAATAATAATTCGGCCGTAATCTGGATATCGACGGTAAATCGGCGATCTTATAAAGTGTCCGAGCAAAAGTATTTAAATATTATTTATTCACTATTTTTGAACAGACAAGCCCAGGTCAGACAGCGAAGAAATGTTTGTCAAAAAACACGATATTACAATCTCAACGAAAAGAGTGCGTTTATAAACACACAGCGACTCTGTATGAAACGTAACTTTTTAACATTGGCCCTTTTTATAACATAACTAGCCGACCCGATAATGCTGAACTATCTAGCAAGAGCTAGATAATCACTTAAATCATAATGATAATAATAATAGTTTTCTTGTCTGCGACAGTTAAATTGTTATTCTTGCCACCGAGGTAACCATGAGTAAAAAATTAATTAACGAATAAAAAAAATTTGATATTCGTACGAAAAATATCTAGAAATTCTTATTTTAACCAATTAGGGGTTGAATTTAAAAAAAAAATAAATATTTTCATAGCAGATGCCTACGTCATGTTATATTATTTACAGAGATTTAAGAAATATATGTATAGTTTTTAAGTTTTGTGAAAAACGTGGCACCAGATCCGATGCCGTTGCTTATTTCGTCAGTCTGGTGCCGGGCTTGTTTTAGGCCCGGTCGTTGATAAAAAAATTAAAAATAAAATCGGCCTCCGGCGAGCACGCGGATTTATTTTTAATTTTAAGCCGACGAAATTTTAATTTCGACTCGCCAAACTTTTATCGCGGACCACTGCGCGTCGTCGTGCTGCGGACAGGTACACAATAATATTCTAATGCATAATAGGATTGCGGACGGCGGCCACGGACGACTCTTGAATGGAAATACTTTTAACAAGTATTCCGAACGAATAAATAAAAAAAAAAAAGGAAAAGAAAGAGCGTTCGAACAATATAATATTCGTATATATTATTATATAGGTGTAACGCGCATTCCGGCCGCGCCACTATGAATATTATTTCGAATAGTTATTCGAATACTTTTAGAATGCGGGCCCGGGGACGTTGTTCGGATTCTTTCGTCGTACCGTGGTACGCCACGAGAGCAGATGACAATATATACACATAAAAGAGAAGCGTCGGTCGACGAGACGCGGTTTCCACTCGAATATTTTAATATTCATTATTCGTCAAGACGATAATATATCAATGGTGTATTGTTAAAACTGCGTATACCGCTAAAAATCGAAAAATACGTTTTTTCGGTATCGAAAAAAAAAAATCAGAAAAATCACGATCGTAAACCGATAAAAGGGCGTATTTAAATACAGAAAGTTAAGTGGGTAACGTCGGCTAAAAGTTATCCAGTCGCAATTTTCAAATATAATTTGAGGTGTTAAAAAAGCGTGCACCGCATTTAATGCGTACGGGCACTAGGTACGAGTAATTTGCAAAAAAAAAAAAAAAACACCAAAACACCGTCGATATGACGTAGGTCCTACGGACCCACGACGAGGATATTTTCGTGATTTCGGAAATGTGGGAGAGATCAAAGAGACTGCATCCAGGAAAATGAGGAGATACGGTAGGCTTCATAACCACTACCGTCTCCCATAAGAATTTTTCTCAGAAAATTTTGCTGGATCAACAATGCGTTTCGATTTTTGTTTTAAAATTATGATAACAAACTGTTGCGACAACGCTACAACGATGAATTTCAATTTATGAGTTTCAAAGGCCCTTTGTTTACAATAAAATATAATGTAACCGCGCGATCGGAAAAATAGCATTGAGGCGGGCTGGCTCGTTATTTTAAATACTTTAAGCTTTTGTACAGCAGGATATTAAGACATCATTCATTTGAGTGCTTTAAGTTTTTAATTCCGGTATAACGCTACCGTCGTTTTATCGGAGGCAGTTATATTTGTTGTACGTATACACAAATGGCAGTCATAAACGGAAATATTCAAAACAGCCACAAACTTAAACACGATGAAAGTCTTAAATTTTCCTCTTAATTAAGTTTTAATTAATACACGGGTCCTAAAAAAATAACTGTGATAAACTTTAGCTACGGCAGTTTTTAATTTTGAGAACATAATAATTGAAACACTACGACGTATCACGAGAACACGTATTCATATTCAAAATGTGGTAGTGTCGCAACTGTGCAGCGAACAATTGAAAATTCAATACCGACACGACAATGCGACTCCGAGTTATAATTACGGTACGGAGGTCCATCGTTTCGCGGAGAAAACCGTTGAGGCCCTTCGGACGCCAATACTGTGTGAAAATGCGAAATGTCGGGTCGTGGCCCCGCCCCGTCCTATATGGGTGCGTTGTGTCGGAAACCCGGAAACCCGACGGAGCGAAGCTGTACGGAACACGGACAGGCGGCGAGTTTTCGTAACACGGTTCGGTCGCAAGGCCGACGTCAAACAGAAGGGGAAAATACGAGGATGATATTGTTCTCGCGTGTGTTGTTTAATAACCGTAACTGAACGCTGTTTTATATTTGTAGGTACTAGAAACCGTGAAACGCGGAAACAAACGCCGGCGACCGCCCCCGTACGTTTAGACATTTACGCCGTCTTATTATTGTTATTGTAGGTCCACTCGCGCAACGTTTCCGCTTGCCGGATCTTTTTCACGTCGGACCAGAGTTCGAACTGCTTTGAAGTGACGCGAAATAGCAAAGGGTTCCGCGAAGTCGCGGAGAACAAAGAGAAATGCCCAATTTTTCCGTACGACACGCGGATAACAATTACAGGCTACGGAAAGCTTTACCGGCCCCGGTTTTACTGTGCGGCACTGCGACTCGACACACTTGTGTCGGTTATTCTTTACGTTTCTCGCGTGCCGAATCGCTAATACGTTCGGCGTAAATCGTAGACAATAAACGACCGTTTTAAACGCCGAAAATCGTCAAAAATAGTTTACTCGACAAAATGGCTATTTCGAATATTGCCAAGTGTAGTCAAATTAAAACGACGTGTTAATAAGTTCCTCCGCCTAACGAAAATACAAAACCAAAATACTTTACTAGGATAATGGGTACGACGGGTGCGGCCACTGTTGTTTATTGAGAATCTGGGAACGTGGGATACAGACGGAAATTTAATGTATATCTGTGCGCGACAATTGACCGTTGATAACGATAAAACAATTCTGAGCGGAGTTCGGTCGATAGTGTTGTTTTGTCAACAATTTATAATATATTAAATTGTGTTAAAATAAAATTACGCATACACGTTAAACATTCGCTTTAGCGATATTTGTTTTGTACCGTACCTATTTCGCCGGGTTTACCCGTTTACCGGGAAAACTCCCGGCGAAAACCGGAAAAACGTCCTTGAACCCCGCAGTAAAATTTCTTTTCGGACAACGCGCTACACTCGTAGACCGGGGCGATATTCCCGGTAGACGAAAAAAAAAAATGTTTACGGACAAAAGGAAAACAATAAACGTCACTGTAAAACCGCAAGCTCCGCCGGGTCCGCTCGGCACCTGAAATATCACCGCTGTACACACGAAAATCCCGCCAGACGTTGCTCGCGTCTCGCCGACTCAACGGTAACGGCATTGCGTCGCAGTTCGCGCCGGTCTTATTGTTTTCGTCGGACCGCAATTAATACCGTGTGGCCGTATTACGCCGGAGATCACTGCGGTGCGTTCGACCGCGCGGTTCCGGGGATCCGGGAAAAACAATAACGCGTCCTAAACGGACGAGCGTCGTGCCGGTACGGGGCTCGGGGGGGAGGGGGGGGGAGGGCGCGGGTCCGGAGGAGGGACGTACCGCACGTTCGGTTCCGGTGTCGTTTTCGCCGTTTCCCCCGGGGACAATAGCTACGCGCGCGTTCCGGGAACCGCGCAACCGTTTGCCGGGCGACTGCCGACGCAGACGACGACACGCGGACGCGACACACGTATAGCTGCGGCGGACCCGAGAGCTTTCCGATATCCGTCGCCGGCGCTCCGGGGTCGGGGAGGCGCGTCGAGGGGACCGTGGCGGGACTGCGTTTATTATTGCCGGCGCTGCTCGTTATCCGCCGAACCACTCGCGCGTGCGAGAAACGAACGCAAATAAAAATAACCGTGTCGGAGGGCGCGACGCGACAACGAGGCGCGGGCGTGTGCGTATACCCGTGTACACGTACGCACGGCGTGTACAATATACGGATTGAATTAAGAATCGCGAGTACGCGGAGCGAAACTGTAGGTGCATAACGTACGTATACATATATACGTATTATACGTACGGTATAAAGGTGTGTGACGGCAGACAAAAGGCTCGGCGCTGCCGAACGACGAGTAGACCGAGAGACGCACAGTGAGAGAAACCGTACAAAGCGCGAATACGCTAAAGATAAGTCAAACAGAGATAAGGAAAGGAAAAGAAAAAAAAAAAGAAAAGAAACACGGACGAGCGGCGGAGCTCCGTCGGTGTATTCGATTCCCCTCTGCCCCTCCAGCGGCCCGTCACGCGTTATACGGCAACGTTCCTCGCGGAACGTTAAAACGCCGGCGAGTGTGACGCCGGAGTATCGTGCCGTCTCGCAAGCGAAAACTACGCGAATCCGAGAAAAAAATAAAACAATAAATAAATCGTAATTTTCGGACAGAACCGCATTTCTTTGATCGACGCGCCCGAACGAGTGGCGCGCTGAACGTTTTCCGTACTTGAGGCGGGACGAACAAAACTCGGACCGATCGCCGGATCGAAACACGGGTTTTTCACGCGATTTCGGCAACGACTTTGTTCGGCTGCATTGACTACACGATACAACACTGTCGTATTCCGGAGTAGATACTCGCGCGTTGAAATAATAAAATCTGACGATACTGAACGCGTCCCTGGCCTCCGAACCGGTCGGTCTTAATCGACGTTCGACGCGTCCGGTCGGCCGACTTTCCGCCCATTTCGGTCACGAGGCGATTTCCTCAGAAGAAAAAAAAAAAAAAAAACACCTATTTCGGCACGTCACCGGTACGTAATGCTGAGCTACAAAACTGATTTCGACGTGGTGCGTTTTCACTATACGTGTAAACGCCGCGTATATGTTGACGCACATGCGACATTTTCGCTGTGGACCCGTTAAAAATCATAATTTATGGCGTGTATTGGAGATTATGGTTTTGTCTAGCGTATAGTTTTGTTTTAATACCGATATATACTACAATAATGTAATACTACTTCGAAAACACTGTGAAATCCGAGCGTTTAGACGAGGTAGGCGCGGAACATCAAAATCGAAACCCTTCAAAAGACGCATCTTTGATACCCCACCGTTTTCCGTCCCTCGGCTTAGTTGAAAGTGTGTTCAAAGCCGAGAATCACCGTTTTCCCGCAACGACACGGGGAGGTGAAATCCAACCCGATTTCAAACACATCGATCCGCCTATAAACCAACACCCGCAATAACCGGGGGGATAGAGTTTTCCGGCCGCGCGTCCCGTAATCCACGATATATTAATGATAATTTGCATGGAAGTGTGCAGTGAAACGCGTTCCAACGAACACTTAAGTATTGTTACTACCGCAACTATAAATAACCGCGTGCAAAACAAAACCGCGAATTGTACAGTAAAAACTCGTATGTACGTCATAACAATCGCAATGCGTAAAATCCGCGTACATTGTTCGCGAAGAAAATGTCAAAATACAATAACTTTAAACGTTTCCTGAGCCACAGGGTTTTTTTTCGGCGCAAATCGTACATAGAAAAAAAAAATTCTTTTAAAAAAATTTTAAAAAATTTATATTAAAATACGTACATACAATTCGTGTAACAATGTCGGAATACGAAATTTCAAACGTTTTACACATTTTCGCATTTGCACGTCAATGAATTTCGAAAATCGTATGCTAGAACGCCGTACGCAAGTATAATAATATTGCGCTTGACGACATTAAAAATATGTACGCATAATAATAATTCTGTTTCGCATATTTTGAATTCGGTCGAGTCTTTTTTTTTTTACGAGTTTGTCGAGCACGCAAATCCTTTTCCGCCGCACTCTGAGTCTCTCTACAATATTTACCATCACAGACGTTATTCCTTTACCCTTATCCCATAATATTTTTCCGGAAAAACCCTTGTATCAATATATTTATACATCCATAGAGGCGTATAGGTGGATAGGTACTTCGGCTTTGTGTCAACTTAAGCGTATATATCAACGTTCGCGGTGTATTTAATATTTACTATACATTATGTAGGCAAACGCGTCGAGGACGCCGCGAAACACGTCCTTGCGAACAGAGACGGACGATAAACGAAAATTTCCGGAAATTTTTTTTTTTTTTTTTAAATAAACGGGACCGCTTCGGATTTTAAGTCGTCAGTTTAATTATCAGTTACCGTTAAATGGTAAATCGCTACAAGATGGACGCCCGAAATGATATTGTGCAATAAAATCCAAAGTGTCGTACAGTAAAGTGCAGCTTTCGTTTCAGATACGTCCTGTGTATATATTTATAATATAAACAATACGGTTCAAAAGAACGTATTACACCTGTTTACATTTGCTCGACAGCCATTATTTTCAGACATTTTCAATTTTTTTTTCAAAACCTGTTTTACTGAAATTCGACCGTTTCCCCCCATCTCATACACGAAAATTTGTTTTTACAGTTTCTCACGAATTATCGAACTTTTCAGACTGATACAGTATGAGGATTCATCAAAACTCAAACGACGCAGGAACGACCAAACTCGTATTTCTCCCGCGGATTCCAATATAAGTATGTATAGGTAAATCTCCGTGCATCGTATTACAATAATAGCGGTGGTGGATTTTCATCATTTTTGTCAGGAGAGAGACGAGATCTTGAAATATAATACGTTTTTCAATAAGGCATTGTTTTCAAAAAAATTCCCGTTTTTTAGACGACGCTTTATTGAAATTAAACCGTTTTCGAGGGTGAGAATAAATAGAGTGTCCAGAACCCTTGTAACGCTCCGCCGCACACTCACTTGTGAATCCGACACTGGATAGGACATCTCGTGTTTTCCCCGAAATAACAACTGCACAGTTTTACTAAAATAGAATATTTTATGAAAACATGTAAATTTTGTGATAAATATGTATACATTTTTCGTTACTCCGTCGATAATACCGTTAAAGTGCACACTTAACATTATACAAAAACACTTGTTCGGTCGTGTTGGTAAATTCCGGGGAAAAAAAAAAAAACTTATAGTTTCGCTACAGTAATCGCGTATTATTTATTGCCCATAAAACTGCAGTTATAATAAAAGAGGCGAAATATCGGGGTTTTTTTTTCTTTTTTAATGATGTGTGCTTATAGGTACACGCAACATGAAGAGAATTCTCAGCCGTACTCGTGAATAATCCAAAGGTTTTTTTCTTATGTCCTTGTATTATTCAACTCACGTCATGGTATTATCGTTTATTGAATTGTGAACCGTATAACAGCTACAGTTTGGCTTGATAAAAAAAAAAAAAATGCTCGGTGAACGATTTGAAAATACTGAAAACGATCTATTTTATATTTTTGAAGAGATTCGTAACGGTTTTCATATAAAAGACCGCGCGTTTTCGTAGTTTCGACAAGTAGTTTTCCTTACGCGTTGAAATTGTGCAGTCGTTCAAAAACGATTAAGTAGTTTTTATTTCTAAACGATGATGTGCTGAACGTTATATCCGGAATAATAATAATAACAAGAAGAAGAATGATAGGAAAAACGCATCGTCCGGCCGTCCGAAATATTGCCCTCTTTAAATTTTATAACAAGTGGTTTTTCTCTAAAAACAGATAAAATAAAGCGAGTTTTACGCAGTCTGCGTAAACGAAGTAGAGATTTCGCTACGTCGGCCGTCAGTTGAACCCAGGGACAGCACGTCGTCATGCGGACAGTATAGCGTCCTCCTAATGAATTTCGATTAAAGCCGCGTGGAGAGCGGATCGTTTACAGCGGTCAACGGATTAAACTGGTTATGAAGGTACCTACCAAAAAAAAGCGCATTGCCCGTTTGTAAATTCGAATTTTTTTTTTCGAGGGTGGGGGAGGGAAGGGGCGATAGACAAAACGTGAAAAATGTTTCATCCCCCCCGCTCCACGAACATGACCGAATCACGCCGCACAAAACCCGGGGAAATTTCGGAATTCGAGCGCGCGTCCTGTCCGCGTTTGACGACTCTCGCGCGGGTATGGTGCACCCACTCTCGCCCACGACGGCGGCGGCGGCTCGTCCGCGTTCCGCAAAGCGCGTCGGGATTTTTTTATTATTATTTATTTGTTTTTTTTTTTATGACTAATCGAATATTATTACAACAACGCACCCTGTACAACGCAGGTAATCCCGTTCGGTTGCGGCCGCGTACGCGCGGACGCAAAAACGATTGCAGCCCAACCGCGGCTTGTGTTATTACCACGGGCACACGCGCGCAATAATAATTTATTGCAGTGATATTTTAACCGAGTCAAATCACACCGCGTTACTCAGTGTCGCGTAATTGTCGTGTTTTGCCGGACGTACATAATAAATGTCAGTAACGGTGGTTCGTTTTTTTGTTTTTTTTTTTTTTTTTTATCGCACGTCATTGCGACGCGCGGTCCGCCGCCGCGGAATACAGCGCGCGCACGTATCCTGCCGCACTCTAAAATATGTGCCCGCGCGCGAGTGTTACGATCTATCTGATTACGATTATTGTCGCGCTAACCGTTCGCCGATCGGCGCGATACCGTTGGCCGGACATCGAGCAGCAATGATTTCAACGATAACTATCGGGCACGATAACGCGCGCACCGTGTGCGTAAACGCGATTTCCCGCGACGACATTATCGTTACGTCGCTCGCGCGTGCATAACGTGCGGCGGCGCACGCCGTTGGGACCCGTCGCACGGCGTCCAGCCCGAAACGGCGTGGGGACGACGGATGGGCGGGCGGCGAAGGACCCGCCGAAAATCCTGCCGCGCGCGGCATACGGCGCGACGCGATGATAACGCGCGATACAACACCGACGACGTCCAGCTGCGGATCCCCGGGGAGCGGTTGGGGGCAGACGCGATAATGGCGGCCTTTCGCTCCCGAATACCTATACGCCGTGTACTACTCCGAGCTCGGTTTTCGTCGTGAACCCGCGCCTTGGATACATTTTCAAAACCTCTCCTCCGCACCCACGCCCCCTGGTTGTTTAGTTCCCGATCGGCTTTCCGTAAATTATATTTAGGTTTTTTTCTTTTGTTTTTTTTAAAAAAAAAAAAAAATGCCAATACTGCTGCTTGATGTCACTTGTGCACGCACCAAGTGTCGGGAAGGTAGGATACGTAAAAAAAGTGATTTTAATCGTTGTCGGTAGCGCGTAACGATAAACCGTATAGCGACACTGTTCTGAGCAGAGACACGGATACGCGTTATGGAATAAATCGTTTGAATATTAAGATTTTCATCCCGAGATTTCTCGTTGTAACGCGATTAACACAATTGACTACACCGTTCGCGCGGTGAAACCAATACGTTTCTGGCTGCCCTCGGAGTCTAAAAAAATAACTGACAAAATAATGTACGTCTCGCGTCGTAGAGCCATTCGAATGGCGAGGTCGAATGTCGGTTTTTCGATTCAAACATAACCACGCGCGGTCATGCGAAAAGTCCGGGCGAAACGCAATACGATACATTATTTATTTAATCTTTAATAAACGGTTTTACACGGAACACGTATCAGTTTACGGGGGAATTGCTAAACCTCAATAGAATTGCCGATTAAAAAATAATATAAATACACAATTAATTAACAAGAACGAAGGAACTCGATGTAAAACGCGATAAATTATTAATGATTATTTGTCACAAATCGAATTAGTTAGAGTGTGCCCGTCGACCGGTCGACGAATCGTCCGATCAATTGGATTACACGAAAATAATTCGTTTCGTAACGCTTCGATTTCCACAATTTTCATCGGTATTCTGTGATTAAAACACTTACGAAAGCAAACAAAAAAAAAAAAAAAAAAACATAAAACTACTACCACATTAACTTGCAATACTTATCTGAAATGAAATAGCGGTAAATACCGAAATGTTTTTTTTATAGCGCTTAATTATTACTGTATTATTCGGGAAAATATTTACGAGCCATTTTTTTTTTTTTTTTTTTTTCCCGTTTAATGCATTATATTATAACAAAACACCAAACGATTGTGTTAGTATTTCCACTTAGCGTATCGTTAAACAATACCTGCGAAAGAACACCACATTAAAACTCGCGCTGAACAATTATTGTATAATTATAATAATAATTGACCTAGTTAAAAAATTAAACGCGCGATTAATATCAAAACTACTCGGGCTACGGACTTAATCAAGAAACGAAATTTTCACCGCGGAAAAAGAATAACTCGCGCTCGCTGGTCAACGCTGGTTTTATTTTCAAAATCTCGAATAACTTATTTCGTAACGGCGATATCGGAACACCAAAACCAATATTGCACAGTGTAAGTTTTTTTCGTGTAAACATATACGTTTAAAGTAGTACAATTCGGAATGCATATAAACGGATATCGTTTTCCGAAATTTGTTCGTTGAGCAACACCCTCCTCTCCTATCATTAATATCATCACTCGGGTTATAACGATAATTTAACACCCTCGCAATGTCCTGCGGATTACGGCAACGGATGCTCGTTAGCATATTTATTTGATAAGGACTTGATTTCGGGGGCTCGGCCGAGTTTCGATGGAGCTAAACCGAAAACCCTAAGCCCTAAGTTCCTCATACTCGCGCCAATGGGTTTCGACTAGAAATTTACCGAGCAACCGATTTCATGTCGTGCGCCGTACAGATTATGAGTATACAATTATGATAATAATATACTCAGTTTATGCAATTTAAAACCCGCCTGATTTTAAAACATAATATTTCACAGTAGCTTTGGTTATTATTTCGCGTTTCGCATAATATTATTATTATGATTATGAATTTAAATCGCATATTTTACGAGAATACGGAACGCGAGGAATTCACGAACTCGCTAAAAATTATCCGTCGGAAGATTATCACTTAAAGTTTAAGCGTAACGTTTTCGATAGGGCGATCTAAAATGAAAGGCGGGTGCATATTTATTTATTATAATATAGTAATATTAAAGGTAATTTTAATTAAAAAATCGCAGCGCTTATGCACAAAGGAAATTTAAAATACAATATATATATATATATACATAAATTATTCAGATTAATATTATACCACGGTAGCGCGACGGGAAACGGGGGAAAAAACAACGGTACATTAACCGAAGATGAAAGACATCTTAAACGTTATAGACTTTTTACAAAAATGGCTAATAAAATAATATATTTTAAAGAAGAGAGAGACAGAGAGAGAGAAATCGAATATTCTTTAAAATAATAGCGTTCGTTTAAACAGTTGTAAAATTGGAGTTTATACACTTTTAAAAAATGTACATTCACAATATTATCATACGTATATAAATATAGTAATGTAGTTTCGCGTAGAGAAGAATTCGTTCGGAGAACAAAAAAGGAAAATCGATTTTTCCACTGGGATTGTCACGGATTTGAGTTTCCGGAAAATCTATAAGGAGTGTACTGTACTTCTCTTTAACACATTTTGAAAAAAAAAACTTCTCAGTTCACTGTACCAGAAAAACGTTTATATTCTGTCTCGGAAATAATGTTGAGGGTGAAGGAAGGAAGGAGAGGGGGTAGAAGGGGTAGAATCGGTGTTTGACATCCAAACTGATACACTCGTATATATGCATCTTGCAGCAGAAATTCGTATTCAGCATCATTTCGAATACGCAACAATTAAATGCTATAATTATAATAATGATAATATTTAAACCCGCGATGTAATATCGCGACTCGCGTTTTAGAGCGAATTTTACCGGATACCGAACGTTTGTTTCGAACATAACGAGTGCGAATTTTAATAGAAAAAAAAAAAAAAAAAAGTTAAAAAGCCGAAACACTATATCGGAGAGAGATAAAAACGGCGGCGCGGCGGGCCGTATAAAGTCAAATTTCAAACAGATCGCACTAGGAAAACGCTGAGCGTACGCGCGAAGCGAGAACACCGTTTTCAGTCGTCTCTCATTTTCTATTATGCGATAAAAAAAAAAAAAAAAAAAAGTATTTTCCGCGGACGTCTAGTGGTCGTGGCGGTGGCGGCGAGGATGAGGGTAATTCCCGCCTCCCGTCCCCTGGGTTTTTAATTGCGTCGTCTTAAACGCGCGGTTGACTAAAAGTCGTCTTTTATTTTGTATTTTTTAATTACTTTTGTCCCCTCTCCCTCCCCCACCCGTGGAAAAAAAGTCCGCGTACGCCCGCCTATACGACGGTCGTTTGAGTCCACACAGAGGCTGAACTTTTGACGGTGCCGAGCCGGAGCCGGTTCGTCACAGCCGACGTGCACGGCGTTCGTGTCGTTTCGCGTTCGCGTGACCGAATCACATAAACGGGAGTGTACGGGAGGGGAAGGCGCCCGTATAATTAGGTTGATAATTTATTTGGCGTTAAATATTATTAACGACGGGCGTACCGCCGCCGGCGCCGAAACGGACAAAACGGAACGGCGTTCAAATTTCGGACGCGAAAAGAAAATCCTACCGCGATGCGAAAACTAAAGTCGCATAATTAGTGTCCGGGTTCCAATGCGAAATTCGTTCGTTCCCGGACGTACCGCGATGAGACGGTGCCCTTCAAGTAAGTGCATCGTTCGGTTCGTTAGGAACTGCAGTTACTTCAAAAGTGAACATTTTATTTGCAATTTGTTTGCGTTTTCCGTTGTTTGCCCATTTCGTTAGCGTCGAGTGCATATACATATCCACTTGAAACTGTGTATACTCTGTGTTAAACGAATTAGTAGTTTCAATTTCGGCGATTAGAAAACAATCATCTTGAGAAATATAATTTTCGCGAAATTCGATTTGTTGGGTTAAGTTGATTTAATTGATATTCTTCAATAATATAGAATTTCGATCGATATTTTTATGGTTTTTATATCTTATCTCTATTAACGACTGTAGTGTCCCAACCGACATAACAAAATAACAGCAACAAAATTGAAATTTTTCTTTTTGCATTCATCATTGTTTTTTTCATTTATAGCGCAGATATAAGCATTTTTTACTTTTAACTTACCAGCCTTTTTTTTTTTTCAGCACAACATTGCGAGGCATTCTTGTAAATATAAAATAAATGAAATTCCAACTACTGAATAATTTTTTAATAATTTCCGACTAGAGATTAATATTAAATCAGAAATGAGAAACTATCGTTTTTGTTTTTCGACTTGGGTATCAGATATTTAAATTGCCGATTCCAAAGTGTAATTATCGAGTTTGGAGTGAGGCGCTGGGGATGCAAAATAACGTGCGTCTAATGAGCCGTACGAAAAAAACAAAGAGACGGCGTGGTTTGTTTTTCTAGACGCTTTTGTCACAGGTACTATACACGGTGATAAAAATCAATACTTTTCGAAATATTCGTCGTAGCCACTGAAATGTGGAATCACCTTGCGTACGACAAAATATACTATTATTATTATTATTATTATTGTCCTCGCAGTAATAAGTTTCTACAAAACGATAGCATCGAAAACGGTTTTTTTAATATTTTGTTTCTTGTTTTTTTTTTTTTTTTTTTTTTTTTTTTTTTTTTTTTTGACGTTGTCCTCCAAACGGGTTGAATTTAAATCGAGGATAACCGTGTGTATCGGACAAACGCGTCTTTACTATAAGTCTATAAATATACCGGTAGTAATGGCTTTTCGGGCTCCGGTCTGCCGCGACTACGTCGCCGTCTCCGATAAGTCTTGCACCGGCGTTTAACGCGTCGTATAATAATTGCTTCGTTGAAAATATCGAACGACGAACGTCGTGACGGGTATTTTTTTTTCTTTTTTTTTTTACACGTTCGTTTCAGTTTATCCGTCCGCACACGGCGGACGTATTGTTTTAAACGCGTCGCTTTGTATTGCGTGTAATAGGTAATGATATTCCCAATGCGTGTGTAGGTATTACGGCGCGCGATTGGCATTCAGACAACGAATGGCGAGATAAATAAAAAAAAAAAAAAAATAAAAATAATGTATAATATAATATACAACATCTCGAATTCGACGGCCGGAACCGCGAAGACACGTGCGCAGTTTATCCGAAGACGTGTAGCACAATATTTATAAGTATCAAACGCCACCGTCACCGCCGGTGACTCGTAAACGTAATCGAAGGCGAGAGCGGAAAAGTTATCGGAATCGTTTGAAAAACGCTCGGTAAAATATTAGAACACAAATCTCGGCCGTATACGAATTATTCGCATTTTCGTCCGATCCGCGAGACCGAACACGAATAATGATTGCGGCAAGACGATATGCGCACAATATATTGCTATATGAAACGGATACCGCGTAGATTTCATCAGATTTTCCTCTTCCCCTCCCCCCCCCGCCTCCTCGACCTATTCGACAATTTAAATTTTTTTTTTTTTTTCGTTTTATACATGTAACATAAATTTGCACGCCTATCGCTTTAAAAATACATTTCACTAGCTCCCCCCTAACCTTTGTATTTTCTGATAATAACTCTTGAGCTAAAACTGTTGGTTCGTCAGTGAAACGTATATGTGGAAAAATCGTTGAACCGCACTCCACGACATAAAATTATGGACGTTATTGGCGTCATATGGTACAGTTTGTATACTTTTAAAAATAATTTCCTTTTGTCTTCTTCGTAGTATCCGATCGCAAAGTCACATATACGTACATCATATTTCCGACCACTTTTCATTCCGTCCACCGTCAAATCATGTCGGACGGTCCCGAGGGTTTTCGACGCGTTCCCACGTCGTTTTTCACTTCGATCTTGCCGTCTCGTACATGCCCGACCCGAGGGTCTCTTTCCTCTCGGATCTGAAACAATTGTCTGAGTTCGGTGGTTTTTCTTGATTCTCCGTTTTCCCGTAGTTTCGTCCTGACAAGTTCCAATGATTCATCTGGGGATTTTCCTTGAGAATATTTTATATTGTTCGGACTTTCGTAATGTCCACGTCCGTACATCAGCAGTGGAATAAGTGTGCGGCGTGACTGAATCTTTAGATCTTCGAAATTCACTCGATCCAAATAAGCGGTTGTTCCCCGATTATAGCCCCGAAAGCGATACAATTGCAATATTTTTGCCTTTTTTTAAAACGCTATAGCGCAACACACATTCGTTACATAAAATGTATTACGCGTGCGATGATATCAATATTATAGTCGTGTTACTTGTGTTCTGGAACTTGAAATCGTATATCATAATACGTTAGTATCGTTACGATAACGTTCGATAAATATTCTTTTGTCGCATATAATATTACTGCCGTGGCGGAAACCTTTTAAAGTTTTAAACGGATAACTACGCACTTGCCCGCGCATTACTGTTACATTATCCGCAGCCAAAAATCAGATAATCCGTAATTTTTCGAGTTTTCGACGCGCATTCGGTACGCAACTGTGCAGACGCGCGGTCGGCATCGCTTCGTTGCCCACGCGGCGCGGCAACGGAGCTGCGTCACCACGACTCGCGTGTACATACATTTGAAAAATAAAAAATGAAAAAAAAAAAAAACGCTATAAAATTGCTCGCGTTCGGGCGTAGGAACTTTCGTTGTTTTACCGCCAACAGTGCTGCCGGGTATACATTGACGGCACGGGGCGACGCGCTGTGCACCAATAACAATATAATATCCAAGTTATCGGTCCGATATTTTATTTTCCGTTCAAACGACCGGCACGTTATTATACATCGCGCTGGTCTCGGCGTGACGATATTATTATTTAAATTAACGTCTATAACGCGGCCGTACGGCGGCCCGAAGGGGGTCGCAGACACAATAATACTTATGCTCGGCAAAGGCACCGCGAACTTGAAATACTTCCAAGTCCCTTGGACCGGTCGCGCAGTTAAGTGATTTATACGGAATTTTTCCGCGTTCTTGGTTTCGCGATTTGTTTTTTTTTTAGATTTTTATTTTTTTTTTTCGTTTTGTTTTCCTTTATTTCCGCACGTCGTTATTGTATGAACGTATATTATAGGCGACCTCGTATTACCGAACGGCCGCGCGCTCAAAAGCGAATTTACCGAACTACAGTAATTTAACGATCTACCGCGAATACGATTGAAATAAATATCAATGTAATTATAACGTTCGAGAAACGTTGTTTTTTTTTTTTTTTTTTTTTTTTAGATTTTTATTTTTTTTTTTTTTTTCGATGAATTGTGCGAGAAACATTATAGACGTTTGAAATGCCGGGAACAAGCGGTTCTTTTCGCCGTAACGATTGCAACGTTATGACGCAGAAAATATAAAAAGGGACTGAACATTTGAAACGGTACATCGGGTGACGAGAAAAGCAAATTTCCGCTAGAGTTAATTTGTTCGTATCGAATATTGATTTTCTCTTTCAAACCGTACGAACAAATCAACGATTGTTATTAATTTTAATTGAACATTTGGCCGTTGCATACGATAATAATTGTATTACCGTTATGATTAATCTTAAAAAAAACGACGCATTTAATGCCGTTTGACGAGTTTTTTTTTTAATATTTTAAGAAAAGACTATCGGGAATTCAGAAAAATTGTTCAAATAAAGTACCGCCGGGTAAAAAATTCCGTTTCTCTGAACGTGTACCGCGTGAACGTTGGTTCGACGTGGAAATTACGAAGGAAATGCGTGCGGAATAAACGAATATTCAAGTCGAACGGTCAACTCGAGTTTACACAACTGGTCGGTTAATCGTTACGACAGTTCACTTTTACCGTGTACACTCGTGAATTCTTTATCGGCCGACACAAACTCAACCGGGTTAATTCGGTATCGGCGCCATCGTGCGATCGTGCCACCGGCCTTTTCGCCATTGCAGGGCGTGCTGTTGATAATATTATTGTTATTTTCGGCTTTTGAGTCGGCAGCGTTTCAACAGCGTCGTTTTCCTCGGTCCGCGTTTCGAAATATTACGTTTTCGTGCCGTTTATTATTATTATTATTATTATTATTATTTTTATTATTTTTTTTTTTTTTCCGGGCGCGGAAACCTATTAACCGTATAGCTCTTTGGCCGACCCGACTGATACAAATAATAATCACAATAATAATGAAATAGCGCGGTTATTACGTTTTGCTGCGCTTTTTTCCCCCATTCCCCGCGAATTTAATAAATGTCATTTTTTTGTTCGCCTTTTCGGATTATTGTAATGCTTTTTTTATTTTATTATTATTATTATTTTTTTTTCATTAGACTTTATAATATATATTCACACAGGAACGCGGGTGTACACTAGAAATCCGAAATCCGGGCTAATTATAAAAACACCCATCTCCCAAACATATAATAAAAATAAAATTTAACATTTAAATCACCGGAAATTTCCGGAGAGATTACCCATATCTACGCGCGCGTCTTTTTCGAATCGGGCGATTTATTTGGTCCACAATATAGGTTATGATAATATTGCATTTTTTTTTTTTTTATTATTATTATTCTACAATAATGATGCCCTATATTTTTTTATGCGATTTTTTAGTTTTTTTCTCTATTGGTCTAAAACAAAGCTATGCGCGCTATAAATTCAATTGATACTAATTAGAATAAAACACACTCTTTTTAAGTCATTTTTTTTTTTTTACCCGTTTTCTAGACTCTAGCGATGACTATTTAAATTAATAAACAAGCGAGATACAAACGTCTACAGTTACAAACAAATGTCAGTAATCGTAACATAAATGACGCGAATTCGTAGAGTTAGTAAAGAAATTCATATTTCCGGGAGAAGGTTTGGTTATGTCATTTATGTGAACGACATCGTTTATACTTTTTTTATCGCCGAGTACCTATATTATTTTATATTGTGTATAGTAATTGTGTTTCGCGCGTTTTTTACGTGACGGTGATTTTTGACGATGATTCTCCGCCCGAAAGATGGAATAAAAAAGGATAGAAAAAAATTATTATGATATTTCAAACACGATTTTTTAAAGCCCGTTGGATTTGAGAGATGCTCTTTTTCCGCGATCGACAGAACCCGAGAAAATCCGATTTACCGCTAGTCGAAAAATGCGACGGTATTACGACAGTGGTCGTACGGATTATTGTTATTTTTTTTTTCTTTTCACCTCGACACAGCGGGTCGATACGTACTTATTGACGTCACGGTGATTCGAGTGGCCGTAACAGTTGTATATACGGCAGTAAACACGCGAGACACGTATATCCGTGCATTAAAAGTACGTGGATTATGACGCGGAAACATCCGGAGGACAATTTCTTCACCGCTCAAAAACAAACAAAAACAAAATAGCACCGGGACAAGTTATATCTATGACGCGAAAATATAAACGACGCCGTAGCGATTTTTTCGGAAAAAGTATTTCAAACTACTAGCGTTTTATAAAACGGGAAGCTGGGTCGACGGGATTTGCTTTGACCAGGGTCGGAACGTGTAATATACAGTAAATTATAAAAAAAAAAAAAAAAACGCGCAATAAACAAGTATTAAACTATTATAACAAAGTATTTATATTTCCTAGCACACAGAACAACAGCAGCGATCAGGTGCATACAATAGATCGGTTACATTAATTCGTGAGTGTATCTTTATTACAATTTACAGTATTATGAATACATACAGAAAAAGAATTTTGGTTTTTTTTCGTTTCAAATTTTAATTAATTCAATAGGATGGATGCGATTTGTTGTAGTAATCGATTAATTATTTATGTAATGGTTTGGCTTTTATGGCTAGTCGAGAAAGAGGTTTTTTTTTTCAACAAAGTGTTTTTATTTATTTATTTTTTTATTTAGGTATTTCCAGGTCTAACTGAAGTGGATGACAAAAATAACAGTAAAAATTTTAATACGATCATCGTAATACAGTTTTTAAAACACGAATATAATGAAATTGTGCACAAACAATTTGTAAACGAGGTTGATGGATATTCGTTGAAATTCACTAATTATAAATTTCATAGAAAAAAAAAAGAAGGAAACATAATATTTTATAGGCGTTACATATTTTTATAGGTCTTAGTAAATTGATACGTTTGTCCCTGGTTGCATTATCTTCTATTTGATGGAAAAAAATCAAAGTATTACTATCGAATGCAGTTTTATTATAAAGTCCGAAAAGTATCACCGCAACAATATTATCATAAACTCGACTTTGAAATTCAAATGCATTTTGATTTTAGGCGTGTAAAAATTTGATTGTAAAATCCGTTTTACGCGGGCAAAAATTAATTGGGCCGTAAAACTATAGTATTAACAAACCGAATTCGCACCATAAATAGAAGAGTCTGCACCGTGCAACTGAGGATTTTAGCTTTGTTTAGTACCATAAATAATAAAAAATTATTATAGTTGGATAATCTGATAATTTTAAGTTTTTCAACGTGAATTACTATATTTTCGGAACAAAAACTAAATGAAAAACTAATGCCAAAGTGTACAACACTGCGGATTCTCTTTTATCGTGGTTGAAATTTGGTTTATTAATACTAGGTTTTTGTTCACGTGAAACGGGGTGTTTTTTTTTTTTTGTGAAGAAATATATTTATTTTTCGATTTCATAATTCCACAAACCGTACGATAATGATACGGTACTGTTTTGAAATGTGTTTCAGAGTGAATGTAAATATTTTCGAGTTAATCAAATTAGTGCAAATAATTGCATGACCTATCAACTATACATGCACTAAAATTACCAAAATTTGCTATGAAAATATAAAAATAATAATAAAAAAAAAAAACACGTTAAAAATTCTTAAAATATATAAAATATAAAAACGCACCGACACCTTTTGAATATATGCCCGACAAATCTTAAAACCCTAAAATATTTCATAATACAAATTCGTAAAATTTTATAGAACTGTTAGACTGATTGTTGTTTGACCGACCAATGGAAATATGATGTGAAAGCGTACAACAATATTATCCGGCGCACATACTGTATAAATGCGGGATCCTGGAGTGTTTAGCGTTTAAAACAATTCCCTGCGTTTAAAACGTTTCGAACGTTCAAAACTTAAATTAAAATAACTAATACAAGTTTGGAATAGTGGAGGTATTTAATATTAAGTTATTAGTCTCTGTTTATTCTGAAAATATAAATAAAAACTTCAACGGTTACTATATTACTTTTGGATAAAGAAGTAGCGTTTTTTTTTTTTTTTTTTTTTTTTCAATTGCCATTTTGTTTTTAAGAAATAATGAAGATAAGTTAATTATATTTATAATTTAGCGGTATAATATTATAATATTTACAACACAAACAAAACGAAACAACGTTTAAAACATACGAATTTGTTTAAAAGTTAGAAAAAAAAAAAAAAACAATGTAGTTGTATACGAAAAAAAAATAAATTCACGTTTGAAACGAGAAAAAAAAAACTGTTAGTTATTATTTTATAATTATTATTATTATTTTTTTTTTTTCATCGCAACGCCGGACTAATAACACCGTCGCGGTACGCTATTCATTTTTTTCGCAGACCTAATCTCGCGTTTACTCCCGGCTTCGTCGGCGGCGCCCCTAATTATTAACGCGGGCGTACGTCGGCCGGCTAATGGAAAGTGTCGGACAAACTTCCCTCGCGGCGTTGTTATGACCCGGCACGGGCGCACGGAGCGCAACAATAACACGGCGCACCGCGCGCGTGTGCGTGTACACGATAACACGATAAAACCCGTGGGTGCGTTGTTGCAGTAGTTGTACCGGTGACGGTGGTAGTGGCAACAGCAGCGGTAATGGCGGCGGTAGCAGTGGCGGCGGTAGTGGCGGCGGTAGCGGCGGCGGCAGTGGCGGTGGCGGCAGTAGTCGCGGGCTAATAATATATCGTTAAAGTTTCTGTGTACCTACGCGCGGTGCGTTTTCCGTGTCACGCGCGCCGCCGGTCGGCGTTTAATTAAAACCGGCGTTGAACATTTAATGAAGGCCGGCGGACGCGAGGTTCAGACAGTACGGGGGCAGGCGCGGTCATATCGTATTCAATTTACGACGGGTTCTTACGGCGGGTCGGCGGACGGGTCGCGAACCGGCGGCGGGTGAGTGGCGGACGGGGGAGATGTCCGGCGAAGAAAACAAACGAAACGAAAACGGGAAGAATTACGGTCGGAAGCGACGAATTACCGAAAAACCGGATTTGTTTGCGGTCGATTTTCGTGCTACGAACGCGGCGAATCGTGCGCCGGCGTCACAACTACGGGCAGTGCGGTTTTCCGCCGAACGCTCCGGCCGGACGACTAAACGCCCACGCGTGTCGCGAACGCGAATCTCCTCGGACGCGACGAGGTGCGGTCGGGTCCGCACGACCGCCGCGGGGAAAAAAAAACCACGTAATTTTTCCTCCAACCGCTCGGTCGGCCGCGCAACCGCGGCACTAGTTTCGGTAACGGAGAGCCGCACGATTCCGATTGTCCGTTGACGTTGCTTACGGGTCCCGTCGGCCGGGGACAATCGACAAGCGAACAACGTGGCAGCGGCACAGCCGGGACTTTTCCGAAAGCTGCGCGTGTGGACGTCGCGTGTCTGAATTTCAGCGGTTTCCGCGGGAGCCGGGCGTCCGGACGCCCGGAACGCTCCCGCCGTCCGGCCGTCGCGCCGCCGGCCGCGCGGCCGTACCGCTGCGGCTGGCGGCGCGACGGCGTTTGATTATTACGTTGTCGTTGGAACGGAAAAATTATCTACCGTACCGCGCGGCACGTGAGCCTCGGCCGCGCCGCGCGCTGTGGCGAATTACGAGTTTGATTCCGAGTCGTCGCCGTCGCTAATTGAACGCGTCACGCACGCACGTCCGTCGCGCGGATTGCGGGTTTTCCGCGGCGCTGGTTATCGTAACGCCGTCCGCTCGCCGGCCCGGCGACGCCCGTGCCCGTGCCGATTCGACGCCGCCCGTAATTGTTCGCCGACCGTTTCGGAACAGGATTCCGAACGGGAATCCGATCGGAAACCCGGAGTCTCGACGGAATGCGTCCGATTGAACGCGGCGTCTTGAGCCCGGCTGCTCGCGTTTCCCTTCCCTAATGCCGACCGTTGTTTTAATTCGCATTTTTTATCGCGGTCTTTGTTAAACACGTCAATATTATTTCATTCGTTCCGCGGCGGCCGTTGACGAACCGATAAAGAAACGAAAAAACCGTTCGGTTTCCGTACCGGAAACGTCGAAAACCTTGTGTGAGCCCGCCGTCCGGGAGTTCGGAAATCCGGATTCGAGTTGTGCGCGCGCGGGACCGTTCGTCGGGTTCTGATGCAAATGTACCGACCTCCGCGTGCATTCCACCCAGACCGCGGATCGCGCGGCAAACCGATAAACACTTCCGTTCGTCGACATAATATAGCCTACGCGTGGTAGACTGTTCGGAATTGTTTTTTTTTTTTTTTTTTTTAACTCCGATGATTGACCGTTGCTTTCGGTGTGATAAAACTTAAATCAACTTGTACATTCCTACGTTGCCGTGCCGTTCAATACTATCCGCATCTAAAATCTGCAGTGGGGCGTAAACCGCGGCGGTGCGAAATACGTCCGGATTTGATTAAAATGTATTTTGCCCGGCATTAATATTCATTTAATCCTCTTAAAAATGATATAAACACACGAACACGACGTATCAAACGGTATGATACGTTATTATTTCATAGTTGTCAACTAGGTACAGCAGGTATAATGGCCGAAACGCCATCGGTATACGTATATATTTAATTAAACGTGTATTATTATTATTTTGTTTTAATAAAACATTCATTTTTTTTTTTTTTTTTTTTTTTGTGTGTTTTGATTGCCACGCCTAACGGTTTAATTAAAATTTTAAACCTTGTTACGGTCGCACGATTTATTTTCGCAATGACACTATTATACCGAATGAAAACGAAAAAAAAAAAAAAACAAAAAAGATCCAATGGGTGTGCCACTGTTAAAGGTGGAAAGTTGAGAATGCGGGGGATACGTAGAGAGTTACACAATTTATATCTGTAGGCAGCTGTAAATCATTGTTAACGAAAAACGATCCGGAGCGAAATTCGGTTAAATATACTAATATATGCTTTAAAATGCCGCGATATTTACAATATTCAAAATTTGAACTTTATACGCGTGTATTATAAAAAAAAAAAAGAATGCTGAATTGAGATCGATTTTTTAACCTCTATGTTTCGCTATTATGGCGAAACTCGAGTATAACTTTCAAACATTTTCGCCAAGCCAAATCAATTCCGTATGAAAAACTGGAAAATGTCAAATACCTGTAAATAGCTAAAACATATTTATATTTTTTGCCAACCAAATATTTTAACCATGTCTATAAAATGCCGACACAATATTTCGGTTCATATTTCAAGTCTCTGAACATTTTTAACTAAATCACTGCAAAATAAACAAAATTGAAAACAATAAAAGCATTGTTTTCGCAATTTTTTCTGTTTCCCCTACGGTTTTTCCAAATTATTTCCAATTGGAAAATCAAAAAATTTCTTTCCTACTAACTCGGGAAAATTTCCTTGTATAATAAAAAAAAAAATAATAATAAAATTATTGTAAAACCAATACATTCTTCATCAATCTAAAACAATAAAACCGTTAATGTCGTAAACTTTTCCGTTTTTCCTATTTATTTTCACGGTTTTTTCCAATCGAAAAAACTACAATAAAAATAATAAATTGACCTTCCGATCTTATGCACCGACTTTTTTCAAAATAATTGTTCCAGAAAAGACGCACAGAAAATTTGAAATACGATATTTACTGGAAAAACAAAACCGAAGAAATCGAAAACAATGAAATTTTAAATTTATCCGTTTCTCTTATACGATATTTTTCCATTTTGGATTTTCCCAATTAATACAAAAATTAGACATAAAAAAAAAATTGCCGGGCTATTTTTCTACGACGAACATTTTGATTTGTCGATTAATTCAATACAGCCCGAGTAGTCTTTTTGTACCCGTGCCAAACAGTTTTTACAGTCGGATTCCGGGACGGTATCACGCCCCTCACTCTTAAACGCATACGAAACAAATCCTGCGTACACGTAATAAAAATAGAAAGGGGGGGAGGGGGAAACCGACGAAAACCCGAACCGCGTGTACGCGCATAATACCTATTTACAACGGCGAACGATCCGCATTTTACGAGTATTATTCTTCGCTACGGCGACGACGACGAGGTACTTACTATACCGCGGCGAAACTACACACCGAGGAGGCTTTTCACGGACAGATAGACACTCGGGTATTATGCGCGGACGTTATATTATATTAAATGGATATCACGAGACATTTGCATAAAACAATAACAACTATAATAATCGTCTTACGGACTCACTTATTGGACCATATAAATCGCGAACGTAAATTCCGGGAGAATAGTCGTCGTCGTGATAATAAACCAAATTGACCCTTTTGCGTATTGTTTTATCGTCGCCTCGAGGGACGTCGCCGACGACAACGCGAAACTGTTTAACGGGCGAGGAGAGGACGCGACGATGAACACAATTCGTTTGACGAGAGGCGGCGAGGGGAGGAGGGGTTGGTAGAGAAGGGTAAAATTCGACAAACACCGCCTCCTCTCCCTTCGCAGTGTCTCGTACTTATAGCAGTAAAATAGTGTATGCATCTATAGCTAGTATTATGGCACGTTGCAGTGTTCGGAACGTTCGCTAAAAAAATGAAGGCATTCGCGTTTAATAGGTAGTTCGATGACAAGAAATGATAACCGAATATGACAACCGTTTGGTTTGGTTTTATTTTCAAGTGAAAAGTCGTCGTAGTTGGAGTAACAATAAACGAATGCGCGCTGCAGATTATCGAGACACAATTTCTTCTTACATGGCTGTACATAAATAACCGGATATAAGTACATAATAAAAATGTAATTTTGAACGTTTTATCAGTAGAGTCTCTCAAATATTTGAGTACCTATTAGGAACAATAGAGTTCGTTGTGCACGCAACGTTACTAAAAACATTTTTTAAAAGCTAACAACAAGAAAAAAATAACAGTTTTGTAGTTATTATAAAAGTGATTGTATTTATTACAAACAATTTACCCGTTATTTTCAGAATTTTTTAGACAATGGTTCGAATGTCCCACCCACTATCACTTGAAGTTTGATAAATCACGAGAAAAAAGTAAAATACATTAGATAAAACGGCTAGTTGTCACGTATTACAGTATTAAACCCGATGGTATTGAAACCGTAATATTATATTTTTTTTTAGAAATTTCTCTCGGACCGTTAACGACGAGCCGATAGTTTGGACGTAGACGCCGCCGTATAAGTCTAATCCTAGGCATATTATGTAAGTATAAGTATGTGTCCCTAGGTCGCCCTCAGGGCGCTTCCGGCACTCGAAATCCTCTTTCTCTCCTCTCACCCCTCTACCCGGTCAGGTCTACGTTCTTCTCGCAGCGTGGTACCCGCAGGGACGACGATCGCCTCGAGCCGTACACAAAAACCCTTTTAATCTCGATGCAGTATGCGATCGCGTGGACCGTGTAATTAATGGAAAACCGTTCGAACCGTATTTTAGCGAAACCCCCCCACTTCCCCCTTTATCACCGGCACATGTGTATACGTAGCCTTTTCGACTACAACACTCTCCCGACGCGGCCTCGAGGCCCATTATCGCGTCACCACCGCCCGGTGAAATTCTATAGATTTGTGAGAAATTATCGATTTAAAACGCGCAGAGGAATAGTCTAAACATTTCGATTTACAAGTGTTCAATATTCGTACATCAAGAGTATAATATAAATTTATGCACTTTGAGAACATATGATAAGCTATCGATACTCTCGTTGGCCTCGGGATTTCTCGCATCTGATTGGTTTTTTAGTTGAAAAACAAGAATTGATTGTGGGCTCGGAAACAGTTGTCCGTAGCCTCGTGTTATTTCGGGCCCGGTCTAAGGTTTTTTTTTACGCACGCGGGTCCACGGGTTTCGGCCACCCGCATGGCGCCGGATTCTTTGGGGTGCCGGTAATAAATAATATTGGCACATAATAGTTCAATGGTATAATGTTTGATATGATTATAAGCGATAATGCAGCCAACAATTTTGCTGCAATGAGACACTCGTGTTTTTCGTGGCGATGGCCTGCAACAGCTGTGTTTCGAGAAATCGAATTAATATGTTTGCGTTAATTTGATTCGGTTATTATTTAAACAAAAACAAGTCAGGTGTCGATAAAAACCGGAACGTGTTTTAACTTTGTCCGAAAAGCGTCCAAAGCGTGTGAACGAAACGTTCAGTCACTATCACTGTTGCTCGTTGAACGACAACGAAAACCTATTGGACTATTGCAATAGTGTTACAAAACCCCGTCTCCGAGGAATTTCGATTTCGCTAATAAAAATATTAATAATCTTATTATCGTACATTTACAACATTCGAGTCGGTGTTATCTATATATACACGCACATAACAAACAACATATCCGGACTGACGGATTCGTCATCGCCTGGTCCAAACTGCCGGACGGATCCGGCCGAAATTCGGCACGCGGAGAGGATTTTTGGAAATTCGAAAATTTGAAAAGGTGGCAAAATAGGAATTTTTTTGGTGTATTCGATACGAATATCTAATCGCTTGTTCATTCGTTTTCGTTTATTCGAGGATTACCTTGACGTAACCGATGATAATTTGGTTGCTACGGAAAAGAAAACTATTAAAATTATTAGTATTACTATTGTTTACGCTATTCTAATTTCACAGTAGGACACATTTAGTCCGCCGAAGACTAACCCAGTTTCCAAGTATTTGTTTTCATTCAATTCTGAAATGAATGTGTGTAAAATAATAATTATAATAAAAATTGGCACGGGAAACGTCGGGCGCGAGACAGCTAGTAATAGCATACACATACGCAATATACTGTTAGACTTTGGCAAAAATTTCCACCAGAAATCTTGCTTCAATATATCGAAGTAGCACTTTTTCTGAAAGGAAATTTCGTCTAAATAGTACTTTAGGTTTGTCGTTTACGAGAAAATTTACGAAAATGGCGCATTCGGTATTTTTTATTTTGTTTATTGTTGTTATTCAGTCAAAAATATTTTTAAAGACTTGAAAATTGAATAGAGACTTATACTTGGTTTTTGTAGACATGGTAAAATTTTCAAACTATTTGAACTATTTTTGAACTATTGATAGCTCAATTTAATTTTGTATATAATTTTTATTCGGTAGGTTCTCTGTGGATAGCACTGTTAGATTAAACAAAAATGCTTGAAAATTTAACAAATGCTTCATTGAGTCGTATTCTGTAGTAAAAAAAAAAAAATTGAGCTTATTGCAGTGTTTGCAAATATATACATATGCGGTAATTCCCTTCAGTATTCTATTTTTTCAACTTCTCACCTACAACAGGGATGTTCGCACATCGTGTAAAGTATGTCCGTTTTTATTACAAATAATTATAATATGTTCGCGTGCACTTGTGCAGCTAGGCACATAGACAAACTCGTTTGGTTCATATTAATATTCACCACCGCCATTCGCAGACTGACGATGATCACATTTATAAAATCGTCGAAAAATACGCGCAGAATCCGCTTTCCAGGATTTCTATAAACTTCAGAATTTGAACATCGAAATTCCGGATTACTCTTGCGAACTTCAAATAATAATCCAGATTATCCCATCACACTATTATACGTACACGCTGCAAATACCGTCTTACACACACCCTCCTTTTTCTTCCCCTCCCACTCGCTTCCGTTCGTCATCGGTTTTCGTCGTCACGTGTTCACGTAGAGTCGTGAAATTGTGTGCTAGAAAACGTACTTTTGTTTTTTTTTTACCAACAAATACCCGGACAAATGGAAAAGAATAACGACAAATGGCTGATCCAACGTTTCTAGAAAACTTCAAGGACAATCGAAAAATGGAACTGTTCGATGCACCGACTAGATCGAAAATTCGACTGTAGAGTTCCGATTAGTTTTTTGATTAGAGTAATATTTCTGTTGACGAAACCATTTACGAAAACACACACAAACACAGTATTATAGTTAACACCGATACGTTTCTCGTTTCGTTCAGAACCTAAACGAATTGCACGCCGAGCGGTTAATACGCAAAAACATCATAATTTTGTGTTCTGTAATTGACGGAACGCGATTTCCACGTGCAATTTTCGCCGCGCGTAAACAAAACGTGTCCCGAAGCGACATAACCGCGGATATGGTAATCTATCGCAGTATTCGATCCGAAAAATGTTCATTGTGTTTCTTGTAATGGAGTTCGGCAAATATTATCGTCGCCCGACACAAACGCTGCAGCATCCTCGGAGGGGAAAATTGTACGTGCGTCCGGGCATTATACCACACATGTTTTCGTATGACATCGCTATTGATCTTGCAGTTTCTTAATGGGGGGGGGGAGAGGAGAGAGAAAAAATCGCAAATGTTCGATTAACGAAGAAAATCACCGAGAAAACTCATCAAGTAGACGATGTCGGCGCGAGCGGTTTTCAAACGTTGATACGATTTTCGACACGATTGTCGAAAATCGTTTTATCTCGTGAACGAGTGCGATCCGCGAGCGTTAAACAGCTGACGACGAATAATAATCCACACGACATTATCTAAGGGGAATGTCAATATATTATTATAACATACATTTGGTTAAATATTATTTTGTAAAAAAAAAAAAAAGTAACTGCGTTTTTATTTTTTTCATTTTTTCCGTAAAAAATACCGATATTTGATGTTGAATAACACCGAATAATTCCAGTGAAAATTATTTGACGTCATATTTTGAACGATGTCGTTGCAATTAATTTTCATAAAGACTGGAAATTCTTTAATCACTTTGAAGGGTACTACCCTATACATAGCGACCTATTAATAATATGTATTATTTTCTTTTACGCGGAATGCTTTTGATTGCAACAATATCATCACGGTTACACGAGAAATACCTACACGCGCATTTTTTAAATTTATACGAAAGCGTAAATATTTTTCGTTCGATAAATGTTAATGTTTTTCATAATATTTCCACCGAATTTCTAAATTTATCTCTTCAAAGTGTCTTTTTCGGTTTAAACGTATCCATACACGCGGCATGTTGTTTAGACGAAAAAACGAAACAACAAAAAACAAGTATAAAAATAATTCTAACAATCGGTTTAAAACCCTTATGCCCTGGGACCAAAGATAAACGCATCGAACTTGTGTAGGTATTGCATCGGTGGCGTGTACGAGTCGTAAATTTAAAAAAAAAAAAATTCAAACCCGGTATAAAACAATACCCGGAATATATTTTGGACACCGGAAACGTACAGCAAGATCGACTTCATGTACTTAACGAGAAAAACTCGAGTCACATATTGCAAAAACGTATACGTACGTGCGCCGCCGCCGCCCCGGATTATGATATTTTTTTTTTTCACGGACGGCATACGCGACTATAGGTAAACACGAAAAAGTGACCCGACTCTATTAACATACATGACGTTATGTAAAAACGACATAAACGCGTGAAAAGTGATTACGTTTGTGATGAAAAATGTTTGTACTCGCATAACTATTCGTTCGAAACACCTACAAGCGGACCGGATTCTAGACGTATCTGATCTTCTAGCGACCAACCTAAATAGTTTCACTGAGATGTGTTTTTCTCCACAGGGAAACATAGTTTGTTCGATTACCCGATAAAAATGATCCGGTCGGTATAAACCTTAAAGAATTTCCAGTGGGCGGTACTGCATGTACATTATGTTTTATTCGCGCGATTTTTCTCGGTTCCCAACCATTTTCCTAAATAATTGTATGAAAAAAAGAAAACCCCTCGGCCTAAAAAATCTACCTGTATCGGATCTATTCGTGTGGGCGTTCATTTTGGCCACAAGGGGAGAAAACACGATTTTCAATCTTAACGGTTAACCGTGCTTCGCTCTGAATCGTTTTTTAATAACGAAGGTTTTTCGTTCAGCGTCTTAACCGAATGACCCCGGTGCCCATATATTTATGCACATAACAATTTACAATCGCACATCGCAATAAATATTGAAAATTTTCATTTTAAATTTAGCATCGATATTTTAGAAAATTTCGAAGGATCTGTTGAATTTGTTGACAATTCAAAGTAATTTTCCAAGGACGAAGACGTAATTCTTTATTCGTGGTTTTATTTTCGGATCCTTTGATCTAGGGAATGAATATTGCGTATATTATATAGTAAAGTACTTTTGATTGGGAGTTCCGTGCCATTCGAGGTAGGTGCTCGGTATGCTGCGTAAAAAAATCAGAAAAATTATCGAGAATCGTGAAAAAATGTCCAAACTAAATTTACCGATAGGTGAAATATCGCATTTACACCCTACCTTATAATATAACTCACTGGTCGTGAACTGCACTCTACTATATACATTGGATATTGCATAATTTGATAGTTTTTTTAATGCGCGCTGTGTACTCTATTTCGCATAATTTTTAGGCCCTGGATCATCCGATACGATCCTCCGTACTCCCGCCTGCTAATCCATGACCGTAGCCTACCCCGGAGACGATGTGTTCGCGTGTTTTTCAGCTGCGTCGCTTCGGAAAAATACATTCGCTTACGACACACTGCATTTTCGAACTGCGCGTTTGACATTTCTACTGTAAAAATTACGCTCTAAAATGCACGTGAAAACTACGGGACAAGGTAGATACTAAAAAACGAAAAAAAAAAAAAACCCGCATTTTACCACGTTTTAAACAGTTGAAAAACTTCTACCCAATCGAAATTCTGTTATAATAATATTATGATGCTTCGCGGGTGAGATAAAGATATATATATATATATATATATATATCAATTTATAAATTCAAGAAAATATAGCGACGCGCCGAGATTCAATTTCGGAAATTGTTATTATTATTTTTAAAATTGACGTAAAAAAAAAATGTAAAAAACAAAAAGCGCGTTTATATAATAAAAAAAAAAAAACACACACACACATTTAAAAATCAATCCGCGTCTGGACGAGGGAATTATATTTTGATTTCTGTTTTTTGCTTTTCTCGACTGTTGCACGTACTTACACGAGGAGTTTATATCGCAGTTTGTTTTTTTTGTTATTATTATTTTTCTTTTTATATACAGAATTCACGTCCATAATGCCGAGCTCCGGTGCGGTAATCCACTGAAATCCCGCGGCAGCGAATTAATAATAAATATCGTCGAATATTTCGGAAACACATTTGACGTTTGATGTTATAAATAATATTATTGACGTTAATTCGCGAAAAAAATATACATATTCTCGACATCTCGGGCTTAGAATATTATAGGTACCCGTATTGTATAAATTCGATAAGTCGAATTTAATTATAATATTTCAAATAGAATTTCCGCGTACAATGCCAAAACCGTATAATGTATGTGTGCGAAATGAGATTTTGCGAATAAATTATTTACGTTCCGGTTTGGTACAATTTTACGTGTATATAGGTATAAATTTTAATTGACATTTACGTCGCATTTCATCAACGGGCGCGCACGCGCAATTATCCGGCGAGCGGCGGAGGTTTGGGTGTGGGGAGTAACGAAATCAACGAATTAAAATTTGCAAATACGTCAACCAAAAATCAGGGTATGGGTATTATAATAATATATTGCGGGCATGCGAAAGCGGTGTCGACGGTCTGCACGGTTTACAACTACGGCCGTAACACAATTGCGAGAGCGACGCAATAATAATAATTCCGATATTTCGCGTCGGGTAGTATAATGTGAAAAAAAAAAAAAAAGGAAAAATTATTATTACGCAGGGCTATTATAATAATAATTGTTCGTGATTCCAACGATTCAGTTTACGTCGGAGATTTCGAGTAAATGTCTACTTTTATTTTTCTGTTCCGATCATTTATCGTGACGATATTTTCGAAATTTTATCCTCATCGCTCGTTTAAGGATATAGGAGAACACTCTTACCATACAATAGTACCGAAAACAAAATACGGGTACGTATACCAATGGATCCCCCCCCCAGTTCCAGACTTGGATACCTGTAAACGTCAAGGACGCGGAATCGTTGTTCGGAAATTGATAAGACACTTTTATTCATTTTCGACCTTCGACGTTATTGAATAAAATATCCAAAATATTTAAAATGAGATTATATCTATTTGTATACTATTTTGTATAGCAATGTCAATTAATATGTTATGAATTATTTATTTTATTTGAAATTTATGGAAAAACCGCGAGTAGTAGAGCTCCTACTACTACTTTTTTTTTTTTTTAATTTTAAAGAATTCGACAAAAAAATAAGTTTTATCAAACCAGATAAAGTGGTTCTCGAGATATTTTTGCGAACATACAAACAGACGTGTGACCGGGCGTTAAGGGTTCGATTCTACTCAAGGTACAAACACAAGTTTTAACAAGTTACATATTTTCGTGAATCTGTATTAGGATATTGAAACCCGATATTTCCTGTGAAAACATGACATCTGAGCATAACAATAGTTGGGGAAGGGGTTGAAAGTTTAAACCACCAAAAGGCGCTTCCTTGGTACATAGACAAAATGTAATTTTCCTGGCTTCATTTCATAGTGTACAAAGCTGAAAAAAACACCATCCTCCCACAACAACAAAGTGAAATTTGTATTAAAATTGAACTAACTGATTAATTTGTATCTCTTCAATCAGCTTATAAAAATTTTAAAAAAACTTCGAGTTCCCCAGTGCAAGTTCATTTTGTCCAGAGAAAGAAGCCAAAAGTGTTCGAATTAATCGGGGGAAAAAATTTAGTTACATATCCAGGCGCAATACGTTGCCGGAGTTAAATTTAAAATATCTATTTTCGGGAAAAATTCGACAATAACCTAATGAATAAAATATTTATAAATTCACGGAAAAGTCTCTATTATAGTTTTAGACATTATACCGTTAGTTATTTGTATATATAATGTAAATAAACGCAATAATTATTTAAAGTTTAAATACATCGCACATTACTTTGCACAATGCACATCGCCGTGTGATACGGTAAAAATTCAATTTTTACAATTAAACGGCCATTGCAACACAAAATATTTATAATGTAGAGAGATTCGAAAATAAAATGCGGGAAATTCCGCTCAAACCCCCGAAAAGCTCGTCGAGTTGTATTCGTTACGAAATCGCCGATCGCGAAAAGAATATTATCGGTAAAATCAAAACGAAGGAGTCTATAGAGAGATAATCTACAAAAACGGACGCGCTCAAAAGAATTCACAGTAACCCGCAGTGGTACCGAAACCCGCTGTTCTTCAATGCTTAGTTCACGAGTAATGCTATCGGTCTCGAAGCTTATTGAATACCTCCCACAAGTATAAGAAAAAAAAAAACAAAAAATGCATACATATATAAACTATTTTGGTAATACCGACATTTCAGAATTGTTATCATGCTCGGGGATCGTGCTTCTTATCGTTTTTAGAACCGCAGACTCCGTATAATTCAAATATACGATAATTGAATATTTCTGTTTTATTAATTTAAAAAAAAAAATAAATAAATAAATAAATACAATATACAAGGGGGAGTGGGCGAACCGTCACTGCTTACGCAACACGTTGACTTTTGTTTCGGACGCGATATTTTACCGCCGCGGCTGAAGCGGGAGGTTTCGGATTTCGTGGACCGGTATTGCCGGCTTGACGCAACATCTTTATAATATATAATAATCTGATAGAACGTTATTCATAAATGATGGAAATATTAAAATGAAAATTATATCTCGATGATCGTTTTCGGTTCGCATTTGAATAAAAATGCCGAAAGGTCGTTCTTATCGCGCGGCGGCGGCGTGATTTCGCAATCGTTTTAGCCTTTTGTGCTACCGCAGTCGAACGGACGGACGAAAGACTCCGCGGTTGTACAGTATACAAAAACCGAAAAAATTTCAATAGAACCGCGTCTTTATACTGAACCCGAGTACTTTTAAAGTTATACTTATTTACGGGGGTTTTATTTTTTCTTCTTTTATTTTCGTTATTATCATTATTATTATTTGAATATTTCCATAAAATAACGTATTGTGCATATTGTTTCGTTTTGTTTAGAAAAATAAAAAAATAAAAAAATAAAAATTACTTTACCGGCGGCAATCGTTTATTGTTACTCGGTTTACGTCACTCTTTACGTTACTCAGGGGGATCCTCGGTGGCGGCGGCAAAGTGCGATTTTGTTATTCGATTACGTTCAATCAACCTAATGGCATAATGTATATTATGATTACATAACAGTTTCATAATATTTTGCGTTTCGTAACGAACGGTGAAAAACAAAAAAAATAAAATAAATATACTGGTGATGGGAGAGCGACCGGTATAGGTGGACGACGGGAACCACTGGCCAGACGTCCTGAAATACCCGTTCGTGTACGCGAGTGAAACCCCCGGCGGTTTTCTCCGGTGGCGTACGCAGGTGGGGAGGTTAAGGGGTTGTGTCACTGCCACGTTGACTTAGGAAGACAACAAATAAAAGTAATTCAATATCGAAATGCATACTCATATTATATATTCGGCCATGTAACGAGGAAAAGCTGATGATGTATCCATTAGAAATTGTTTTTTTTTTTTTTTTTTTTTTTAAGATCCGGCTTTTTTAAATTACCGATTCCCATAGTCGAGTCGGGCGGAGAAAACAATTTTACGATTCTTGTTCGCTTCATGCCCCCTCCTAATGAAAATGTCTTGGCACGTCAATATTTACAGGCATTCTTTCCCGTTCGAGGAGTGGTTATTGGGAGTCGTGAGAATTCTATTATAAGTGCGTGTCTATAAACACGTCATAACCTACGAGCGACCATAGCTATTCCAATAAAAAAAAAACCTCGTCAGTTATATAGATTTGGGGTTTATAAAACACGTTGCCAATCGGGAAGTGCGAAGCTTTTTGAACGAGTGCCTATATGCTCGAATCGTTTTATATGTTAACGTTTGAAACGATTTAAACGTTCAAATATTCAATTCAAATAGCAAACAAATGCATTATGTTTTGCAGAAGAGTGAGGATGTTTACGTACATATAACAGTCACCATATTGATTCTAAAAATATAATTGAAAACTATCAGTTCATACATAGTTACTATTGGATAAAGAAGGAATGTTTCTCCAATTATTGTTATTTTGTTCTTAATTAGTTATGACGAAATTATATTTATATATAAAAAAAAAAACGTGTTTTAAACAATTGTTTTAGGCTCTGAGGTGAAACGAGGAATGTATGGGCTTTACAATGATGTTTATTTTTTATTTTATTTTTATGCGAACACTTTTTCTACTATACTCCGATTATCGAGTATAGCACCTTTTCCGAAAGGAAACTTTCTCTGGGCGTTCCTTTGAAAAGGTCATTTTTTGAAATTCTCATTAATTTTCGAGTTGATGAGGAAAATCTTGGTCTTTAGGTTAAGAAAGATTGAAAGATTAAAAACAAAGTTGTCATAGGCAACGGTTTTTATTTTTTTTTCTGTTATTGTTAAGTTTTTATTATTAAAATCTTTTTTAAATAACCATTGTTGTAATGGAAACGCACATTATTGTAATCATTTTACCATAATATGACATAATAGTATACATTGTATTGTCGACAAAGCAACATTACGAACTGAACTCGACTCAGTACCGTTTTTTCGTTAGCAATGCTTTATCGTTGCTTACAGATATACATTAAATTCCCGTCCGTAGGCACCTTCCCAACTCCCCACCTACAACAGTGGCTGCACCCACGTGCGAAGTATGTCCGCCCTAATTTTTTATTTTTTACAAATTTCTACCGATTACACAATGTATGAATTGTATTGCATTCTATTACACGATGTTATTTTACGCCGACCGAACGCGATACTGTGTATGGGTAATATTGTTAATATTTTTGTATCGACTCGTGAATTTTCAACGGGTAAAGACCCGTTGGGAGAGCCCATTATACATCACGGTGGTTAACGCGCAGATAATCGCAAAAAACCGTCCGAGATCCTTAAAAATAAGTATGCGAAAAACGAAAACGTGCCGCGGACCGTTAACTGAAAATAAATCTCACGGGCCCCGGGAAATCTTTCGAGAATAATCGCCACACGATAGAAGAGTATTTTTTGTTCTTACGACAATAATAGTATAACAATACGAGAGCGGTGTAAACATTTTTTTTTTTTTTTTTTTTTAATTTACGCCTCGTGACGTCATCCGTACATTATAATGTAAAATTAGTTTGTCGGTATTCGTGGTCAGTGTTGCGATGTTTGTTATCCGGATTTAATATTAGACGCGCCGCAAGAATATTCATGTATACATGTCTTATAAAAAAAAAACTGCTTGTTTGTTTCATATTTGGAATTTTATTCGATAATTTCAATCGGGCATTTACGCGTCTAGGGGTTTCTGAGTTCATTATAATGTGTCGCTTGGATCCTTTTGTTCGTGCATATATTCATAGGGATGAACATATGAGAAGAATTCATTTACTATCGTAGTATTAATAAAATATTTTTTATAACGATAAATAATAGATTTATATCGAGGGCTGGAGATTGGTGACGGTTTCACTATTTTTCTGCGGTTTTGTAAAATTTGACAAGTTTTTTTTTTTTACATTGCAACGACCGTCCTAGAAACTATAAGACGTGTAACTATTTATTTATTACATTTCCGGTAAAATAATTGAATTTCCACTACTAGCATAGCCTAGTAACGAACCTAAACAATCATATTCCGTTTTCGTAATTAAATTCCGTCATTGTTTCTACGGCTGTGTTCGGCATTGAGGTCTGAATCTACTAAATAATACGCAATCACCCCTTAATACTGTACTCATTACGGCTTCCAAATGAGTTTGCGAATTATCAGAGTAAATAATTACACCAATGGCACACGTTTCGTATGGAAATCTACACGTGCTTACGATACACTGTTAACAGTGCTATAGTAAGTTTTACGACGGGGCTGTAACGAAAAAATCATAAACGTATTTTTTTTTTTGCGTCTAGAAAATCGCCGATTACTCAATATTATTTTTTATCTAGCTGGTATTTTCTTTTGGTCTTCATTCAGACAATATTGTCATTCTCTTAACGTCACTTATCGTCATTGTTTGGATGTCTTTTAAAATTTGATTGTCCATAAGAATTTTGAAACCGCGTACCTCATAGGACACGTGTCGCACTGAATAATCGGACCGAATATCCCACACTACGCCGTCATAATATTGTATTGACAAAAACCTGTGTGCTCGAAATGCGGCACGGGCTCACGGTCAAGTGCCCCGGTTTAATTATTCGTTGTTATTATTATTTTATTTTTATTTTTATCCGTATAGCCAGATCCACTTAAAACGTATTCAATTGGAAAACGTATATATTATACAAAATTGCAATTTTATAGTGGTGCAATTATTATCGCGATTGTTCACACAATATTGGCCATGCAAAACCGATTGACAGCTTTTATTATTATTACCGCTCAGCCGTCGGATAAGCTTCTAAAAATATTTGAAACGTTTCTATAGCTCTGCGCATTTATTTCGTTCGCGTTTTCGGGCACCGATAATAATACAGACTATAATATTTCAACGGGACAGAATTCGTTTTGATGTTTTATTATAAATAAACTAGTGGGCGACCATTTATTATCTCGACAGTAATTTTGTTTTTTTTTTTTTTTTTTTATCTATTGTCTCGATGAAGTTGACGAGAACGTGAACAAAACAAACAATGATATATCTAGATGGAAATATATACTTAAAAATATTAGAAAACGTTTTCCCCGCCGAAGAAAATAATTAAATAATCGTTATACTTTTAGTTGAAAACTCGTAGTTAACTATTATGGCCTGCACAATGATTCCATTGCGTTTACATTTCATTAGTTTAACCGTTCGAGTTGTTATCTCCCAGTAATCCACCGTGTTCTCAACAATAGACGGTTTTTCAAAATTAAAATATTTTATTTATCTCTCCAGATAATTACCGAATAAGCTATTATCGATTTCTTTAGATAGTTTTGGAGTATTAATTATCTTTTGGTCTTTGTCTGGATAAATTTGAAATAAAATGCGCCTCTCAAACATGTTTATAAAAATATTTTACAGGCACATTTGATTTAAAAACAACGCGTAACTGAACGCGTAAAATATTCTATAGAAAATAGTATGGTATAGGTGTAATGTGACTAACAATGTAATGTGTACAAATCTGAATTTGCTTAGGGAAAATGACCGTATGGGAATAGGTATGGCCGAGAAGACGTAACATATAGTCCTGTGTGAAGTCAACGCTTTGGATCTACAAGATGTGTAATGTAACGTGTCAAACTGCGGATGAATGTGAACAGACGTTTATCAGGTTTCGTATATGATAAGAAAATTTGATTTAAACAAAAAAAAAAGACAAACATACTTCGCACGTGGGCCACTGTTTTAGGTGAGCGATAGTAGGGAGGAAATCGAATGTGTTCTCCGCGGAGTTCGGTTGATAGCGTTGCTTTATCAACAATATATTTGTCTCGTTACGGTGAAATAATTAAATGTGCATTAAACATTTTCTTTAATAATATTTGCTTAACATTGTAGCTATTTTCCGGTTTTTCCTCGGTTTTTTCCCATTTATTGAGAAAACTCCTGTGAATATCAAACAATTATCTCCTTAAAGTACCTTCCCGGTCAGATTTCCATTTTAGAAAAAGTGCTATTGTCGTAAATCGGTGTAAAACTGCCGGTAGTAAAGTTGATCACGAAGGAAAAAAAAAACATCACTGTAAAACCAATATATTCCTCGCTACGCTCAGAGTCTAAAACAACAAGAAAACTATTGGACTTATTAATACTCGGTCGACGCCTAAAATAAACACTGCCCTAAGTTCAATTTTATCGGAAATACCATTGAAAACAATTTGTCATTTTCACTGTTTTTGTTTCGTTGCCACGATCCTATTTCGTGTAGCAATATCATACCTCCTAGGTACAGTCGGAAGAGGCTGTACGTGTAAAATCGACCAAAATATAAATACAGATTGTGTATCTACCGGATTTGATAAACTCCTATATAGAATTGCATATAGGAAACTGTGAACTGCTGCTGCAACACCCTGCGTGTAACTTATAGGGGCACGTGACGGACGGAATTATTTGAAAAAAAGTTCCAGAAACCCCGAAACAACATTTACCGTCCAGGCGGTATATACACTCATACGTGTTATTATTATCGCGTAGGGTTTTCGGCTTATTTTCCACCTTCTGCTTCTCGTGATCACGGAGACAATAACAATAATATTTACTGTTGGTATCGGACTTGAGATTTTTATTGGATCGCGCATCCCGAAAAGTGTGTATATACGTGTGCACACGCACCGTGTACCGTCAAATAAGTAAAGGTTAGTAAAGTTTTCGGTTCAGGCGACGCGGCTTAAAATAACATCGGCCGAAATGCCGATCGGACGTTTCCGAAACATATAAACGATTATTACCTAACTTGGTGACCGGAATAAAAACCGTAAAAACATATTATAGCTTTATTGTATGCTACAGTATGCGATGACATAAATAATTGCAAATGACGAAATGATTCTGAGCAGAGTGTAATCAATCGTATTTTCTCCCCTGTTGCCGAGGCAACACAGAAATGAACAAAAATGATGGACCTAGGTGGTAAAATACTGAAAATTTCAATGAATGTACTAAAATTAAAATACCGTCCGATAAGATATTCCGTAAACTTCTTTAGACGGGCGATCATTCGACCAAAACGGTAGCGAAAAGAAAAAAAAAATACTCACGTCGTTTGTAGGAAAAATTATTTAGACTTTTTGAAAAATCACTCAGATAAAGTACATAAGCGAAAAATATGCATCTTTTAAGGTACGCCGTGAAAAATCTTAGCATTTTTGCAAACCATAAACTTTTTTTCCGGGACGAAAAAAAAGAAAAGAACGGAAGGCACATATTTATAAAACTAATAGCTTCTTCGTTGTACTCTAAAACGGTGTACGGGCTTTCACGAAAGCATTTGTTTTCGGATCGCCGACGTGTCCGCGACGTGATTTCGAGGATTATATTTTATAATGATATAGGCAAGACCGTTAAAAGTATACAATATCCACGTAGCTCTTTGCCGCGATGATAACGTCCGACTTAATACTCAAGCTCGGGATCGATAACGGCGTGATTTTAATGTAGTTATTATTATTCATAGACTTATACCTCTAGACGGAACATTTGCCCCGAGCATCGGGAGGCGTGGTTGGTCCAAATGAATCAAGAGAGATGGATTAGTGTGAGAAAAAGCAACATTGCATCCAGTCAAAACACTTCGTTTACTATCTCACCTGTTTGTATCATTGAAATGAAAAAATCCAAGCACCGGAACGCGTTTTCACACGAAATGTTTGACTAGCAATTTAGGTTATATTATCATTAAGAATAATTTTATAATAGTAATTAATATCTTCTTCTTTTTCTTTTGCCATCTTCAATCTAATGATAAGTTTGTAACGACGCCAATGTTTATCTAAAGCTAGCCTTCCTCTTCAATTCTTGCTATAAATTACATTCTTGATCTTGTATAATCTGGCTCATGTATTGTCATCCTCGGGGGTATTATCCATCTACCATCTCTTCCAAAATTAACCCTAGTAACCCTCCGTGTCTAAGAATATGACCCGTTCATTCGTTTTATGTTTTCCTTATGTTTTTTCGCAATGATTTGAAATCGTTCAATCGATATCATAAAACCAAAATCGATTTCACATCTCTCCTAATCGTCAATTAATACTTGATAATAAATAACGAAGACAAACTTCATAGTCTCAGTTCAAAAACTACCCCATATTTTACCGGATTGACGGTACAGTAACTCATGGAGCACTTTGTCCTTCACATCTCCAAAGCGAAAAGTAAATTAGATAGTTGATAGATAGATGATCAGAGGTCAATAACCGAATTTTAATTTCGGAATACCATATAATAATGAAAAGTTGCGCCCTACGAATATAGACAAACGTCCTCGAAATAAAAGCGTTCCTTGGTTAATTAAACGAAGTGGTACGCTGAAATGTAATAAAAAAAATGAAAGCGAATTCCGAACATTGAATTCGAGCACTAACCACAATCACTAAGACTACGTCATAATCTTCTCTATCTTTTTTTATATTATCTAACGTTTTCGTATTATGAAATAAAATCGCGTTTCGTAATTAATATTATCAACGCGCACTGCGTACAGATGGTAAAAAATAACTCAAAACTTTTCAAAGACGCACGTATGCTGAACTGTGGATATTCAGAAGTTTCGGGAATTGAATACGGCTACAATAATAAAGTGCCGGGGATCCGGTGGCGGAGTATTTAGGGGTTGGCGGCATGGTTTTCGGGAGATATTTGCCTCCCCGGAAAAACATTTTCTGTTTATATCATGGGCGGCCAAACTTTGTTTTGTTAAACATCTAATAAGAATGTATTTTTTCTTTTATTAGGTATTAATAATAAACATACACGTATGTACGAAAGAAAATGAAACTAAATCGTAAAGTTAAAATAATGTTTTTCAACGCGCATTTATGAAGGCTAAATAAAATATTACAAATTAAATATGTACCGGAAAATAATATCTTCAGTAAAAAAAACACCGGTGAACTGTGTTACTCGATTAACTGACGGTAAAATAATGATCTATAAGGGGGAAAAAAAAATGATCGCCAATTATTATGACTCGTCTTCTAATCGCATGAAAATAAATTCAAACCAAGGGAGATCGACGTTGAAATTGTCCGCGATTGCCCCTGACCTATACGGTTTGTTTCAAATTATTGTTTCCGGCGAACTCACACGAAGCGACGTAGGAAACTACGCGTTTTTACTATTGGTCATAATGGAAATATACGGTAATTAAAAATGTATTTTTTTTTCTCTTTTTAAACCGGGTGGATCGTATTTTTGTTTTATAAAACGTGATTTTGAATGTTTCTCAACGTATTAGATTATTGCGTCCCGTATGATATTATTCGAACGGACAAAATTGTGAGGAAAACGGGCCTACTATACGTACGGATAACCGGACACGAAAATAGAGTTCGCTTCAGGCGGAAAACTCAAAAAGGAAACGACTGATATTTTTCGTTCGTGAAAAAAAAAAATATATCTAATCATTGCCATCGCCGGTAAGTAGAATAATGTATATACGCAGTATTGTTATTGTGATAGTATAGTATACACTTTATTATAGTCGAGGCTGTTGTTAGTGGTGGCTGCGACCCGTGTATACCGGGTGATTCTTTTTCACGAACCGACAAAGGTCAATTTTTTCGGACCTTTTATACAGTTTTCTTATAATGACAATATTTTCAACGTTTCTTCCGCAACTATAATTATACACAGCGTATAAACACATCGTATTTTTTTATTCGCTTTTGTCTTTCGAAACGGCGGTGAGTTAATAGTTGTTTTATTTATTTATTTTTTTTTTCTGTTTTGGTTTCGATTCGGACATTGTGTAGGTATTCCGCAGAACCGTCCGATCGATCTTGTCAATGTATTTAGCCCTTATTATTCCACACGTTATTTCGACAATAGTTATTGGTTTTTAAATATTTTGAAATTCATGGAAATTCGATAAAAAAAAAAAAGGTTCAAACAGATATATACTATTTACTCATGTCGGCTATCCGAAAATCAACGCGAAATGTGCATCGTTACCAAACATTCGTGGTCTAAATTTTAAACGTGTAACACTATTCACGTTTTAAATTGGTCGAGTTTCGAAATCTCCGCGTATCTGCAATCGCTATCAGTTTAACGGAATCACTCTGTACAACGATGTCCTATATATTTATATATAAAGCCAGTTTTTCGCATTTCCGAAACGAGGCACGTACGGCTAATAAAACTGTATATAGCGCCGGGGGGGCGGGGCACCGGGAAATACGTACCTATATATCGTACGGTTACTACCGCTCGACTGTTTTCGCTTCCCATCCCTCCAGATCTACCCACACCCCCCCCACAACGCCACTAGTCCTAGCAGCACCCCAAAGTGAAATTGTGTAACATCATTTATAAGGGTTTGAGTGCGTGCCTTAAGTTGTGTGTGTGTGTGTGTCTATGTTTATACATATGTGTACTTGTATGAGGTGAGTATGTATCGCGTAAGCTTGTGTATGTGTATAAAGATCGTATACTTTTTGCGCGTCCCTATATCTGTATATATATATATAAATAGGGATGTATTATATAACAGCATCGCGAGGCGATCCTCTAAGTGTACATGGGTACGTTCCTATTTTTAATGGCCGTGTGACTTATGCCTGATGAGTTATACAGCGGCACCGTTGTTTCAAAGATGATCGGCTCCGCCCACGCACTATAACGAATATGTTGGTACCTCTAAATTTACCACACGAGAATATATGTGTTACCGCATGTGTATACGATAGACAGAAACCGAAAAGGAAGAAAAAGTCTATACAAATAGTTGTAGTAGGTGAGCGATATAAATCCGTGGTGTACCGAGGTCTTGTCCGAATTGGCCTTTTAACTTCTCGCTCCTTTTAAACTCGCGGAACCGCCCGGCACCGTGCGATTTAAAACCGACCGAAAAACGAAAAAAAAAAAAAAAAAAACATTACAAACTCCGTTGGTTGTTGAACATCCAGTTTACAAATGTTTTCGGATTTAATTTTTTTAAATTTATCGTTTTCCCTATTTTCGCCAGCTCGGAATTTTATTTTATATTACGTAGAATGTTGTTGAATGTCCTGTAATTTTATTCCGACATTCGAAATGAGAACGTTTTTTATTTTTTTTTTTTTTTTTAAACCTATTGTATGAAATAATAAGTAAAACGCTAATACCAGATATGACCAGGAAATATACTAGGGTTGAATTTTAAGAGGGTTTCGAGTGAATTTCGCCGATTTCATTAGACCGAATCTGACAAATGCAATTTATTAAGACCTGTTGCTAATTCGAAAGTATGATGTATTATTATAGGCTGAACATAAAATGGCCGGTTATCTGTTTATAATACATTCGTTTTAGGACCATACCATAGTATATGTATACACATTTTAAACATCAAGTTTGTTTTTCAATCGTTTCGCCCAACAAGTCAATCCACATTATAGTCCAAATAAAATCTAAAAACTCGAAAATGTCAAATGTCTGTGAATAATTAAAAAATCATCAGGATATTTTGAAAGTTTTATCACGTCTATAGACGTCTCTGTACTTTTTTAAATCCGTGGTCTCTATGATTATTTCGAACCGAATTATACAATCCATTTTGAAAATAATGAAACCGTCATTTCTGTAAAGTTTATCGTTCTCTCTACGTTCTATCCCGGTTTTTACCAGTTTTCAAAAATTTCTTAAACACCAACCAATTAAAATTGTCTTTCATAAAGGATACTGAACCCGATACAAGATTATTTCTGGTAGAAAAACAAAAACAAACGTTTTTAAAAACGATAAAAATATTGTAATTGACTAATAGGTATTGTAAATTTAAGGAATATGAGAATCTCAAAAAATGCCGACCAGAAATGCCGGTTGCCGTGATATTCGAGGGACGTTTAGCCCCTTTAGCCTCTATAAATTCGCGTCATAATTTATAGACATAAATATATATACGGGCACTGTTTATGAGTTACGACAGTTTAAGAGTAGATATTAATCTACTCTTGTACTTTAATGTACAGTTTCGAAAATATTGTATTGAAAAAAAAAAAAAACCAAAATTAAATTTATTATAAAGCATTGTAGTTAATCGCTAGTTCGTGTTAAACTATCCGCACTGGTTATAAAATATTATACAATTAAAAACAGGATAATTACTTGTTTTAAAGCGATTGGTTTTACTATGTTTTTATTTTTGGCCGGGAAACACCTTTCTACCAGTTACGTTAATGCAGTGAAAAAACTTGCATGTAGCATTTCGGATCTAATTGGTGAATTGAGGAGGAAATTTTTTTCAGGTATTTGCCTTAAAAAAAAAAAAACGGGAAAAACTAGCAATTTTCCTTCGGGTTTCCTTCGGAACAAAGGCTAATATCACGACTGATTATATTTCCAAGTGAATTTTGTTAGCAAACGTTAAATTGAATTTTGAATTGCTCTATATATCCATCCTTCCAAATCGCTTCCTAAAACATTGACGCACCCATATCGTTAGTGTCCGCGGTTTTTTTTTTTTCTTGAATGAATTGTTTTAATTTTATGAAAACCGTTCGAGTTTCGTTGGAAAAAAACGCATACAATTCGACCGAGAAAACCGTCGACCTGTTTGTGATAAACCCTAAGTATAGGTTATTAGAGTATGAACGTCTAGGAAATCTTTGTGTATACGTTTGAAACGTTCCCGGAGTTTTTTCACCGAGTAGGTATATAAAAATCTGTTTTTTTCCCCCTCACGATAAAAAGAAATTCTAATAAATCGTATACATAGTATTATGTACCATAATTTAAAATCCCTAGTCTGCCGAAAGAACGGCGCCCGTTATTAATAGATATAAAATTCCACCGAAAGTATATCTTTTACAATATTATACGTAAAGTTAACCTCAGCCGCTTACCGCCGCACAACTGCACTTTGGCTTTATTTTGTTTATTTTTATCGCCGAACACTTAAGGATATATTTTATGTAATACGTTTTAATTTTGTTTTTTTTTTTTTCTTTCCACCCCTTTTACAGTCTAAAGTATATAAGTTGCCTATGCAGTACGCGCTTCTATACGTTTTTATTATTTATTATTATCATTATTATATTTTTTTTTTTTTTTTTTTTTTTGTATAAGACGAATAAAGAAAACGACGACGTCGTAAACATTCGTTTTATAATCGATTTTCGATCATAAAAATTAAACGAGCTCAAATGTGCTATGATATACGGCACATTTTTAATATACCGATATTACACCTATAATAATAATATTGTGTACTATATTCATCGCTTGTCAAAAACAATTTCGCCACGGAAATGTTACGGTCACTTCTCAAAAATGTCGCGAAAACCTATACTGTTTTAACCGGTTGAATATTTATACGGTTTCAAATTTAAAAAAAAAAATAATAACAACAAAAAAAGATGCAGACATATTTCGCACGGTGGTTAGGGCCACTGTTGTAGGTGAGAAGTTGGAAAGTTAAGATATAGACGAGAATCGAATGTGTATCTTTACGCAACGATTAATCTTTGCTAACGGAAAACGATTCCGAGCGGAGTTCAAAACGGATATTGTTTTGAAAGGCCAAAGTAAATTTTCAAAATTTGATACTAAAAAACGTATTAAAAAATTATTATACGTAATTTTTTTTTTTCTTTACCACAAATTACGACTAACGATTAATCTCCTGTTCAATTTTTTTAGCATTTCTGTTCGGTCTACGTACTGTATCATTAATTTTATCTAAAATTTAAAAAAGATCTCATTAGAGTACCGCACAGATAACGTTTTCTTTTAGAGCAGGCGCTACACTTGAAAATCTAATCAAAATTGTCGGTAGGAAAGTTGCTCACGGAAAAAAAAATAAAAAATAAACGTCATTGCGATACCGATACATTTATCGCTCCGCTAAGAATCTAAAAGTGGTGTCGGGAAAAACGTTGAAGTATTTTAAACATTTTGAAAAATGTTCTTCGCGTTCGTTATAAAATCAAACATTTGTCATTTCAAAGATAACCGAGAAAATTGAATAACGTTTTCGTACTTCGTCCAGTCGTACTTTTATGATACATATACTTTTGCATAAGACAGATACAACAAATGTACAACGGTATTACATTCGCCGAACCACTGTCCGTTTACATGCAATCGCTGTGTAGATTATAATATAATTCTATGCAAGACAATTATCGTTTACCTGACATACTCGGACAGTAGACGTTTTCGTTGTGAGCAAATATTGTTTACATTTTTTACGTACCTGAAAAAAAAAAAAAAAAAAAATTGTATAAATACATATGCATAGATATTGGTTTATAAAATCCGGAGTACGCAGTGGGCGGTTATAAATGTTTTTTTTTGAAAACAAGCTATTGAATTCGTGTTGCTGAACCTACAAAAGTATTGCGGTTACGAATCGCGCGTTTTAACGATGGCCCGAACACGATTTTCGGCGTTCGTTCAAACCGCGACGGACGTTTCGACGGTTATCGGGAATACATCCGCCTGTCTCGCGCGCGCGGATCGAGCCGCCGCCGGGCCGGTCAGGGGCCCGCTGGTTGGAGCCGCGCGTCCCGCGATCGCGGACCGTCGCGCGGCCGCCAACCGCGCTCACAGCAGACGAACACAGTGGCGGTTGCGGTGAGGGGGAGGGTTGTGCGTGTGCGTGCGTGTGCGCGTGGTCTAGTAGCCGGGACGCGCGAACGCGACGCGTGCCCGCCGTCCGACCGGTTCGATCTTGTCCCGGGTGTTGACGCTTTGTCCCGGGGCACGCAGAAAGTGTAGCGGACGTATGCAACGGCACTCGCGGCGGTGAGAACGGACCGGGGAGCGTTATGATCGGCGAGAACGGAACGAAATACGCGGGCAATAAAAACGGACCGGGCGGAATTCGTCGAGGCGGTGTAACGGTTCGGACCGGGAGCCAATCCAAATGAACATACGGACGGCGAACCAGCGTTGAACAGTCTAAGAGGAAATAAAAGGAACTGATTCTCGTTCCCCGTTTCTTTAAGCTTTTTTATTTTTCGCTTATCCCTAGTACGAAACGTAAAACCCGGGACACGTTTTTTTTTTACGCTATTAATCCGGAAAGTAGTAAACACTAATGTTTGATTTGCTTTGGAAATACGTATTGTAAGTTGCCACGAGTCATTCGTTCGTCAATTGGTCGTGCGTACACTAACTGTAATTAACTGTAATAATACACTCGCGAGCACTTGAGAAATTTAAAAAACGAACAAAACTAACGAACATTAATAACCGTGTTCACGTTTCCCGTACATAGGAATTATTTCCCGTTTCTCGTTTCTAATTACATCAAAAGTTAACGCTTTCCGCATTGCGTCCCTACGTATACGAAAAGAACTCGGTTCTTCCCAACACCGGAGCGAATGACGGAGGTTCCGGGCGTTTTCGAGATGGGATGGTCTATTAAATAGAGGTCTGGGAACGGCGGTGAAAAAGAACAGAGAGAAAGAGAAAGAGAGAGAGAGATAGTAGGTAAACATTATAATATAATAATTATCATGAGGTAGGAAAACAAACGCGGTAAAATATTACGTGTATATAGTATACCGTTTTTTTTTTTTTTTTCTACTCTCATTTGATTCGTTGCGTTCTAATTGAAATATATTTCCGCAAAAACTTAAAACCGGTCGTTCGTTATCCCGTAATATTATAATACCGTCTACCGTATTTATACCATACTAATGTTGGCTTTCTTGCTGCGCGCATAAAGCTTAATAAAAAAAAAAAAAAAAATAAAAAAAATTGTATTTTCTCAAGTAATTCTCCGTTGCGGATGTATAAATGCTATTTATTTATTATTATTATTATTGTTATATATATATATATATGTGTATATTTTTTTTTTATACGTAAAACAAATCCGCGTAGCAAATAACCGGCGCGCTGAAAAAAAAAAAAAAAAAAGAACCCGTATCGCCACGCGTGCGTACGCTGTTTCGAATTGTATACGCGACAATAGAGACGCGGCAAAGTTCGTCGGACGTACGAAAATGCGTCCCGGACGGCGAGTGCGCGTACATAATGATAACAATTGATACGCGCGCGCGGTTCATATACCACGACGGCGGCGGTAAACGGCCGTTATGGATAACATTACCCGCGCGTCCTTATTACGAAACCGTCATTCCACGTAGGTATTCCAGTTTTCGATATTTTTTAATGTCTTCAATCGGAAAACATAAAATATTTTTTTTTTTTTTTTTAAATATCCCTTCGTTACATGACTGACCGAACAAAACGTTCTACTAGTGATCGTCCCAACAAGTATTCTGTAGATCGAAATTTTACAGTTAATAGACAAACAGAATATACACACTTCATCATGGTAACTAAGAGTGTTAACTGAAAAAATATTTTACTTTTAAGCTGCGTTCGAACATAACTCTGATCCGATCGGTTTTTCGAGTGTCTCAGCCATCCTCCCCCCCCCAAAAAAAGGATTAGAGTATCTGAAGGTTCTTTTTTCAAAAAAAAAAAATAACAATTTTCACTAATATAGACTATGTCATTTAGTTTTACACATATATTGTAACAGTTGTGTACTTATCCGTACACGCCGGACCAAATATGTTCCGCCGAGCGTAATAATACGGACCAAAGTAGTTATCGTAACGTACTTAACGAACAGAAAGGCGGTGTATGAATACACAGAGGTTCGGTACGGGATTATTTTTGATTGGGATTAAAATAAGGAAACGGTTCTAATACTCCGTCACGTATCCTTGTACGGTGATTATTGTTGCCGGGCGAACCGTGAAATAATGACGTACGGCGGGTGACACGAAAAAAAAAAAAAAAAAAAAACGAAAACGGATTTTTCAGTGGTAGAAAAATCATCGAAAATCTATTGGTACGGCGATAAACTTTCCGGATTTTCGTTCGCGTCGACTACTGCGGTGAGCGATTAAAATAATTTGCCGCCGACACAGCTATTGCGACTGTTGTTCCGGTGTCACGGACTCGGTGGAAATTCGAATTTCAACGTACGTCATTGGTCCGGGCGTCTGTTCGAATATCGTTTCGTTCGCTTGTCGGCCAAACGGTACCGATCACAGAGGATTCGACACTCGGCGACAGTTCGTTAGTGTATTGGCCGAGCATTAGTTCGGCTCCCGCTGTCGTTCGGGATTTAGCGCGTAAGCTTGTGCGGATGCCGAAATCGCGGCGCTACGTTTCGGACACTGTAATTTTTGAGATTACGCCGAATCCGAATTGTCGGACTTTTTCCAAATCCGTTGGACGCGCGGATTAAGCAATTTAATTTCGACTTGTCTCGCGCGTGTACGGGGCTTATCGATAAAAAAAAACAATAGCAGTCGTCATTCGGAAACTGACGTGCGCGCGATTGTCGGCTACGTTTAAGACTCTGGAAACCGTTGCCTTGGCCACAGGGGGAAGGTACGGAACAAATTATAACCTTTCTCGCAACGGTTTTCCGTTCGCAACGGTTTATCTGGTATAAATGAATTCGCGCCGTGATGTTACGCACGTTCCCATTCGACTTTCTTCTTAAAACGGCAGCGTGTTCATCAGCAGCGTGATTGCGCGGGCGAGGGAAAACGTAAAAACAACCGTTGATCGATGCGATTGACGAACTACGTGATTCTAGTGTCCCGGCGTGTTTTATTTATCAGCGTTATTGTTATGATGAAACAATCAACGGAAGGATATGGTTCATCCCCCTCGTGTCCCATACGAGGGAAATATTAAATCCCACGCGATTCACAGCTGATTGATAATAGTCTGCGATGTTTTCGTTATTCGAATATATTTTCTATTTGCAGTGTATAGTAAATATCTTGGAATATAAAAAAAAATGTTTTTTCCCCCACCACGACCCGTGCCCTAATAAAACACGGTTTATGCAAAGAGGAGTGGATAATGGTATCATTCTAAAAACATTTAATTCATAATTGCCGTATCGTCGTTTCGTTGTAAATAATAAAGTCACACGGTAATACTAATGTAATCGCGAAATACATGAAACAATAGCGACATAAAAAAATATATATATGTACACACACAGATACGGGTACGAAATTTACGGTATTTTCGGTGATTCATTATTTCTTAAAAAATATATACTATTAACTGAATTTAATTAATTTTAGTCGAACAATTTTGTGAATTGAATTAATTACTAAATTATTCGCAAAATTATTAATTGCTAAATTATTCACACAATTTTTCGACTAAAATTAATTAAATTCAGCTAATAGTAAATATTTTTTAAGAAATAATGAATCACCGAGAATACCGTAAATTCCGTCACAAATGTACCGACAGCTGATGTACATTACGGGTAAAATGTATTCCGACGATAAAAATGTGCAATATATTATAAAAATCATTTTTTTTTCCGTGCTGATCTCCAATATCTAATTTTTTAATTTTTATCTTTATTAAAACGCTGTAATTTTTTCGAAAAATCTCTCGGACGGCTTAAAACAAAATAAAGTATAATATAATATATTAAATATGAATACACACAAGCGCAAACTGCTGCGTGTGATTTTCGATATAAAAATCAAAATAAATTTCGCTGTTAAACTGGTAAAGGTCGTGTTTGTAAAATAAAATATTATGTTGAAACCGTTGAAATTTATCGGGTACCTTTTTGTAATCTTACCATTACAAAACGTTTCTACCGTCCTGAAAATGTATCGCGGTAGTATAATCTCTAAAATTTTTGTTATTATATTATTGCCATGTGTAACGAAACTATATCATATTATATTTCTACCGATGAATATGGCAATAAAAATTAGTTTTCACGATTGAAAAAAAAAAAAAATAAATGGCGCGTAAAATTGGCCGCGAGGTTTCATTCGTTTTTCGTGATGAAAAAAACGTAAAAAAAACTCGTAGCCGAATGCGCTGGCCATTGCGCCACGGTGGCCCGTGACAGAGGCTTCCTGTTTGACGATCCTTCAACACAACATTCTCGGGTGAACGGGAATCGACGCGATTTGACACACAGCACGGACACGGTAATACAGATTCGCGAACGCGTTCTAGAATTTCGTACAAAAACCGTTACAGATTTGTATACCCATTTTTGTTTTGCGAAGAGCTTTGCGAGTTTTCCGTGCGGGTTAAGTAAATAATCTAAAATAACGATTTTCGATACGTCTTGTTAAAATGGAGTCTGGTTCTGGGTTTGAACTAATAATATCAGGTGGGTGTTATCCGCGGGATTACGAAAGTACGTTTTGTAGTACATGTAAGTACAACGTATTATTTGCCCTGCGCCGAGTGTCTCGGAACGGAAACGATTCCTATATATCTCATCCTGTAACGCGCTACACGCCGGAAGTATTCGAAATTTAAACACTCGCTGTGGATATTGTCTACAACTAGAATCTGTGACAGATATTTCATTGATTCGGAAACACATTTTAAGAAACCGGGAACGGTATATTGGCCATAACCAAACTTATAAATAGAAAATAAATAGAATACTATATTGCAATTGCATGGGAAATTGTTAAACCCCGCGAACACACCGCATGTCGGTACATGCAGTCATATCACGTTCAATCCCAATGTCGTGACCACCTTCATAATAGATACTGCACACTATTTATAGAATATCGCAGTCAGAGTAATCGATAATAAAATTTCAACACAAAATTATGGGCTAACAATATAATACTTATGTGTTTTAATTTAATTTTTGTAAATATAATGTGGAAAAATACAGTTATGCAAGGGAAAACGGAAGATTTACGCTCAGCCTACTATTTGAACACAGGGAGGGCAAGGGAGGGTAAATGTTCACTTAAAAATTGTCTTCAATTTAGTGTTTGTCCGTGTATGTTACATTATCACTTCGTCTTAGTCTATCAGCAGTCAGCTATTATATGATTGTGAACGATTTTCGTATTATTAATTTACATTTATTAACCGTACAAAAGAACATTGGATAATTACGTATGGTCAACAAACAGGGAGACTAAAAAAAATTTTAATTTATGTTTATTAACCTCAAAATAATTTTTAAAAAAAAATCACGGAAATCACTCCGAATCATTTTAATGAAAATATTATCAAATTTAGTTTTTATTAATTAAAATATTTGAATCTATTATAATTGAGTTTTTTGAATACCCATTGTTCTCGGAACCCAACAAAGTGAAATAATAAAACTCAATAAATAATATTTAATTAAAAAAAAAAAAAATGGCGACTGATGCATTTTTCCTAGGGCCTCCTGTACAAACACGGTCGACCCTATTTTGGATCGTTACCCCAAGATTAGTGGCCGCTTGTTTACCATACAAATTTATATAATACACCACTGTGGTTAATTTAGACCCGTAAACAAACACTTGTTTCGGGTCAGTGAAACGATTGTCGACCCTTAAATAGCTAAAACCAATATAAAAATATAATGAATACTTAGTACATAGTTTTACTTGTAAATGGCAATATTTTTCGATACGTAAAGTAAATTGTAAGTGCGCATAAAGACAAATAAGGGCTATATGGCATAATATTGATTAAAATATTCAACCTTTATAGAATTTTTTTCAAGGAAATATATCGTAATAAAAAAATCTCCGCCCCCGGATGGGTTCGAACCGTCAACCTTTCGGTTCATCTAAACGAGATAGACAATTATACTACGGAGACATCTTGTAGACTCCGGTATCTAACTGTACTTCAATAAAGCAGATTCGTCGTTTGTCGAGGGAATAAAAAAAAATTCTTTTCATCCCTCAGGTTTTCGAGTATTGATGGTATTATATTATCGTTTTTTTTTACCTGTGTATTGAATTGACAATACTAACAAGAACATACTAATTTAAATTCTTTCAAAATTATGGTTGTAATTACCTTAATATTTCAAATACGGTAAATTTCACTTTTTCTGATGATAGTGTCTCGAAAGACAAAACATGCGGAATTATTCTCAAAACTGGGCATTAAGTAATTAAAAATATAAAAGTTATCTTTTGGTAAATATTAACTTAACTAGTAAAAAAAATAAAAAATAATTTTAGAAATGAACGTCATTATTTTTTTTTTTTTCTATTGCTAAATATATGTTACGTAAACTATGATATGTTTATAAATACAGTTTATTGTTATTAAAAATGAGAAGCTTATAATGCTAATGGATTTGACACTGTTTAAGGATGGAAGTTGGAAACTTCGATTAGATATAAATATAGGTTTAGTGAGATCGTTTTTTATTTTATGGATTTTCTTATCGATCCCATCTTGAAATAGATAAAAAAAAAAAAGAACCTGTATTAAGAGTTTGTCAATATATTACGTAGAACTGTATAGTGTTAACCTGTCAAAGAATTGAACCAGACACCATCACCTAAGACTTAACTGATTACTAAATTTACTGATGACAGTACGTGTCATCTTTTCAGGACGTGTCAAGGTTTTGCTTTATGAAAAACATTAATAATAAATATTTATCACCCCACGAAGCCCGAAATTTGATAACCCGACTTGATCGATTGGCAGATTGATTTTTGAGTTACGCTGCTCGAACGGGACATTTTCATAATATAATCTTAAGCTATTTGATTTTTTAAAAAGCTCCAACTGCGGAATTTATAGAATATCATATTTAAGGTTAGTTCTCTTAATTTAACTAGTTAGGTTAAAATTTACTAAATCAAGTCACTTGTAACGCATAAAGTTTAATTTAATACAGCGCAATCATGGAAAAATAAATTAATATCTAGATTTCGTATTTGCATAACGATTTTCAAAAGCTTAATGAAATTTACGAAATACGCGATACTTTTTCGCGTTATATGTATTTTTTATGTATTTATGTATGGTTTGTCAAGGTCGGTAAATTTTTACAGAATGTAAAGAAGTACTATTGAATTTACAACATAACCAGAAGCAGATATATTTGCTTCCGGTTAGTATTCCGGTTCCATAAATATTATGTATTTCATAGTACATAGAATATGTTTTAAGACAGGGCTCATGTATTGTTTTTTTTTTTAAAAAAAAGAAAATATACATTTCTTCATAAACCAATAAAGGTTAAGTGTTGTGTAATGTAATATACACACTACATAGAGTTCCGTATTTCATGATTTAAGTCAAATTTTCCGTGAAATACTTAATATTATATGTATATTTTTTTTTTTTTTTTTGCAAAAGGCTGATGAAAAATTGTTTAGAATAATAAGGTATTGTTAAATGTCGCATTTTCTTAATCTGCTCGCCTTTATTTTTGAGATTATAATCCATTATTAGTTTCCGAATTGTAACCTATTTATTAAAAATTTTATCGAAAATCTAACCGTCACGTGAAAATTTAAATACCTCGTATATTAACTGTAACTATGACGAACGAAAAATGTATTTATAGATTAGTGACAATGATTATTGTAAGTGATAAACGTGTTTATGGTAATAAAAACCGGTTGCCGACAAAACGTCACCACCGTACGAGACCGCGTTTCCGGAAATGAACGGGGACGAAAAAAAAGAAAAAAAAGAAAGGCTATTGACAATGCAAGGGCAACTCTTTCCGTTTTATTCGAATAACCCGCCGAACTACAGTTTATATAGTATGCGCACCGAACGTAGGTGATAGAAACAAGATTATATACCTAGTAATAAGTCGGGCTTTTAGATTTTGATTTTAAGGTGCTCGAATTTGAGTTTAAAACTAATTTATTTTGTTTTTTGTTTTTTATCTTCCGGGACGCTTTGATAACGTACGAAAAAAAAAAAAAAAATGTTAATGCAAAATGTATAATGTAGAATATATATTAATTTAATACATCGTGTATTCAATAGGTAGTCTATCACGAAAAATGTAATAATAAATACGATGAATCAAAATTAATTTGTATATTTTGATTTAGGACATAATTTACGTATCAATTAGTTTCGACATTTTAAATAACTTTTTTATTTCAACGTTTTTGCAATTCATTGGTTTTTCGATAATTATCACGGAAAATTTTGATTACAAATTAGATATAATCATAAAGAAACACAAAATTGTACAGTCGTGTAAAGAACGGTGTAACTGTTATTTCATTTTTTTGACAAAAACTTTATACTATTTACCGGCCTACTTAAAAATTTAAATAAACTCTTTAAATCTTTGTTTCTTGCTGAACAGTCTTAATTACCGTCACTGCAGCGGTGTAAGTGTAATACAACGTTAATTTATGTATACTAATATTCTAAACTTGGTCGTTTACGCGGCGACAAGAATTTATATTTTTACATTCACCGGTAAACGCGCGTAATATTATACTTTTTCGTCTCCGTATAATTTAGTTTTTATATTTTTTAATATTTCGTTTTAACGTATTTAATTCAGTGGTTTTTTTTTATATTTTTTGTTAATAAATTACCAGCAGAAACTATTCGTCTATATAATGTTACGCCTTGTAACGCCTAAACGTATTAATGTTTAAACATCTCACCGCAATTATAATAATATTATAATATCGCTAAAGTCGCGTATAACGTGATCGCATTATTATTATTGTCGCTCATTTTTTTCTCAAATATTGAGCGTTATTTCCATTATCAGCACACAACATTATTTTTAAATATATCAACATTAGGAACAAGGGACGCGCGCAACCCATCGATTCACCCCCTCCTCCCCCCCTTCGAAAATTCTATATCAATTTATCGTAAGTGCGTACCAGATCAATATTCATACTGCCCCCGGTCGTACGGTATGGTTGTTGGTTATGTTGTTTCCGGTCGAATCGATAATTATTCGCGATCATTATAATATTACATGACAATATTTGTTTTACAATACTCGGTATTTTCCTAGTAAACATCCGGTAGTAATAACGACGACAGACCGTGTTATTATTACGATTCTGGTCGGCCGTATAACAATATTGCGGTGATAGCCTCATAACATTTAACACGGTTGCATAATTTAGTACTGTGGTATTATACGAGTTAATATACTACTGTTGCGATCCGCAGCGGTGCGGTTACACGCGCGCTATAAGGTACCTGGTGCGATATACTTCATGATACACCGGATCAAATTATTAGATTTGAACGGTATTGCCCGGAGGAGAACGTCCCGTAAGAGCTTTGGACCGGTCGAGGACAACGTCATATAAATTGTGATCGTGGTGACGACGGAAAAACGGTGAGCTATATATTTATGTATATATATTAAGACGGGTTTGGGGAAAATATTTGCTTACTAAGATCTTGACGATAAAGGACAGCTGTGGATGCTAAAGCCCACTACAACCCCGGACGGTGCTGGCGTTAATAAACCGACTTGCAAAAAGCTGTGGATCGGGCAAAAACACGCAATAAAAACGGGAGCAAGAGCTTTAACGAAGTGAGCTGAATTTTGAGGGTTTGTTGAGGGAGGGTTAATGTTGTGGAATGAGACGATCCGAAAGGTCCGATGAACCAGAATAATAATAAAAATTATCTAAAGAAGTATTAGGCGCGAGTACCTGAATATGCATCTGTCATTACGCTGGTAGCATTTTAAAAAGGCGTTTCGAATGATATGATTGATTTATTAGGTATCATTTGTATATGGCAATAACTTTACGTATGACAGTATCTATGACAAGAACACTTGTTCTCGGGTCTTCTATGATAAAAGAATGTAAAACAATAAAAATACTGCACCTGAAAACACGTCCAACGGTATGTTTAAAGTATACAATTATACTACTGGCTCGAATATTATAATTTAAATGTACGAAAATACTACTGAAATAATATTGAGAGCTAAATCGAAATCCCCTGGCAACGAGGATTTTAAACAATACCGCAAGGGTTTAATAATTTTTCAACAACATTCTGTGAGTGACAGTCACGGTGACCGCACACGTTTTTATTCAAACACTTCAAACGCCTTGAAAACATTTTGAACACCTTACTAGTGCTAGTGCACTCGTGTGTGAAGAAACCCGTAGACTCGTGTGTAAAGGAATCGAGGCCACGAATAACTGCGCCCAGTTCACAACCAATCCTCGTTTTCCATTGAAAATACCGTTCGGATTGAACACGAAAAAGCCGTCCTAGGATAATGGGAACGGCTGTAACCATTGTTATGGGTAATTTATTTAGACGCTTTGAACGCTTTTCGAAAAAAATAAACACAAACTATTTTTAATTGAACCCCGATTTTTTTTTTTTTATAAATACTAACCGAAACACAATAACTTACAACCAATCGATTCGCTTTTCATAGAATACACTGAAGTTGCGGACGGTCACCACGAAATTGGCATTAGAGACTTTAGCATTTAGGAGGATCCAGCGCCAGATGGTTGGCCGAAAACCACAGCGTGAAAAAACTCTCGGGAATATTGAGTGAAATAACCCGGAAACCAGTGCACTCGAATACCTAAGTCCACGAACAAAACTGGATTTCCATCGAAAAACCATCCGGTTAAAAAAATGAATTACATATTCCGAGGCCAACGAGAGTATCAATACAATTTATGTTAAATAACTAAATGTAAAAATCATAATTTTTATCTATTATATTATTTTTATAAATATGGGTTTCTTTTAGTAGTTTTACTTTTTGAGGTACTTAACAACGAGGAAAATATCGATACCAATACTACTTTGCTCTAAATCGCTTTATCGTTTACAGTTATTATAATCTTTACGTAAATCATATTAACCGAATAATCCTGTGCATTGTATTTTCCCAACCAACACACCTATAACAGAGATTCAACCGTGTGAGAGGTGATAATTTTTTTTGTTTTTTTTTTATTAAATTATGGCAATCGAAATAGAATCTGAATTTTACGACGGTAAAATCTGTTGTAACTTTCGTGTTTTTTTTTTTTCTGTTTTCGTTTTTTCAAAACGCGATATGTTTCATTATTTTATATGGGAGATATCCCGAACCTTGAGCAATCTCGTAGATATAATAATTGTTTTGTGTTTTTCAATAAACGTATATATATATATATATATGTCCGGGGTATGGATAGTCTCGAACAATAATAATACCATAATGTAATAGGTATTATTGTGTAACTATACGGAAATTTAGACGTTTTTATCTTATTCGGCGGGGCGCAATAACAATAGAATCTTTCAATATTTGTTCGGGTTAATACTATCGCATACATATATATATATATATGTATGTATTAATGAAATTTCCACTACAATCGATCGTGTACGGTTAATAATGAAAAAGTCCCGGTCGAAAGAGAAAACTTTCCAATCGTATGAGTATATATATTTCGCTATTATATCTATCTATATGGCTAAAAAGTAATAAAGTTATTTCGTACCGAATGAAATGTGTTTCGGTTTCGAAACTGTTCGATGGTTATTGTATAAACAAGGTAAACGCCAACCATTTTTTTTTTTTGAAATTCTTTTTTTCTTACATCGAATAATCCGATATCGTTCTCTCATACGGTAAAAAAAAAAAAAAAAATGATTTATTCTATGGTTTAATCTAAGAGACATAAACGTCTAGGATTTTTTTTTTTTTTTTGGGGGGGGGGAGAAGTGATTATTGAAAAGCATTGGGTGTTAGCAGCGTTTTTCGGGTACAGAATGGTAACTCTGGGGAAATCACCTTCCGACCGCTAGTTTTCCAGTACTGACACCGAATTATCGATACTTACTCGTTGAACGTGTGTCCTATCGGATCTAACCGTATTTTTAAATAATAGTCTACTATGGGTACTCGACACTGTTGATTTCTCAAATTTCACACGTGGCCAATATTAATTCTTTTTCTGGTGTACGTCTATGGATAACGTGTAGGATAATTAAGTTTATATATGCCGAGAGCTACGATAAATCATTAAAATCGAAAAAGTATTTTATCGCGTAACTCAGTAAACCGGAAACATTAGATAATAGCCGTGGTTTTTCGTTGTAACCAAAGCAACACGGAAATCAGAAAAAAATAACCAACGTATCGTCCTGCTGTCGGTTTTTTCAATGTCCAAGAAAAACCGTTATGACTCTTTAATTGAATGTGTAAATAAAATACTACTAGACGGATAAATTGTATCATTTAGAGTTACAATAATATGAAATACCAGCGTATGTTTTAAAAAAAAACTAATATCTGCATCATTTCACTCAGAGAAAATATGAAATAAACTAGTAATAATATTTTTTTAAAACAATTGTAGAGTGAAACTCTGACCACGTCATTATTGTCAAAGATAATAAAATGGATACTTTAGTCGAGTATATGATATTAGGAATAGTTTCAATCATGGATGAATTTGATAACAAATAAAATTGATTTAGAGTCATGGTAATATAATCACCCTGTACATAATGTTACGGTCATTAAAAGGTTTCCATATTTTGAAATGACGAAGCCGGAACGCATGACTGAATGACTTTTTAAAAAGTGTATTTTAACTGGTCTAATATATGAATTGAATACAATATGACGAGGTTAAATAATAAAAAAAAAAAAAAAAACATTTTCATCTATCTTAAAAATAGTACACTAATTATAATTCCTATTTAATTTTTTTTTTTATATTTTACAGAAAAGTATATTGATACATTTATTTTGGTAAATGTTTTTTTTTTTTTTTAAACATCTAATAAAATTAATTTCGTTTCACCTAATGAATTGCGAAATATTCAAAAAATATATAACAAATTCTCATAAATGTTAAAAAATTCGAACTAATTCAAACTTCAGATTCAATTCGACACGGGTAACAACGTTTGATTGACTCAATAGTTTTCGTAGTTCATTGTTGTATACATAGGTTTAATGGGTGAGCCTGAAAAATATTTAAAGTTTTAAAATTAAAAAATATCCTAATTTACGTCCATATAGGGGATAAGTACAAATCTGAACAACTCTAACAACAACCATTGAATATAATTTCGTTTTTAAAAAAAACCTTGTTATTTTTATTATTATTATTATTATTTTACTGAATTACCTATACAATATTACTATTCAGACAGGTATTCTAATTTACATAGTTTACCCCGTTAGTGGTTGAATTTCCAAAATTTTTTCTTAGCGGATGTTTACGCTATAAAAACTAATCTCTACGCCGAATTTCAGCTGGATGTATCCAGTGGTTTGTGCAATGATGAATTAATAAAAACATGTTACAATTTGTATGCCTATAATTATTTTCAAGAATTTTTAGATTAAACACCTTCGTTCCGTAAACAAAATACCGTATAATAGAGAAAACAGTTTTTTTTTTTGTTAATTGGATAGAAAAAACCCCAATTGTGTGTGTATAAACCAATAAATCACGGTGTACCTGGCAGCATATTTCTACATACGCATTACATCGGGCAATCATTCCAATCGTTATTATTATAATAATTATTTATCTGATAATTCATTATATCAAATCATTTTTTGTATGAATTATTCAAAATGATCACTGATAAGGATTCGTAATCATACCTACTTTGAAATATTCGTGAACAGTGTTCATTACACTAGCACGGCATGAGTTTATTATAAACAGGCAACACCAATCGTCGCTCAGCCGAGTTCATCTACGAGTCAATGGGGTAATTACGGGGTGGCGAACAGGGGGCAATGCCCCGGGGCCATTGTATATTATACAAATTGACAACATGACAATACGAAAAAAACTTATAATAACAGGTGATAATATATAGAATAATATTATATTTTTTAATCGTTGCATTAAAATGATAGAACTCTTTTTAAAAGAAAATCTGACCGGGAAGGTGCATTGAGGTCGTTTTTTTGATTTTCTCAGGAATTTTCCTAATAAATTTGAAAAATTGGTAATTTAATTTAAATTATATTTTCTAATGATAAATATTTACGTGAAAATTACTTTAATTTGACAAGTGATGTTTTCTATCAAAAAACTTACTCCAATTAAAAAATGACAAGAAATTGACTTTGTTTCATTTAATATTTAAGCATTGCAGTTTTTACAAAATACTTATGTATACCTTTTGTAGACGTGGTAAAATTGTCCAAATATTTTTATAAGTATCTGATACTTTCGTATTTTTATGTTTTTTATTAATTCTTTTTGGTTGGTATCTGTTATTACATTTATATAACTTAAGAAAAATGCTTGACAATTAAACGCATGGTACATTAGATAAGTTGTGCTCATTGGCTTAAACATAAATTTGAGTTTAATGCATTAGTTTACTTTTCATAAACATTTTATTATACAATTTTAACGAAAATTGTAAAAATTACTGCATTTATATGCATGTCGAACTTTTTCGTTAGCCTTGGTTTATCTTTACGAATTAAATCTTTATAAATTAAATAACATGTACCTTACTGTACCTAACATGTATCTTACTTTACTAACTTTCCTTTAGTTTTTTACTAATAGCTAATGAAAAAAATAATGATTTTATATTTTTATGTTGAGCATTAAAATTTAACTCACAAATATTTATTATTTAAATTTAAAAATAATGAATCGAAAAAAAAATGTTAAAAAAATTTTTAACACCATGTATATTTCAAATAAAATATATTAGTAAAAAAATAATTACACTACTGTTAAAATAAAAATGAAATATATAAAAAAAAACTGCAAAAAATTTCCGCCCGGATAGGGATTTGAACCCTAGACCCTTAGGTTAAAAGCCTAATGCTCTACCGACTGAGCTATCCGGGCTTATGGTTTACTCTGGCGAAATCATACTATATAACTGTATAACTTATTTTGAATACTCTCGATAAAATACAAATTTTGCGTTTAACATATTTGATTTTAAATAACGCTTTTTATCTGTGCAATTTACATTTTTTTCATACGATATGTTATATTCTATTAAAACAATTATAGACTAAATAATAATCGCTAAGTTAGAATTTATAGGTAGGTATATGACATTATAATTTATTATAAAATGAAACAAAACGAGATTACAACTATAACGATTTAATTGTCACGTGTGTTTATTAATTACAAATAGCTACCTGGCTACCTATCACTTTATACTTGTTTCATAAAAAACATTAAACGAATTATAAAAATGTAAAGGTTGGGAAATTGGTTTTTTTTTTAAACTGCTTTGTTCAGTGACAACATTAGTCAACAATATTTCGATCATAATTTATAGTGATTTTCCTCAGAAATCGTTCTCGATGATTTTTTTTTCAGTTTTTGAAATGGGCTAGTCAATAGTCATAGTTGTCTCAACCACCGCTTATTTAGAATTAAACAGGATAACCGTTTGGTCACTGTCCACCGCAATTATCCTTAATTCTATTGATGCAATTATTTGTATTCTTCTTTTTCTATACTAATGAAAATGTAGTTTTAATTTTTTCATTATTTTTATTGATTATTTCTAACTCATATTAATCGATTTCCGTGCGCTATAAAATCAAATTCAGTTAGCTCATGAAAATCATGATTTTAACTATTTTGTAATAAGAAATCAGATAACGATCAATACAAGCACCTATGTTAAATATATTATAACATTATTAACAATGCCAACGCGTTTGACAAAACTCAAACAAATTATAAAATATTACTACTATTGCCTACTTTGCAAAATGTAAGTACGGGAAAGAAAATCAGCTTTCCGCTAGCAATTAACAACTATCGCCATAATATATATGTAAGATATATCTATTTTCTTTTACTTTTTTTTTTATTATTAAAATGATATAATAAGTGACTAAATCAACCACGGTGTCGACCACTGTTGTATATGAAAAGTTGGGAAGGTACGGTATAGAACGAAATTTAATGTATATCTATAAGCAAAAATTATTCATTGATCATTAATCAATATTAAAAAAAAAAAAAAAACTATTCTGAGCGAAAATTGGGTAATATTATTGTTATTTAACAATATGTATGTCGTATAAAATAAATATAAATGTATTGAAACACTTAGTAAATACTGGTGATTAGATTCGTACATGTATGATAATAAAGTTCTTAATATTTTTGTTGGCCAAATCAAAATCCCCTAACAAAACGGTTTTAAACAATACTAAAATTGTTTAAATGTTTCTCGTCGTTATTTCACAATTGACAGTCTTAGTAATCGAACACTTTATTTCGAAACTTTGAACAATTACTAGACACCTAACAAGTAGACCCGTGTGCAATAAACACGAAGCCATGAACAATCGCGCTCGGCCAACAATCATTCCTTGTTTTTCAACCATGCGGACGGGATCACGTCAGGGTAACAGTATTTTTAATGTATGCATTTATATAACTGGCTCAAATGTTATAATTTAAATGTACAAAAATACTATAAAATATTATTGAGAGCTAAATCGAAATCGCCTGGCAACGAGGATTTTAAACAATACTGCAAGGGTCTAATAATTTTTCATCATTCTGTGAGCGACAGTCACGGTGACCACACGTCTTTATTCAAACACTTCAAACGCCTTGAAAACATTTTGAACACCTTACTAGTGCATTCTTGTGTGAAAAAATCCGTAGACTCGTGTGTAAAAGAATCGAGGCCACGAATAACTGCACCCAGTTCACAACCAATCCTTGTTTTCCGAAGAAAATATCATCCGGATGGGAACCAAAAAAGCCGTCCTTGGATAATGGGAACGAGTGTAACCACTGTTATGGGTAATTAATTTAGTCGTTTTAAACGCTTTTCGGAAAAAATAAAACACCATTTTTAATTGTAACCAGATTTTTTTTTTTTCATATACTAACCGAAATACAATAACTTAAAACCGATCGATTCGCTTTTCATAGAATACGCTGAAGTTGCGGGCGGTCACCACGAAATTGACATTAAAGACTTCAGCATTCTGGAGTATCCGGCGCCAGGTGGGTGGCCGAAACCTATAGCGGACATATGCGTGAATAAACCCTCGGGAACATTCTGTGAAATAGTCCATGGACTAGTGCACTCAGAAACTCGAGAGTCCACGAACTTGTTTTCCAACGACAAAACCATCAGGATGCAACCCGAAAAAGCTGTCTTAGGATAATGGAGACGGTTGCAACCACTGTTATGGGTAATTTATTTAGACGCTTTGAACTCTTTTCTAAATAAATAACACAAACCATTTTTAATTGAAACACGATTTTTTTTTTTTTTACAAAAACTAACCGAAACACAATAACTTAAAACCAATCGATTCGCTTTTCATAGAATACACTGAAGTTTCGGGTGGTCACTGCGAAACTAATCGTCAGAAGCTTCAGCCAAGAATCAGACGCCAGGTGGTTGGTCGAAACCTACGGCGGACATTTACGAAAAAAAATAAAATTCAATTCTTGTTTTTCAATAATAATACCATCCGGATGGGACACGAAAAAGCCATCCTAGGATAATGGGAACGGCTGTAACCACTGTTATGGGTAATTTATTTAGACGCTTTGAACGCTTCTCGGAAAAAATAAAACGCAAACAATTTATTAATTGTAATCCGATTTTTTTTTAAAATACTAACCGAAACACAATAACTAAATCGATTCGCTTTTCATAGAATACACTGAAGTTGCGGGCGGTCACTACGAAATTGACATTAAAGACTTCAGCATTATGGAGAATCCGGCGCCAGGTGGGTGGCCGAAACCCACAGCGGAAACATTGTGTGAAAGAACCCATAGACTAGTGCACTCGGAAACTCGAGGCCACGAACAAAACTTGTTTTCCAATGAAAAACCACCAGGATAGGAACCGAAAAAGCCGTCCTAGTATAATGGGAACGGTTGTAACCACTGTTATATGTAATTTATTTAGACGCTTTATACACCTTTTGGAAAAATATACAACACCAACCAATTTTAATCGAAACCCAATTATTTTTTAAGTTTTAACCGAAACAAAATAACTCAAACCAATCGAATCGCATAAACAAAAATTAATAATTGTACGCACCCTACTTTCTCAACTTCCCATCAACAATAATGGCATACCCGTTTTAAATATCTTCTAAAATAATGAATTCATAATTATAGCAGTATAATAACGTGATAATATCAATTTCGAAAAACCAATTTTTATTTATATTACTTTTCAATGTTTGGAATAACTCGTTTTTAATCTCTAGATACGGCTTACCGTCGGTCGGTTAATTTAGGATTACTAAATAAATACCCAGTATGTACATACATCCCCTCCCTGACAATACATATTTTACTAAACATTTTATAAGCCGTAACTATAATCTAGCAGTGGCAATATGATAGGCTGCATATTTGTCTAATATTTAGTTATTCAAAACTCGTATCGAGAGTTCAAATGACGTTTTACCGGCTTTTAAACTAGTTGAACCGGTGTTAAAATACCCCGAAAAAACAATGTACTCCGTGCAACAATGTCATGTTTGAAAAATTGTCCGCTACCTATACATGTTGTTCCATCAGAATACAAACGCATAATATCCCCGTAGCATTTGAATGGAACTATCGCGCGAATTAAAATTATGAAATCATATACCCTATCTCTAAAAAAAAAAAAAAAAAATCGCATTTCTACCGGTTTCTACCGGACGGCGCCGCTATTGCGATACTGCTATCGGTCGACGTTTCGTCCCGCCACGTGATCTATCGAAATGTCGGAAATTTTCGGAAAATTGGACGGGCACATTATACGCGAGGAGCGCGTTTCGAATCGTCCGTTTTTGTACCCGCGCGCAAATCGAAACGAAAACTCACCCGAAAAGTGAGAACATGATTGGCGCCGAAACGGGCTACCCGAGACTAGCTACCCGGCGAACCCGGCAAAAGGACCCCGGCGACAGCGACAATCGGGCACATTATAATAATCGTCGGTACCGCACGATTGTTGCTCGGCCGTACGCACCGCGGAACCGTTCGATTCGGTCGTGCGCGGGCCGCGGCGAACCGCGCGTTTCGCCCGTAGACGTCGTCCGCGGCGGTATTTCTGTTCGGCCGAAGAGCCGTTTTAACACGGAACAACGCCCACGCGCGCATTATTACAACGGCCCGTTTCCGTTTGATGACGCGGAAACCCGGCTCTCCGCCTGACGGTAATTGTCCGAGACGATTCCGATTCCGACGTACAATAACAATAATGATAATTATACTAACGATAATCGCACGGCCGCGCGCGACCCGGCCGGAAAGACGAGACCGACGTGTAACGTACACACGCGTGTACGAACGCGGGCCGCGGTCGGGTCTCAGGCGTACCAGTGTTATTGCCGGGCGCATTGTAATATTTATCGTCCGTGCGCAGTGCCCATACGTCGCAACGTGCGGGCACTGCGTTTTTTTTTTTTTTTTTTACAGCACACTAAAATTCCGAGATGCAAACTTTACATTTCGTACCGTACGTCACTCTGGGGCACAAAAACGCATAGTTTTAGCTTCTGCTGGACGAATATAAACGATGGGAAGGAATTAATATTTTTTCAATTTTAAAAATGCTGTTTTACCGTGTCCTAAAAGAGAGGAGCGCCGTGCATTTGGACCAATAGCCTTTTTCCCCGCTTAGTAATAACAGCGTGGCTGTTTGGGAAATATCCCTTTGTATATGTTTGTTTACATTCTACATTTTACCTGTAATTACAATGTAAAATATAAAATATAAAACGGTGAAAACACATACTAGAAATATCGCACAATATTTTACAATTGGTTTTACTGTAATCGCTTTGGTCCAACAGGGTAAACGGGGAAATTTCGTTCTTCGGACCTTGAACTTGACGTTTAGATTGAAATTAGAGTTTAAACTGTTATTTCAAAATTAAAAGTGAACATATTTTAAAGGGTTTTGTTTAAAAATATACAAGAAAAATTGTAATTTCTAGGGCCGTGACTTTAATTGCCCCTTACCCTGGACAATTTCTTAAAACGGAGAAAAATGGTTACATTGTCTTTCTCTCTCTGAACGACCCTTGATTAAGTATAGTTCACGAGTTTCATTTCAAGTGAGCTGCCCACTTTGTGAGATACCAAGAGACAATAAGTATAGTACTCAGTACATTTGGTTGAGTAGGTACTCGACTCGAAAAAAATGAATACTACGTCTAATTCTAATACTCGGTGTTAAAAAATAATATGAATAGACACGTATATAGTAGCGTGGAGACTGAACGTACGATATAAGGTAAATAAACTAAGCTTTACTTAGTATTAAAGGATACTAAAAATAATGATGTATGTAAATAAACGAAATGTATATTATGAAAGGCGCACAAAACGTCAAAAAAAAAAAAACAACCAAAAATCACTTTAATGTATTTTTAAAGCAAAAAAAAATCCACCTTAAAAGCCTCTAACCTATATAATTTTTTTTGTGTTACTCCTCTACGATTTTCCGCCATTTTAAAGTGCTTTTTTGAGTGTTTTTTTTTTTTTACTTTTTAAATTGATTTTTTTGTTCATCTTATGTTAATATTTTATCTTAAATCCACCATATTTGACTGAAAAAAAAAAAAAATTGTTTCAATAGTTATTGGAAAATTTTAGTATATACTTCCGAATAATTACATAAGGTATTTGTAAGATTTCTCATAACAGAAGCTATTTTTAAGATAATAAATGGGAGAGAATTCGCCATACAGGAATTTTGTTGACTTTGGGAAAAATAAATTCAATGCCCTAAAACGGGGTAAAATAATAAAATGTCCAAGTGTACATTTTTAGGGATGAAAATCAACTACAATACCACATAAATAATCGAACGAAATTATTAAATCAAGATTGTGAAATTAATAAGCAATCAATCGTAATTTATTACGGGTCGTCTCCGCCAGAAAACTGATATTTTCCACTTATTATTACATTTAAATAATAAATTCATGTGCAAGGGAATACTATTGATTTTTTTCTCTATAGAATAATATGTTGTTTCATAATAATAAATGTATTATGTTACTATACTAAAGACTTATAAGAATTTGTCGTAATAATATATATAGTATACATAAAGGACACGGAACATTTGAATTGAAGGAGTTACCCGGTGGTAATCCCGAGGTGATTATATTTTTATAGGCTTTATAGGCATACATAAACCTGTATTTATTATCTTGTATTTATTATTTATTGTCAGTTTTTATCATAAACTTGATGGTAAACTATGGTAAACGTTAAAATGTATAGCCACTTAAATAATCAAAAAAAAAAAACTCGACTGTACTTTTGCTTGATTAAAAATAATATTTGTTTAGAAAAATGTATTGTTGTGCCTTCGAAAATTATAATATCTTCATTAGATTTTGTTATATTTTATGTACAAAAACCAACATGTATGTTTTGATAAACATGATTGGTATAAATGTTGTTTGATGTTTCTCTCTGTATCTCTTTATCGTTGTTAAATGATGTTGGGCCATTTTCGGATTGTTCAGTGTTCGCAGGCAAAGGAAAATTTAAAATTAAAATATTACTAAAATTGTATTGTCATTATTGTTGTTATTATACTCTTAATTGTTGTCGAATTTCCCTTGAAAATCGAGACTCCCGCGGTCTTTAATGCTCGGTGTATAAATTTGATTGAATGTATTAAAATGCATGACCGATTGTACTTATTAAGACATTTCTATTTTTTTAAATAAAAATAAAACATCTTTAAAATGTGAACACGGTCATCTTAGATAATATGCGATTAAAATTTAAAAAATGTGTTCGATTTCTTCACCGCCCCGAAAAATAAAAAAGGACCCTATATGGTTACGTGTCGTTTCCGCCGACTAGTGATTTAACGGCCCTACGGTGCACCTGAAACGGCGATTACGCGGCTCGGGAACTCGAAACGCGTTTGGTCGGGTGATCGTCTCGTAATTCGCGGTTCGACGGATTTTACGAATCCGGTTTTTACTCTGCCGGTGTCGTTATCGTCGGTTTCGGTGACGGCCGTTTCCGCCGCGGCTCTTTTTTCCGCCAAATATAGTTCGGGGGCCAATCGTTTTAATATATATATATACACACATATACGTACGGCGGTAGATAATCGATAGTAGATGAAAATATTAAAAGACGCAATACAGACGGATGTGTGTACAAATTAACAGTTATAAAAAAAAGCACAAGAAATATTGCAAAAAGACTATAAAACTGGTTAAAAACAAGTGAAGAAATAGTTATTAAAAAAAAGTGGAAAAAAAAAAAAAACCCAATTAAAATTTCTTTTAACAATTATGTCGTATTTTAATTTTACGGTGTAATTTAAATGTACGGTTTGAAAAAAAAAAAAAAAAAAATACTATAATTCAATTGCACCCGTACGGCTTATTATCAATATTACAATTTGACGGTGCGTAATTGCGCGGTACCTCCCAAAATCATATTTGGCGGGGAACGGCAATCCGTGCGTCTGTTTCGTTTTCGGCGGAACGGGGACGCGCGTGAATCGGGGAACCGGTTTTTACGGGCCCGCGCCGTGCTTCTACTTCCTACGTTTTATAAACGATATTGTCGGCGCGGCCGCAACGTAACGAATGACCACCGCCTCGTGTGTGCGCGCGTGATAATAATAAAAACGGAAGAAACGCACACGCGTAAACGTATAAAAAAAAAAAAAAAATAAATAAATAAATAAATAAATAATTATCACGTGACGCCGCCCGCGATCCGTTTGCCCCGCTGTCCGGCTCTCCCGGGGCCGCGACACCCGCGGAGCGAGCGTGCCCGGCGTACGCACGTGGCGTGCGCGCACGGGGCGTGCGTGTTCGCGTGTTTCGCGGCGGCCCCCGGTGTGTCCGCGTGACCCCCGTCACTTTTTCGAATCGCAATTTAATTTCGCCAACCGAGACCGTACGCACTTCTCTTCCGGGAGCGACGGTAATGGCCATTATCGTTATCGATACGGTATAACGCGAGAGCCCGTACGCGAAACCGGGGCACCGGAAAACCGCCGCGCAGGCGTTCCCGTCGTTGTGCCCGGTATTGTCCTTGGTCCCGGCTGGCGGAGCGGCGAGAAACCGGCGATATTTAACCGGCACTGTTTTTGTTTTTTTTTTTTGCGATTCCACTTCGTCTCGGGTAATTAAATGTTGCAAATCTAAACGCCTTACTAGCCGCCGATTCGTTTTTCGACGGAAAAGGACAAGTCGAAAGCCGTTTGGAACGCTCGCAATAGCCGCAATTTAAACGGCCGAGCGACGGCCGGCATAACATGCCCTGGACCGCCGAACCTTGTTAAAACTACGGGGCTCGATACAACACTCGAAATAAAACTAACCATATCGTTATTGCAATGCCGCTGTGTTATCTGTTTCGTTTTCAAACGTTTTGCTTGAGCGAATGTCGTCTGGTAACTAGAAGAGCGCAAGCGTAACATATTAAAACGTGTAAGTACCGAGAAAAAAAATCCAGGAGTACGGAAGAATCTTATTTGGCAAATGTAAAATGTTGAGATCTTAATATGATTGTAAAACACAAAATTTTCGGGGGGAATTGACCCCTCGAAGCATCGCCAGATAAGACCCTAAGTGAGAATGTTGAGAATGTTAAACATTGATGGGCTTTCGCGCCAAATTCATTCACTAGCCGTGCCGTGATATTTAAAAACTCCTTTAACCCTAGCTCATCACGCTCATCGCCATCGTCGATAATATTATCGCGTTTAAACGAGAAATTCTTGCAGGTCTTAGTGTCACGTGTCTCTAATATTAACCTGTTTTGATAGAATGCATAAAGGAGGAATACCTTATCACATTCCGTTGGCGATAAAAAATTATCAATGAACATCCAATCGATATCGGTACGTAGTTCACGAATTTTCACACGCGAAATACGAAAACAACGTTCCGTCTTTATGCAATGTATAGCAAAGAAGATTCCGTTTTCAATGTTCCGAACGTTATTGAATATTATAGAATGCATTTAAGCTATATAGCACACATCAATTGTACACGTATTAAATTATTCTTATTTCTAAGGCGTAGGTAAATACCCGAATAAATCGCATTCAAACCATCTGCTATCGTTTATTTCCATAATATTATCACAATATACGTTATTAAAACGTTTAAACTTTCTAATGGCTGTTGATAAAAGTATAATATTTGAAATTTAAATATGCATTGATTTGTTTCGTAAATGGGCAAAGGTGTGGAGGGGGGCTGAAGTGGTTGAAACCATCCACGTTTTACTAACATATTATACGCGGTGTACTAAAATCTGTTGAATACAGTATCACGGGCACGCCCGATATTGTATTATAAAACACATCGATCCACATTTGAATATTATATAATTAAAGTTTTGAAATATACTTAAACGATGTGTTATTACTAAGTTTAATATTTAAATAATCGTAATCTTAATTCTTCATTGATTAAAGAACAAACTATCATATAATAATATAAAGTTGTGCATTATTCAAACAGATCATTAGTAATGAATGAACCGTTATCAAAACTACTTTAAATTACCTACTAACAATATTGATTACATTTCACATTAGCGCATTCATAAATATCCTAAGGGTAGATGCACAATAATTATACATTTAAAAATAATATTAAGCATAAAAATCTCGAGTTTTAATTTTAATAATCAACGCCATAAATTACGTATCAATTTTGCTATTATAAAAAAAAAAAAAAATTGAATTGATAAAATATAAATGAAATTTACCAAAATTATAAAATAAATGCCTAACGACGTTTCTAAGTTGCCAAACAAAGTATCCTTTCTTTGAATTCGACATTGATTTCACGGGTATGGTGAATATTGAGAGCCATTGGTTGAAATTTAAAGTTTCCGAAATAACTTTTTATGCGTTCAAGTACAAATAATGACCTTTCAGTTTCACAAGATGTGATCAGCGCTTAGACAGGTTTAGAAATAAATCGGCATTGCATTTATTTAAGACGTTTTTTTATTAATTTATTTAGGCCTTTTTTTTTAGTCTAATGTCACTATCTTATTTAAATAATGACTCCACAATAAAACTTTTGATTTTACTCTATCAAAACTATCAACGTCAGTACTTTAAAATTCAACAAGTTCTGTGAGTTTTTCTCCATTAACTGTTAAACTTTTAATTAACATCTGAAATGCCCTAATAATATTTTCATGATTTATAAAATCATCATTCAGTTGTTGAAAAACTAATCAAGAAAAGGATTATTTTATAAAATAATTTTCAAATATTCTTCAAGACCTTTTCTTGAAATATTCACGCATTGTTTTTGATGCATAGCTAATTGAGAAATTTTAATTATAATCGCAAAATCATTTAATATTAAACTGGAATCGTTAAATAGTTTGTTAAATTCTGTCATAACAATTTCTCTTATACCAATTACACGGGAAAAAAATATAATTTTTGTTTTTCCCTTGATTAAATATGATGATTATTATTATTAAAATCTAAAATAATTGTTAAGATATAAATTGTGATAATAATTTTTACTATTTGCGTAACAGTACTATATTACGATTATGTATATCACCAACATCATTCGGTATTGTTGTACAGTAATTTACAATAATTTACTTTTCACTTTTGAAAGAAAATTCTGTGAGGAATATTTATGCGTGTGAAAGACAGCGGAAACAATTGTTAAGAATCAGGAATTAGAATCAATATACCAAAAACCGAATATCGTTGAAACAGTCATAAATAAAAGTCTATAGTGAGCAGGGCACCTATCCTTACAGTACTAGAAAACAATCAAANAAAACCGAATATCGTTGAAACAGTCATAAATAAAAGTCTGTAGTGAGCAGGGCACCTATCCTTACAGTACTAGAAAACAATCAAATAAAACAAATACCCATTGGAAAACCAAGTACGATATGGGAAGACTTAATGAAGAACGAAATGGAAGTCCAGGAAGAGAAACAGATTGGAAGACAAGGGCGACCGGGATGGATGAAAGGCAGTATGTATAATGGAATGGAAATGAGGATCCGAAACCCTAACTCTTTGGTTGCACCATATATTGTTCATACTTAAGTTTTATTGATTTCTTCACGGCATGAATTTCACCGTAATATTAAAGATACTAAAGGTACTAATCGCGTGTGCGATTATATTTATATTTTTGTATAACTGGTAACCACAATGTAACTGGTTACGCTGTTGTGATTTTATGGTCCAGAAAATAAACACCATCTAAAGGACGAATAAAAAAAGCAAAAAAAAATACATCTTGGTATATTAACTATATTAGCTTTTTCGCTGGATTCAGAATTTCAAAACCAAATCACTAGAATACTTAAACGCATTAACCGTATTTACCAAACTGTGATAAAAATTTTTACAATTTAGGTGAAAATTAGTCATACACGTTACTTTTGAAAATTAAATTATTTTAATCGTTTCGATGTGTACAAATTTGTTCCATTTATGTTCTTACACTTTTTAAAAAATACTTTTAGAAACCAGGTATTGCTATTAATATTAATATTCAATAACAATAATAATAGTTTTGCATCAAAATGCAGCATTATCAAAATAATTATAAACATATTTATAACCACTTGACCTTTTTCAAATACCTTTGCAGGAATATACTTTTTTCATTAACTAAAATAAAATTACATTATGTACGTTTGTTTAACAACAAAAAAAAAAAAAGACAGCTGACAACTGCACGTAATTTTTTAAAGTTTATATAATAATAAAAACAAAAAAAAAAATAAAAATAGGTAGGTGTGTTGAATAGTTACCTATGTGTTTTTATGTTTTTTTTTATATTTTTAGATTTATAGATTTTTAAACGTGGTTAATTCATTAAAAAGAAAAAAAAAACAAGCTTTAATTAATTTTTTATTTTTACTAACTATGGGTAGTGGTTATATAAAAATTACCCCGTACTCTATCATTTTGATATTTTAATTATTAGAAGAATATTTTTTTTTCGACCCCTTATGGTTGTAATATACGAAAGAAAAACTAAATTAGTTTTTACTCTTTCCTCCTACTCCTCGTCTCACTCACTCACTCTCTCTTTCTCTGTTTGTCTCTCAGACAAGGACTTAGCTAATGATTTGTTTAATCGTGTAATACGATACAGTATTTGTACAGGAGATTATATAAACAGAACGAGAATACCGTTTTATTTCCGAAAAGCGATTATTATACCGATTACAAGCTCTCGGAAAGACATAACATCGAAAATGTAAACACACGAGTGTGTATGTAACTTAAAAACACTTTTCCCGGGTTTCAAGCATCATTAAAATTTGCGAGGCCTCAAGCTGCAAAAAAAAAATGAAAAAAAATATATAAAGGTAGTTAGTTGTGTACATTTTATAAAGGGTAGGTACCTAAATTACATGGTACCTAATAATATTTTTATTTCGTTATACATAAATATTATTGTAGATAGGTATGAATTTCGATGAAAACATTCGTTTTTAAATTGCCGACGGAATAATTGAGTACGATATTATAGTCGCTCATCTTTTTTTCTTTTTTTTTTTTTTTTTTTTTTTTTGAAAAGCACATTTTTCGATTGACTTAGGGTCATTGGGATCGTTATCATTCGCGGGTTTGACAAATCGACGGCAGTATTATCCCTTTAACGATAGGTAGATAAACCGAGTTCTTGCTGAGAAAAATGCATCCCGATTGTAAACGGTATCCTTGTTATTTTCATTGTTATCTTCTCTCAGACTATTCTACACAACATACGGTAACAACAATATCATTGCTACCTTTTCAACGGACAAACTCGACACAATAATGAACATTATTATTGTTATCATCATTTAGGATCGTCTCACAATAAAGATAATCAAGATAACTTTTTCCATCGCTAAAACCTTACAATTTCGTCCACTCCCTAAAGTTTCTACTCATTTATTTCCACCTACGCAAATACAGTTTACCTATATTGGATTGTGTTCCAGAACTGTCCTCTAATGTGTTTTGGTATCGATCTCTATAATATTATGTTCTCCAAACGTTAACTGAAAAAGTCTCTGTTTTTTTTAATGTACCAATTAGATCAAAATTTCAAAAAAAAAAAAAAAGTCACTCCTTATATTTTAAATAGAGCAAGATTTCCTGTAGAAAAGTTGTTTACAGGCACGCATACACTCGCGTCATAGTAAAACCGACACATTTTCCTCTAAGCTCAGAATCTTAAGTCGTTATTGTGTCGCGCGTTTTCGGTATCGATTTCACGTTTATTTCGCATCCGGCAGTACGAAACGGCACCTTCCTCCGGGAAAAAAGTCACCGTCGAGTCGGAATCGCTCGGACGGATCTATTTGGACTATAATAAAACGCTGTGTGTTATTGTCACCGTCGCCACCGTCGTTGTTGTCGTTATCGTGAGTCGATTATTATCATCATTACTATTATTATTATTATTATTATTATTATTATTATTACTATTATTACTACAACTATTATTACTATCAGTGCTATTATTATCATTATCGTTATTATTGCCGTTATTATCGCGCCCGGGCTGAACGTCGTCGCCGTCTGAACCGAACCGTGAAATGACGTTGTAAATTTCGGAATCCGCGTGGTCGGCACCGCCTCCGTGTAACAACAGTATCGTCGTAGCCATCGGTCTTATATTATTATTATTATTATCATTGTATATCGTGTACAGCGGATGCCCACGGGACCGTTTCCAATTGTCTCGCGCGAAAATCAAATACCGTCGCCGACAGCCATTTCACGGACGACGGACCGCGTGCATTTACACGCGAGAACCTGTACCTCAAGACCCGAAACCCGGGACCCGCGACCCACCCTGGAGACGGATCGCCTATTAACGGATTGTACACGGGGTCTAGGCACTATACACTCGCATAAATTGCAGTTTTCCGATTTCGGCCAATTATTCAATATGGCCGCGATTCCAATAGGGTTTCTAATCAATTCGACAAAAATACGAATTAGAAACGAAACGGATGTTTAATGTCGGTCGAAGCCAATAATCCATTTTCCGAGGAAATTAGCGTCCAAATAACAGTAAATCTAAAACCTATACATATAGTCGGCGGATTCGAACGTGAATTGTGTAGACTCCATCGCGTTAATTCGTCGAGATACTGTTGACGATACTACGATAATATGGGTTAAGACCAACGTACAAACCTAACCAATTTCAAACAGTTACGGCATCAATTTACCATTGAAATTATTTCCATATACCTATATGTCATGCGCCATATGCAGACGTTCGTATTATAATATTATATTTGTGAACATACTTTAATCTCTCCTCGCTTTTTCTTTACTATGCTCAGGGACCGGCGAGTATTCTGGATACGTAAAAATTTATCATATATATCGATAATTATACGATTATCGATTAATCGATTAATCTATATAAAATAATTATTACAATACGTCTGTTTAGTGGACCGAGACGAGACGATTATTCTTCAATAAATTTAGCCTAACAATTTTATCCATAGCGTAAAAACGAAAAAAAAAAAATTTTCACAAAATAATATGTCTATAAATAGCTAAAAAGGATCAAATGTTTTTACTGTTTTACCTGAGACAAATATAAGTTTTCTGTCCAAAGTTAATGCGAATGTTTTTAACGGAATTATAAAAGCATTATTTTCGTAAATTTTCCCGTTTTTCATACGTTTTATACCGGGTTTTCCCAGATGTTTAAAAAACCGCCAAGAAAATCAAAAAATGACCTCCTAAAATATCGAAGCAAAATTTCTGGTAGACATTTTTGCAACGGTATACATAAAAAAATTAATAAAATATGAACATATTAATATAAAATCAATACATTCTTCGCTACACACAAAATTCAAAAAATGACCCCGACAACACGTCAGGGTAACAGTGTTTTTAATGTATGAAATTATATTACTGGCTCGAATATTATAATGTAAATGTACGATCACATTAATATTATTGAGAGCCAAAACGAAATCCCCTGGCAACGAGGATTTTAAACAATACTGTTAATGATAGTTTAATAACTGTTCAACGTCATTTCGCGAGCGATAGTCATAGTGACTGCACGTTTTTATTCAAACGCTTTGAAAACATTTTGAACACCTAACCAGTGGACTCGTGTGCGAAGAAACCCGTAGACTCGTGTGTAAAGGAATCGAGGCCACGAATAAATGCGCCCAGTTCACAACCAATCGTTGTTTTAAGACGAAAATCATCCGGATGGGACCCGAAAAAGCCGTTCTTGGGTAATGGGAACGACTGTAGCCACTGTTATGGGTAATTCATTTTGACGTTTTAAACGCTTTTCGGAAAAAATAAAACACCATTTTTGATTTTAACCCGATTTTTTTTTTTCAAATACTAACCGAAACACAATAACTTAAAACCAATCGATTCGCTTTCCATAGAATACACCGAAGTTGCGGGCGGTCACCACGAAATTGACATTAAAGACTTCAGCATTCTGGAGAATCCGGCGCCAGGTGGGTGGCCGAAACCTACAGCGGACATATGCCGTGAATAAACCCTCGGGAACATTGTGTGAAATAAACCATGGACTAGTGCACTCAGAAACCCGAGTCCACGAACTTGTTTTCCAACGAAAAAAACATCAAGATGCAACCCGAAAAAGCTGTCTTAGGATAATGGAGACGGTTGCAATCACTGTTATGGGTAATTTGTTTAGACGCTTTGAACGCTTTTCTAAATAAACAAACGCAAACTATTTTTAATTGAAACCCGATTTTTTTTTTTTTTTTTAATTCTTATCGAAACACAATTACTAAAACCAATTGATTCGCTTTTCACAGAACACACTGAAGTTGTGGACAGTCATTACAAAACTGACCGTCAAAAGCTTCAGCCCCCCGAAAAATCGGGCACCAGGCGGCTGGCCGAAACCTACGGTGAAAATTTACGTAAAAAAAAGTCGATCCTTGTTTTCCATTGAAAATACTATTCGGATTGAACACGAAAAGCTGTCCTAGGATAATGGGAACGGCTGTAACCACTGTTATGGGTAATTTATTTAGATGCTTTGAACGCTTTTCGAAAAAAATAAACACAAACCATTTTTAATTGAAACCCGATAATTTTTTTTTTTAAATTCTTATCGAAACACAATTACTTAAACCAATTGATTCGCTTTTCACAGAACATACTGAAGTTGTGGGCAGTCATTACAAAACTGACCGTCAAAAGCTTCAGCCCCCCGAAAAATCGGGCACCAGGCGGCTGGCCGAAACCTACGGCGGACATTTACGTAAAAAAAAATCTGCGGATCCTTGAACGTAAAAACCTACGGGCCCGTATACAAAAAACCTCCAATGCCCGACGAAACCGTAGAAGTGTGCCGATGAAACCCGTGGTCTCGGGCGCGAAGAACCCCAAGGCTACAAACATCTGTGCAAACAATCAATTTTTGTTTTCCAACGAAAAAACTATCCGTGTGCAACCCGAAAAAATGAATAACAAATTCCGAGGCCAACGAGAGAATCGATAAAATTTTATGTTAAACATCTAAAATAAAAATCGTCATTTTTAACTTATAATAATATTTTTACAAAGATTGGTTTTTCTAGTGGTTTTTTTTTTTTTTTGTGGTTTTCCGTGCCATACAAAAAAAAGATGCGAATTTTTAAGGAGTATAAAAACAAAAAAAAAATGAACAAAACAATAAAAAATAAACATCACTGTAAACTCGGAATCTAAAGAACATTATTCTACCCCTGTTCACCGGTATATTTTAGATAAAAATAAATCGTTCTGAATCTCGACGTCATCTCGTATCTTTCCGCAATCCCATCCGCCATTCACGTTTTATTTGTTCGCCTTTGTTGTATTATAATACTGTCTGATGATGATTATTTGAAAATACAACATATACGTAAAATACTCTAGGCTAAGTTTGGTAAAGCTAGCTGGTATTATTTTATTTTTTTTTTTTTAGATTTTTGACTAAAATTGTTGAAAAGCACGCCAAGGATTATTAGATATTTTATTACAATTTATTTTATTAAAACGTTTGCAGAATATGTTATATTTTACAGTTACTCGTATGTTTTGTTTTTTTTTTATATATATACCGTGACAAAATTTTATCCTGGAAATCTCGCACCGATGTGTAAGTGTAGCACCTTTCCAGAAAGGAATTTGTAGAGAAATTGTATGAGATTTTTATACGTAGTTTGTATTTATAGGTACTCTTTGGATAAAATTTTAATTAACAGAAACGTTTGAAAATTTAACAGTAGGTTCATTTAAAGTTGTGTTTTTGGGTTGAATTAAACTTAATGTAGAATTTTTTTTTTTTACACAAATTTTAATTTCAAATTTTGGCGAAAATCGTTTTAGTAAACAATTATGTAAAACATATCTAGTTACGGGTCTATTCAAACTGTATCGATATATACTTATTTTTAACTATAATATGACATTAGATATACTGTTTATTGAAAAAGCTTCGCTCAGAATCTTTTTTCGTTCGCAACGATTAATCTTTGCTTATGTATATACATAAAATTCCCCTCTATATCATACTGTCTTTCTAACTTCTCATCTACAACAGTGGTCCATCAAAGGTGCAAAATATGTCGGTCTTTCTTTTTTTTTTTTTGTTATTAAAAAGTACTTGTTGTAATTAGCTGAAGTAATTAAAAATACATTTTTTTTAATTTCGGATTCTTAAGAATTTGACAGGCGTGTTACACATCGTTATGTTGTTGATTTCATTAAAACTTTCCCGAAGTTGTCTACGTAAATGTCTGAAAACAAAAAAATTAACTATAAAATCCAATATATTCAAATCGAGTCGGTTAAATCGTCGGGTATAATCCACGTAGGAGATGAATAAAAAAAAGGGAATTTCTTTGTATATTATTGTTGTTTGCTGATATTACAGCTTGGAAATGGCCGAAATAAACGAAATTAAATTTAACGTGATTTCCCGTTTCTCCTGGTCATCCGTTTTTATTCGTCCGTGACACTAAAGGTAACGAAGAGAACAAATGGAATTCTCGTACCGTGATACCTGCCACCAATTTTACATGGGGGGGAATTTCGGATACACGGCTTCGCGGGGCGTAAGGACGTTCTGCGGCCGTATTTAGGGAGGGGGGGAGATAAGGAGGATATTATTATATCCTTGTGCCACTTGACCTTTTTGAAATGAATCCATTTCGGAGATTCTGATTATGAAATTCAGCCGTTTCGACTTCGTGGTCAGAAAAATCGAAACGTTTGTGAGTGATGTGTGCAACGTGTAAATTGTTTTTATTTTAAATTTATTCGAGATAAAAAGTTAATACTTTAACTTTCGGTTAACTTCTAATTCGCATGGACGAATTGTCGATTCTAATCGACATGATTTATACGGTATCGCGTCGTCGCGCGCACGAGCCCGCGCCAACCGAAAACGGCTAAAAATCCGCGGACACGATTTTTTTTTTTATCAAATCCGGACGCGCGAAAACGACGGTTCCGGTCGATTCGTCGGACGGAAAAATAATAATAATACGCGATACCGTTTTTCCGGCGAAATATCCACCCCGGGTGGCGGACAACAATAGCGGCGGCGTGTCGGAAAAATCCGCCGGGTATCGCGTGCACGTCCCGCACAACGGCGGTGTAACGCAACGCCGTTGCGATTCCGATTCGACGGGGCCTTTATTGTCGCACGAATATAATACGATTGTCGGACCGTGCCGCGCGCATTAAAATCTCGTCGCCAACGCCGGCGGACAGGTGCGCGAAACACAATGACCGCGCACAATGGAGCGGGAAATTCCGCCCGAGAGCCGGCCGCCGCCTATTGTCGGGTTTCGCGCGCGGCTCGTAAACGCGCTCCGGGAGGGGAGTGTTTTTTTTTTTGCATTTTTTTATTATTATTATTATTTTTTTTTTTTTTTAACGCTACACTGTGTTATAGCCGCGGGCGCACCGACGCACGCCGCGGACGCGTCATCACGTCCGGCGCAACAAATCGCACACTGTTTTAATATCGCGCGTTTAACACGCGGATTAAAGCGGCCGCAACACATTGCGCGAGCCGGCCTTTAAATCGTTTTTTTTTTTTTTTTTTTTTTACGTATTATTATTAATTTTTTTTTTTCGCATTAACACTGCGTTATTATTATTATACCCGCGGTACCCCGGTACCTGTATGGTATTATGTACGCGAACACGCGCAAAGACTTCCGCGTCGTTATCCGGAGATTATCAATATTGAAATTTAACAACCCGACAATTATAATACGCGCGGTTATTAAATTGTTTTTTTTTTTCGCGTATTATATTTTCATCATCGCCGATACGTTTACATAAAATCGGCGTTTTTAATATCATGTTATAATACACGGGCGTACATCCGAACAGTGTAATAATATTGTTTTCATTATAAGTATTTTTTTTTTTTTTTTAATTTTTTTACTAAAAAGATAGCGGCGTATTTATATCGCTCCCTCGATCTCCCGAATAGACACTTTGGTTTTATTACTCATATTTCTTACCCATGAATTTCACCACTTCTAACACAGTATATGTAATATGCGTTCTTTGAATCGCATTAATATATTATAATTCTGTTTAAAGTTCAAATTTTAACAAAACTCTGTATAAAAAAAATCGGAATTTATCTCGTATAATTACACGAGTTGAATTTGGATTCAAAAAAATAGTATGTTTTACCGAATCAACGGTTCACAAACTTTTTTGGTTTGACAACGATTTATCTTATATTATACTGTATACATACAAACGTAAACACCCTATATATGTACATCCTACATCCTACTCTTCCGACTTTCCGACAACGACGGTGGTGGCTCAATAAGAGTACGCTATAATGGAAAAGACATTGCAAACATTGTTGTCTGAAATAAAGAAACCCGAAATCATGTTCGCAAGTCGCAATAGTTATTAAGAGATATTAACGTATTAACGTAAATATCGGACGGCGGAGACTGCAGTCAGCGATCTCCTATAGACGGCAAAATAAATTTAATTTTCAAAAAATGTTCGCAAATATTTCACGATCAAACTTTGTCAAACAAAAATACTCCGGACGCTATAGGCTCTGAAAAATCGGATACAGTCATATTTTTGTAAAAATTCACGTCTCAAACGTTCGGGCATAAATAAATAAATACATTTTTACCGCTTAAAAAACAAAAACAACAAAAATACCCCGATAACCGAAGACCTTTAAGCATTAAATCTAAAACGACAAGTTTTCTCTCTAATTACTAACTAATGTATGCGCTTTTGATACAGCGCGGTATCGTTGCCTATACCTTTTTTTTTTCTTATCCAATCCGATCGCGTTCAAAAAACAGAATTAAAAAAAAGGACATAAAAGTAGTGTTAGCAAAAAAAAAAAAAAAAAAACGAATTTTTCCGAAACCGTGCCGGTCTATCCGTACCGGACACGCAATATAAAATAACGATATTGCCGCGGACCGTGGAATTGCTACGATTATCATACAACAACTTTACAACAACTGCAGACCGCCGCGTTTATCGTGCGATTCGCATTTTGAAATTTCGGAAAAATTGTAATGCGTTCAGCCCGAAACGTTCGAAATTACCTATACATAAATAACCGTATGCGCAGAGCGCGTACGACATGCACGTGTACTTGCGTTTAATAATGAATTCGCTTAACGAACCCGTTTAGGGTGAAAATATTATGACGTGTTCTGTTTACGCGTACGACTATATTATTCGGCATGGGTGGCGCGGTGTGCTAACTGGACATATTTTATACGGTTGTTAGATCGTATCGGGAACACACGAAACGCATTTAATTTATGTACGAACGTAATGTTATTTATTACGAATGTATTATTATTATTTATTATTATCGCGTTTTAACGACGTAAATAATTTAGTTGATTATTATGAAATACGTTTGTCCGTTTTCGAGTGAACGCGTAATTTACAAACGAAATTTTAGTCAACGAAAAATGTTGATTTTTTTTTTTCTACTCCGCAGACTGTTTTAAACGAACAAATAGGATTTTTTTTTTTCTTTTCTAAATTACCTCATATAACGAAAAACCATTCGATTCGCTTTTCGATCGACGCCGAAATATCCATTAAATAACTCGGTGCTGTACGTTAATTAGTATATTCGGTACCTGACACCGTGCGCCTAGGGGAGCGGTAGTGGGTTTAGGGATAACTCTACTACTGCTGACTTAAAAAACTGCTATTATACACGAGTACGTATCAAGTAATTCAATGTTAACATTTATTACACAGTCATAATTCCACCGCATGTGACGGAGAACTAATCGATTGATCGAATAAAAAAAAAAATTGGATTTTTTCAGATGAGAATTTTATTTTCCCATAGCCGGGTTCGCCACATACGAACAAAATCGTCTACGATTTACCTACGATTATTTTTTACTACGCCCGTTGAAAATTGTCGCTGATTTTTAAAAATGCTACCGGGATATAAAAATCCTTATTCAAACTAATTTGAGAAGTGTGCACTAAAAAGAAAAACCTAATATAAAATTTATACGAAAATTGTTGATTTTTAAACAAGATATGATAACTATACGGTACCTAACAAAAAAAAAAAAAAAATGTTGTTTGTCACATTTTACCAAGATGACGTAAACATTGTGCAGAAGGTTCCTACGTCGTTCGATCAAAATATTATCCATGCAAAATAGAATCCGGACTCCCTAGATTGGCTGAAAAAATACAACTATTGTTTTATAGGTGATTGGTAATCCGGAATCGCGTTGGCTCCATAGGTAAAACAAAGTTCACTGATACACTTACAATAAATGCATTGAAAATAAATAAATGTATCAGTATCTATTATTTACTGCGGGCCAGTCTACAAACCGTTCACACTTTCCGGCAGAAAAAATGGTCCGGTAAGAGATGTTGATAAGAAATTCGTTTTACATTAAAATTGTCTAACATTTCCTATCGTATACTATCTGCTCTCGACGTCCTGCATATTAACCGGTAATCCCCGTCCCGTCGTCGCGCGATTGTAATAATATTTTTCGATTCTATTTCGTATTGTTGTCCACGGATTTCTGTCAGTGCGCATGCTTGTTGTTGTCTCTACCGCCACCAATTTCCGTGTGAAATGTCTGTAAGAGCCACGTCACTGTAGCAGCGCTTCAAGTCATTCTTCGAGAGTTGAAAAACCGAAATTAACTTGAGTACCTAGAAAAATACTGTTACGAATATTTGCCAAAAATTATGGAAAATACCCGTGAAATTCTTCAAAACTGTACACGACAACTTGTCGAAAATATTAATAAAAAAAAAAACCAACAAAATGCATTAAAATACACACGCGTACGAAAAATATTTCAATTACTTACTGTACCCGCACGTGTACGGTGACAGCTTCTCGGAGCCGGGTTGAAGTGTTCGCCATGGACAAATTATTGTGATGGTCCCGTTACGGAATAATACGGGTTCGCGTTATTTTTATGTTGCCGTAAGAAAAACGTACGAGGAACCTTTTATTAAATTGTCATGAATTTAAACGAAGCCAAACTACAAATTTTATCTACTGCACAAAGCCAAAAAAGCCCGACAGTTTCAAACAGATGTAAATAATTCGAAAACCGTCAGAATATACCAAGTCTGGAACACTCGGCTAATATTTCTTTCGTTCCGGCGAAGAAGAGCTTAAGAATTTCTAATGTTTTTTTTTTTTAATAAAATAATGAATACATTTTTGTCTAACGTATTTTTATTCGCTTTGTTTCTTGGTCTGAGTTGTAAAAGTGTACACACGTATATTTATGTACACAAATCTATCTTTGGTTCAATCAGTTATTAACTAAAGTATTTTTTTTTTTCGGGGTCCAGTAAATAATTCTCATGTTCTTTCTTTAAATTCTACTTTAACACGCGTAATTAAATTTATATTCAAGATAATTCACAAGTAATAATTTAGTTTGGGATTTGTTGAATTTATTTTCTATTAAAACTTTTTATTTATATGATTTAATTACATTTTGTAAATTTAATAATAAATAATTTCAACCACGTCACTCACAACTATAGTACACGTTACAAAGAAAATATAAATATTTCTGTTCTTATCTTCTATAAACAATTTGGTGTAAAAAGCTCTTTTTCCGTCGCAGTTGAACCGCGTAAAATTCTAAAAAAATGAATTTAAATAATTTTCATAATGAAAATTCATTTGAGTCATTCTTAAATAAAACAGATTTTACTCATATGTATTTAATTGAATCTATCTGTTTAATCTGTTCGGATACATCGCAACTCGATGTTTAACTCCACGACACAAGCGATGCTTAATGGGCAGTCGCAAATCTATTTCATTGCAATTATTTTATTATATGAGATTTATGTACCGTTTGCGATTCGCTAAATAAATATTGTTGTTGTTATTTTAAAAATAAGTGTTTGCAGTGTCATAGCTTAATTGTATGTGTTTTTTAAACGTGATCTGTTTGCATTTAACACTGTATGCACGAAATTTATTTCGGATCTTCTTCCGATGTATGCGTTCAAAAGTGTATAACGAAAAAAAAAAACATGACTTTCCGAAGCACCGATGTTTGATACCAGAAACACATTAAACCGATTGTCTTCCGGAATTCTTCCGGTCGAATAAAATGTTTACCGACAAAAAAATAAAAAAAAAATTAATACATTAGAAATAAAATGTGAAAAAAAAAAAAAGAAGCTATAATAAAAAACCCGTGGCACAATAAAACTATACACTCATCGGTTAGCTCGTAAGAAAAACGTAGTATAATCATGCACATGGTATGTTGCGTATATTTTTATATCATTTTTTTTTTATATACAATTTTTTTTTTTTTTTTTTAATATAAAATGCCTACCGAACGGTGGGGTGAGGGGGCGGGGGGCGAGAGAAAAAAGTATTTCGAATGCTCCGGGGAAAAAAAAAATTAAATACTTATACGTTGTATAATAACCGAATTGTTCAACGGATAGACACAGGCATTATACGACCTGGAAGTTTATATTTCGTTGTGCAGTCGTACACCAACAAAAAGGCCCGACGACGGCGGATACCGTCCAAAACGTTTTTAAAGAGTCGGCCAGTCAGGTTTTTGAGTTGATACCCGCATTAAACGTCAGTTAGATATTACATTATGGTCCCGCGATTTCAAAGTGTAATTATTTTTTGCGTGGCCCGTAGCGCCGAATAACTCGACCTGTATAAAAGTTTTTGATTTTCGTTTTATTATTTAAACTTCGAGATTACGTTTTCCGTACTCTGCGCAAACACGCGATTGTGTCAACTAACCGCTGTCGTACAAACACACACACAACGGCGCGGGCGGCGGCATTTACCCCTCCGTACAGTATATTAATATACCGTAATATAGTATAGGCCGTAATGAAAGGGGTTATTTATTAAATTAAACAAATACGTAAAAACATTTGCATTAACGTGCGTTACACATGTGTATGTATTCGATACACCAACTATTAATAGTGTAACAGGATTATTAATTAACATGCGTAACGACTTTTTTTTTCGATTGAATATTTTCAAGTTTTTTTTTTTTTTTTATTGTTGTTAAAAAAATTATACACACATAAATTTAAAATTCCAAATCCTTTTATAATTTTTTTTTTTTTTTCCCCGGTGTTTAAAAGCATCAAGTCGACAAGTCGGTAATTTTCAAACGATTTTGGAAATTCGGTAAAATTAATATTTTTATTTTTCGCTAATTTTATTAACGATAAACGATAAGCGTGTCTCATGGAAAAAAAATCACTCGTAAAGACGAACATGCGAATCAAGTTTAATTGTTTAATTTAAAAGTTTAATTCACAATACTTTAAACATTTTTCATAAGTAATTGACCCAAATATAACAAAATTTATCGATTCCCCAATAATTTGTCTACAAATTGGATTTACAAAATAGCAGTCTCGAATTTTTTTTTCCATTTTACATTTCCTACTTCGAGTTCCGGAACATTAAAACGTAACTAACAAAAATATAACGCACAGAATCTAAATGATTGTAATATTCCAGGGTGTAGTTTATAAGGATGTATTATAATAATATTGTTCAAAACCAATTTCTTTATACTTGGATGATTATGATCGCAAATGAAAATGTCAAGATTTTATTCTTTTTAGAAACGTATCATTTTAATGTTCTCCAATTGTTTTATATTATTTTCCGGGGCTCTAAAAAAAAACAAGTTTTCCCGAATTCTCCTGGATATTTCCGGGTATTTTGTTCCCTATTAATTAGCAATGTTCATTGTTTTTTTTTTTTTGTTTTCTCTCGAGTTCGTTTTACTAACAATATTGTCTGTTCGGCGAACGCGTCAATCACATTGATTAATATTATTAATAAAACATCGTCGCAAATTATTCGCAATAGTCAAAAGTACTTTTGATCACCAGAAGCCACGCGACTGTGAACGATGCGATCGTGGGCGAGGTCTTTGAAAATAGAAACGTTTTTACGAAACGAAACGAAAAAAAAAAAACAAATAGAACAAAATAATGACCGCCGTTCCGGATAAAACGCCGCGGCGGGCCAAAAATATATTCGCACGTCATCGCTGTTACACAGACGGGACGTTGTGCTGTTATCGTCTGTGCGTCGCGGTTATTTTTATTTGACATTTCGTTTTCGCACTGGACAGTGACACTGTACTACGCGTCAGTAGTTATTAATGAAGCCGCCTATTTACACGACAGTAAATGCCGGGGACCGACCACCGTCACTACCGGTCGGAGCCGCGGAACAACATAAATAACTAATTGTACGACGATTGTAGCGGAAAAACGTTTACACGCGGTATTGTGCGAAGTTCAATGATATTCACTTTTATTTGACAAAAACGGCCGGCAGTTTACGAATGAAAAAAACTCCGTCGCCAAACCATATTGTATTTGCGTCGTTTTAAATATTTCGATATCGACCGCGGAATAATGTTTTGCTACGTGCCATTGTTTTATGTTTTCGAAAATTCTCGGGACACTGACCACGGCCGTTTATGCCGACCGGGGGGCTGCCCAATCCGCCACTGACGGACTATAAACGTTATATTCGCATTTAATCGGCCGAGCCGATTAATTATCCAATAAAAAAAAACCGTCTCACCGTCCATAATATGTTTAGGAATTTTGTTTACACGTCAGACAGTACGCATAGAGGTTGTCATAAACTATTCGATTGATAAGTACCGAGTTTTGGAAATGGAAGATCAAAGAGACGATACCAAAGGCGAACCGGAGAGGCTTACCGGACCACTTCCGAAGCGAAATTCCCGACGTTCTAACCCTCCCCCCTCCGTTCATTTTGACAGTTGTTATATTTTCGTAATCGACATAGTTTTTTTTTTTTTTATCGATTTTTTCAATTTAAACGAAAAACGCAATTACATGTAATTAGTATAATATTACTAAAACTCAAACTGCTTACAAAATTAACTTCAACGTGATGTTGTAGCGTAATACTAAATTTTGTTTCCATTATACGTATGTACAATATAATATGATGACGACGACGAACCTCGTATTAAACTTCGAGTATTTTTCCTGGTAGAAAAAAATTGTATCTGCATAAAACTCAATAAAAACCTAAACAAATTTGAAAAATTTAAAGAGCCTAAAAATTGCCAGATTTTAAAGTTTTTATATTTTTAAAAAGCACTAATATAAGTATGCAGAGTAAATTTCAGGTCTCAAAAAACAAAAAAAAAAAAATCAAAAACCGTTTGTACGTACGTTTTCCTAGGTTTTCGACGTTTTTGGCTTGTTTTACCAATTGTTTGGGGAACAACATAGAGAAATATAAAATGACCTTTGCAATGCACTAAATAGACACAATTTTCTCCTGGAAGACGCTCCCTTGGGTCGATGACCGAAATATGATTTCTGGCAGGAAAATTGTGCACAGACAGAAAAAATACACACCATTATAAAATCAATTCATTCCTCTTTATACTCAGAATCTATGAATAAATTATTTTAATGAAAAAAACAAATGAAAACTTACGACGTAATCCGTTTTAATACGTTATAAAACGATCAAAGAACGTAGAAACTACGAAATCTCTAAACGAGATTTATACTTCAAACAAATTTCGATTAAAATTTCATATTGCCACGATAAGCATGTAAAGATAAGTAGTTACAAAGTTTTACAAACATTTGCTTTGAAAAGGTATGATCGATTTGCGATAATTATTTGGTTTTACTATTTTAATACCTATTCAAAGCAACGATAAAGTAAAAAAAAATGTTGGATGTTTGCTGGGAAGGGAATTTTTTTTTTTTTTATAATCCTTTTCATAACCATCCAGTAATGGACGTTATTTTCATGTTGTTGGAAAAGACATTTTGACATTGAAAATTCACTTATGCAATTGATTTATTTGGATAAAGTAACTTTGTCAATTTTAAGCTCTCGAAAAAAAAACAACAAAATACCCCTTTCCTACTCCATCCTAATCAAGATAGACAAGTCACATCACCGAAAAAATATAGCCACGATCACACAGAAAAGCACAAGCAAAGAAGGTCTTTAAGGATAAAACTCGTCACAAATAGCATGACCCTACTGGTTAGGGTAGAGTTCCTGAAAGTAGAATATGTTTGATGTGTGTTCCTTTACACGACTGTCAAACTTGGACAATCGGTACAACAGAGAAAGGAAAATTGGACGCTTTTGAAATGCGGTACTATTGAAAAATGCTTATTGAGATTCAATGTGGACAGAAGGAATTACATGCCAATAAATGTAATAAACAAGATATAGGGAACCCGAGAAATTTGGCACAGTCGCAAAGTCGGAAAGGACAAAATTACGACGCAACTACTGCAGTGACACGATAGTTTGACGAAAAGTGTTAATGTATAAAAGGGGAGTCGTATACAACCATACCTATTAGAAATGCTATACCAAGGATAAAATGCTCGAAGTGAATTACAAAAGACACGGACTGCGGATAATTACCAGAGTTTAAAGGAATTAACTTACGAACGAAACGGCATGCAAAAACAGTCGATGGATTGAAGGCGAGAAAAAAAATCGTTTAGCTCGCCGCCGCACGTTAGCATCCGTATGTATAGAGTTTAACTATTCGTCGAGTTTTTATTTTTCAACGTAACAGACCCATAAACAAATCATGTAAATCATTTCACGTAAAATAATTATATTACATTATGTTTGACGGTGGATGAAAATTAAAAAAAAAAAAAAAAAAAACCATTTTAATTATGCATCATTATTTGTCTTTGTTGCACCGTCGCGGTATACTTTATCAAAATTCAGGTTCTACGCTTGTACCGCTGACAGGTAACGGGTCAAGGGAGACGGAGCGAGCGACTGCCATCAGGAGATCAGTTGTCTAGCTGACCCACAGTAATTTTTTTTTTTTTTTTAGGCTCCGATTTCGTCTTATTTTTTTATTTTTTTTATTTCGAAACAATTCAGCGATCTAGAGTACCCGAACAAACCGCGGCCGTTATTATTCTATGAAACGAAACTACAATTTAATATGGAATCGCCAATATCACAATAAACTATGGCGCAGGATATTAACATGCTTATCGTGGAGAGACGATAACAACGTACACGCGTAATGTTATATGGATATTACAACAGAATGATTAATTCCCCTCTTGAACATTTCGTGAAATGAAATCTTCTTACGCGATCCCGAACAACGTGTACAATAACCATTTCCGGGAACAATAAAATGTGAGTCCATACGCACTAACGTAAAAATCGTGCGCGCATATCCGTTTGCCGTTGGCTAGATTTTAATATTGATAAAAAAAAAAAAAAATTATGTTTATTCGCGATAATACACGCGCTCGTGCAAAATATAATATGTATTTTAGAATTTTCCGAGTACAGATAGATATTAATTTTTACTAAGACGCGTGTTTTGCCCTTCTCGGAAATTAAACGTTTTCCGCTGGTAATAAATTAAATTTGTTTTATTATCATTATTATTATTATTACGATATATGTTTTTACTGTCCGTAAAGAACTTATTTATACCGAGAATTTTTAGATTTTTTTTGAAAAAAAAAAAATTTAGATTTAGATTTCAATCATAACGCGCAATGTATTATCGATTTACTATGATGTGTGCTTTTTTTTTTTTCTGTCTGTGATCTGGTGGAAAAACAGTTCGTATTTAAAAAATTAATTTTTGTTCTACACTTTTCTAATGGCGAATTCTCTCCATTCTGTCTGTGTAGATATCGAGTGATCAGTTTTTTTTCTTTGATTTTCTTAAAGTTTTTTTAATAATTTTGAAAAAAGATATCGAGAAAAACGAGAAAATGCATAGTGTTGCACGGTATAATGCAAGTATTTTCGATTTTGTATTTTCATTGTAATTCGGTTAAAAATAAAGGACTTCAATCGGCTCTTTTTTGTCGCTCAAAAATCAACGATTATTATTAATACGATAGTATCAATCAATAATAAAAATATGAAAACTACCGGTTTGGCTTGTCCAAAAATATATCATTTCCTATTTTTTTTTTTTTTTTTTTTACATTATTTCGATGATAATATCTCGTAAACCGTTTGTTTTCCGATCCCGGAAGTGAGAACGTTATCTCCGATAATACCACAGATACGTAAATCAATTAAACAGCCTTTACGCTTACGCTAAACGCTTTACGAGTCGGAAGTGGGGCAGCCATATACCGCCAAGAGAGAAAATTCTATTGATTAATAAATTAATTTTGTTTTTTATTTTGTTTACGCCACGGGTGATAACGCGATGAAAGACAAGCGGTGTTCGATAAATATAACGACAGATATTTTTAATCGACCACGCATTATACCGTTACACAAATGACGGATATGTCACGTATTTCATTGATGAACAATACAATTTTGCCTCGTATTGAGGACTCTTTTGAGGATACCGAAAGCCCTACGGAACCCCGACGTAACGCCACTGTCCAATCGTTGTCGTATTTCACTGTCGCACAGCGACGGGGCACATTAATGTCACGTACTGTAAGATACCCAAACAGATATCCTTACGGTGCGTATTCGAATACCTGGACGACTGCTTACGCGTTCTGTAATTTTCCACCGGTGACTCCCCCAGCGTTACAAGGGCAGTTGTATTATATACATACGTATAAATATGTACATCTACTAGATGTGTGTGTGTGTGTGAGGCGTAGCGGTACTGGAGGCATACGGTACAATTTATTATTATTTTATAAAACGCGCGTCATGTTTTTCACGTCACCTTGTACAATATAAATTAGTTACATTTCTTATCGCATGGCGTTTACGTGCGACAGCGACCTGCGCGACAGAGTACGGAATACGGTGATATTATTTTTTTCGTCGAACGGTTCGTATAGGGTATGTGTCGTTTTTTTTGTTCCGAATTTATAACAAAACGTTCGACGGGTAAACAAATGTAAAATATTATGTTATCGTACACCCGAACCCACAGGACTGACGAATGCGAATTTTTATAGCGTACGATTTCGAGGGTAACGAAAAAAAAAACAACGTAGGTGGCATTGTACGACAATTGTAATGACTAGAAGATGCGAAAACTGACACATTTCGGATATAATTTTTACAGTGCGATCCGATATCATTAGTTGAATCGCGACAGTTCGTCTAACATACTGAATTTCCGTGTATCATACTGGTATTAAATTCTTCATGAGTGTAATTTTTTGTTATCAAATACAATAATGTGTTTATTTGTTGTTTATTATTCAGTAAAATAATGTTTATCTATGTATCTATCTTCAGCTTCGGAGGTCGTTAAAGACAATCGCTACTTCACATAAAGCCAGGGGGACATTATTCTCCAACGTTTTCCGCTTCTTCCGGACTGTCGACACCGGGTATTTGGATTTCTCGATCTGATCCAAGTACCCATCTCTCTTTTTTGTTTTTTTACCGGTCTGTCCATAGCAGGTCTATTCCCTCTCGGTCTCCATTCTAAAGCGCATAATTTATTACGTTATTAGACCGTCAAAAATTCAAAGTCGGTACACTGAAAATTATTAGCGATTCTACGTAGTCATCAATAGTCGTCAAATGAAATTCTTTTGTAACTTATTAATGCAATTGATTTTATTTTCTCGGCAGATTCTTTGTATTATTTTTCTTCGGTTGCTTAAATTCTGCTGTATGTCGTTCGATTTTATACTAGGTTTTTAAACTTTTTTCTTTTTAAGTGCATTTAGAAGTGTCCAGATTGAAGGATGAATGACACTCAGTGACACTCAATGAAACAATTGTTCCAACCTTCAACTGAATTATTTTTTGGGGGAATGTCGTGTTCCGTCATTGAATAACAATTTAAAATAAAAAAAAATAAATGGGCTCTTCTGCAGGATCTATGCCATGTACTACCGATCCATGCGTTCTCAAAATAATTAATTAAATTAGATAGATGCAGAAACGTTAATTTTTAAATTTAATTTTCGCGTTATATGTTTTATATTTTTTTTCTTCTCTTATTTTTTCAATTCGAGCAATGAGTGCGAACAATTATTTCACCAGACGTATGCGTCTGGTATATCTTCTACGATATATTTTCGGTGCACACTCCACACATCACCAAATTACTTTGTTTACACAATTTATCGATACATGCAAATGAAATAATTCCCCGATTTTTTTTTTTTTTTTTTTTTGATTTGCATTGCAACTACATGATTACTGAACAAATATAGGTAGTGTTACTTTAGTAATTTATTATTGAATGTGTAGTATAATTGTAGACTGTGTCGTATTCGATAAAAAATACAAAACGAAAATTTGCTATAAGGTAGGTAGGTAGTTTCAAGGTAAATTACAAGATAAACTGAATTTTAAATTAAAACTGTTTTTTTTTTCTGTTTTTGTATTTTAATTTTCAGTCTGGGTACATGCATTATACAATGCACAGCGCGATTTACATATTCAATATCTCCCTCCTTGGCGAAATCCTACAACTAAAGCCACTGCTTGTTACTACGAACTAAGTTTCGGCTATTGTTAAATACGAATATCCTACCTAAATGGGGTTTATAGCAATAAAATACACATTAGGTTGGTAAAAAGTAGAATTTAAAATGTGTACGATTATTTTAAATTGCATTAACACTTCTTCTTCTGAGTTAATTTACTCTACAAAAGTTTTTGCCGCCATCACGACTTCACGCCACTTCTCCCGATCATGGATTATATCTCTCCAATCATTTACTCCTATACTGCATTAACACTTACATTTTCAATTGTTTGAATTACAACAATCGTATTTAATACGGATTTCGAACACGTTTTGACGTCACACTAATCGCAAGTACCTATTATTATAATTAAAATGATATGAAAATTATTGTAGGTAATGAACGCGGTCGGCCGGTTTGTCATGATGTTCTCAAAAACGCAAAACAATGTTTTCGGTTTGGTATGACGACAATTTATTTTCGGTCATCCTTTCGTTTATACCATTCCTCGATGGATTCCGGGACAACAACTAGACCCCCCGCGGCCGTCTAGCACTGATCGCAAATATTTTCGTGCGCGATATTTTTGTGTTCCCGGAGCGGAAGAACAAAGTGACAAACATAACAACACCGGCGTGTCATCGGTGGCTTAAAAATCGACCCTAAACAATACCGAGGGGAGGGGGGAGGGGAAGGAAAGTTACGCGTTTTGTTTTTCCAATATTTCGTCCTGCGGGAACGCATTCGAATAAATCTCCAGCACGTCCGGATAGGCTTTCTGAGCCGCGTCGCAGCCCCCCGAGATACAGGAAACTCGTGTATAAACGGTCATTCTCTCGTCGCACACTTCTGTGCCGTTTCGTACCGACGATATTATTATAATTTATGAAAAAGTCGAGGCGGGGAAAAAAACAACACACATACACCGCATACGCGTATACAATAATTGTCTATGCGACCGAAGACGCCTGGGTATTTGAAATAATTGATTTCGTCTTACGTGACTTTTTTTAAATTGTTGTTAAACGATCGCGACCATATTATTATTATGTTTCGTCGAATCTCTCTGCAGTTCCCGACCGGGGATGGGCCAATTTCTCGATTTCTCGGAAATACCGATGCGTGTTCGATAAATTCGAACAGTCTGAATTCGACGGGAATATTTAATATCCGATAGATACCTCCTATCAAACAGTCCAAACGAAAAATCAATAGTTCAGTGTTGCTCGGGCAGGATGGATTCTAGACACAAATCTTCTGCCCCGTCCCTTAAATATTAGCGTAATGCGATAAACTGAAATAGGTATTATTGTAAATCATTGTCTAATAATATTTTACCGTGATACTACCGGATTGATTTTGGCGCTATAATTTTATGTAAAGGTTTTGTAATGCAAACGGTATAAATCGTTATCACATTTTGTCGTTATCTATTGTTTTAATAACTATTTCGTGTTTTGGTAATAATCATGATATTTAACCCGGGGACGAGACAAAAATTACACCCTTTTCCGCGTAATTAGCATCGGATGAAACGTTAAAACGGAATTTAATAAACTGTTTAACGATATCATTTTAAGATAAATCGATATTATAATTGAAGTCCCTCGATTAGTTGTTAAGTGTCAAAATGAAATTTCCAGCCATAAATTCCGAAGAATATTTCAAAATTATTTATTTATTCTTTTTCGCGGTTCGTTTATCCAACAACTATATACCATCGAATTTTTATAAATTATGACAATATTATTAATGTGTTTATACCAAATAAAAATTTAACGTTTAATGGTTTATTGAAAGGCAAGGAATTCTATTACAAAAAAATTATTGAATTTTATAGAGTTTTTTTTATTTTATAGATACTTTGTGGATTAAATGGTTTGATTAAACCTAAATACTCGAAAATTTAAGTCTATGTTTATTATGGGTTTTTTTTTTTTTAATCCAAAAAACAGTTTTAATATAAAAATATAATATTGCATACTTACATTAAGTGCCAAATTTGTTAACAAGTTATATTATATGAATGCGAAAAAACCACTGTTATATACGTTGTTCACATACGAGATGATTAACATATTTTAAAACAATATCATTGTCTCGGAGAGGGTTTTTTCGGTATTTGTTTTTAGAACATTCATGAAATAATTAAAAGCTCAGATATTTTACATTTTTTTTTTTTTGCTACTCTTATTTTAGGAGGTAACCTGTATTAAAAATTTTATAAACAGATCGAGTATTGGTTTAAATTTCGAACTTCCTTTAACCCGTGGACGAGACGTTTCACTTTTAATTTTCGACAGACAAAAATTAATTTATACGGCGGCACGGAGCGCGGCGATTTAATAGTGTTTCGCCTCTTTTCGCTGCCTAAACTTAAAAGGTTAAGTTAGGTTCTCAACTTTTCAACTACCTATAACAATAGCCTACCCATGTGTAACATCAACTTTGTTTAATAACTTACTGATATACTAATATAGTTATTTAGTTTAATATTAGATCAAACATTTGGCGGTAAATAATTATTATTGTATAATGTCACAAGTTTCGAATGTTATATTATACTGGCCAAACATTTTCCATAAAAAAAATAAGCAACTTTTACAGATGGATAGATTGTTTGAATAAAAAACGTAGTATTACCAAATATTTTGATATAACATTTTATAAAATAAAAAAATTAAATAATTACTTTTTCAATTATTTTTTTAAATTTTGAATTGAAATAAAAATTACAAGTTACATTTAAAATGAGTTCTAAACAAGGCGAAGATAAGAAAACGGTCGAGAAAGAGTTTGTGTAAGTGCTTGTTTTAAAACTAACATATATATTATGTGTAATGCTTATTTTGAACACGATATAAAATAAGTGGCATGCCGATCGTAGGTTAAAATAGGTAATGATTTTAAATAGAGTTTACTGTACATTTATAACATATGTGCTAAAAACAATTCGGCAAAATTGTTTAATTGCATTTGCATAATATTGTAATAAATTAGGTTTCAATTGCAAAGTGCACTAAAATAGAGTTAGCTCTCCGCGGTGAATTAATATTTCAGGAGTGGGTATACTGTTGATAACTCTATTTTCCCGAAAATCAAAAATCACCTCTCCGCACAACTACGCAAGGGCGCCCACAAGGGATGAAGGGGGGCGACTTCCCCTCTAGCTTTCCAGCAGGCCAAAATAATTATATCCGAATTCAATATCTGGAAATCTCAAAATTCATTATCACAGGTACCAAGGTGTATTGATATTTATCAATACTTCATCAACCCACATCGATTGGTATCTAATTTATTATCGCAATATACGATGTTTTATGTCCTATATGATCTGAAATCGGTACCAACCACTACAGACTATTAATTTGTGGACAGCTGACTTGCGGTTCTCTTATGTATGAAAATCGTTTATTTATCCGGATTATGTTTAATGTGCTAGTGTACATAGGAAAAAAAAAAATCAAAGAACTTAATTTAACAGAAAAAGTTGTTGATGAATTTGAGAAAAATAAAATACAATTGCAATTTTTGTTCAGTTAGTTACTGCAAGTGTACAATTCAATATTATATTATTATAATACCATTAAAATGTTTAGAAAATACCGAAGTATAATACGTTAACAAAAGTGTTTAAATTATTAATTCAAATTAAGGCCGTCTCCCCCTCTAAATTTTCACGTCCGGCCGTCCTTGCAATTACGATATAATAATAATTATTAATTGAAATATAACGTAACATTTAAATATTTCAGGCCTACTCCTCGTCCAGGCGGTTTGTTAAAAATAAAATTAGATGTTAAAGAGAAAAAGAAAAAAGTACTCCAATTCGACAAATATCAAAATATTATTAGTCGAGTGGAGGATATGGAAAAAGAAAAGTACAAAACAGAGAAGTCCGTTGCTAAAAATCCAATACCACCTAAGATTACGCCTATTAGAAATTTAAATTTACCCAAAATTTCGCAAGAATCGCTGTTCGAGAAATATCTGGTCGAAAACGACGATATCGGTGAGCATTATAATTAATAAATACATTACGTTCGAATTGTGTCCGAAAATGATATTTTGGTCGAATTACATCTGCGGTCTGTATTTTCGTCCAACATTTTAACGTGGTTTTATATTTGTTTTAAATCCCGAGCGGAGTGTAATGTGATAATTTTTCCATATGCATTTTAAGTTTGCGCTTTGACGAAAATCGGTAAAAAAATCCATTACTTTAAAACGCGTTCGACCTTCGCACTTTGCTCGGAATCTTATTCGGTCCGATTTTTATTAAACTCATTACTGAACTCGTGAAAACGTTCGCGGAACCCTCTCCCCCCCACTATTTCCGAGCTTGTGTATTCTGATGTTCGTCGTTTACATTATCACAACATTAGGTTCTTTACGTGTTGCGTGTACCGATAATTATTATTACCATTTCCGTAAATCCTAAAGTCAATATAAAACGTTTCGTTTTTTTTTTTTTTTTATTTCGCGTACAGACAATAGCGGCGATTATGAAAGATGGTTAGACGAAACCGCGCCGGCGAATAGCACCAATCTAATGGACAACCTGGAAGAAGCCATTAATCTGATTGTAATGTTGGCGTCCAATCCGGATGCGCCTACTAAGGATTTCGACGAAATGCAAGCTATTTCGGTCATACAATTTCTGCGCACAATCAAAACGTCGTCCGGCCAGTACGAGCCGAATAATTCGAGCTTGATGGATTACATTGACAGTAAAGGCGTCGATTTCCATAAAAATTAAGCCCGTTGTACGCGGCAAACGGGACGAACATACTGACGGCACCACGCGAGAGATAACAACATCGAAACTATCGGTTTATTTTGACGGCGATCGGTTTTTAACTACAATGTCGAATTGACTCTGACCGAGTCTACAATACCTATCCGAGACGAATGTATGCTGTTCAAATGCCCGGCCAATCGGGAAGAAATAAAAAAGTTTTTACATGCTAAATGACAATTCGATTTACACGTTAAAAAAAAAAAAAAAAAACAAAAAAACAACAATACGTATCAATATTCTTATAGGGAGTATTCGATTTGATACAATCTGTGTCGGGTTTCTCGGAAAGGAATTTAATTAATTTTTTTTTTTCGTATAGTCAATTTCGTCGCAGAGGCGCTCGCCGTATTTCAGATTATCCAGCATTGTTATCGCAGGGACGGCGGTATAGAATAGGATGTCCGTGTTTTTGTACGGCGTTTGAAAGCGGTGGCGCTCATCGATATTTTTAAAAACGTAATTCCAACATTTCGCCGTTGCTAATCGGATTACTATCGTTGCCGATACACTTTTACTATGTATTACACGGCCGAATTGGCTATTTAAAGTATTAATATTATTTAAAAAGAAAACGAACCCCCGCACGAAGAAAAAAATAATACGCAGCCGTACGATAAAGTTGTAAACGAATTTGCGGAACAAGCAAGACGAACGGATTTTATCCGCGCTTTTTTTTTTTTCTTTCAAGATTCCGCTTGCAGTTAGCGCTTACCCGATACAAAATGATTACGGCACGCCACTGGCGATTTTTCCCGCGGTCGTCGTTATCGCGACATTATCACGATCATTGCTACTCGCAGCGGCATTGAACAGCGAAAATATATTTATTTTTTTTTTTTAATTTTAGGTTCTGATCGGAGCGAGTAATTTATCGGTTTTACAATGATGGTTTTTTGTGAACAACATCTCTACCGATAATTTCGTTCTGATTATCAAGTATACCACGTTTTTCTGAAAGGAAATCTTACTGGGAGGGGTATTTCAGAAAGATCGCTTTTTGATTTTCAACAGTGGCCCAACCACGTGCGATACGCGCGTACTGCGCCGCCGTAATAATATCGTAACACGTACACTCGTTCGGCGCACGTTTGCGCTATCCCGCGCGCGTCGTAACAATGATAACAATGATAACAATAACGCAATATCTTCGTAATAATATTTTGTCGGCCCCGACCCGATAACGCGCCCGGCACCCCGCATTCGCATTCGTTTTCATTTCGGGTTTTTTTTTTTAACAGCATCACTACATGAGCCCGCGGCCGCGTGTTTCGGACTGACGCCGTTAAAAAACCGTACGCGCCGTGATAACAATATTATATTATACACCTATTCGCGTCTTAATGTAATTATTATTATTACGCTGCGTGGTGAGCGGATTTTTTTTTTTTTTTTTTTTGTCCGTATTGAGCACGCTGGAAAATCCATGCGAAAATATTACGTTACGTATAACTATGTCAAGTTATTAAAAACGGAAAAAAAAAAAAAAAAATTTCGTTACTACAAGATTACTGGTACGCGGGCGTCGGACACTAATGAATATACGAAAATATACCGTATTCCGGTGCATTTGTAAACGAGAGTTTCTCTGCGCGGGTGGACACGCAGTCGAGACACGCGGTCACCCAACCAAAGCTAGGGGACGAAATTATTTGCACGGTTTAAATATCGAGTATATGACTTTTTCGACTTTCGAACCGACCGCGTTCACGTTCTTTATAGATTTCAAGTTTTCACGGGAAATAACTGGTTTCAAACACCTCTATAGAGTACTCTTCGACAATACGTCCGTACTGGCATACTAAACAAAAATATAAGATGCGGAGAATATTCGAAAAACGAGAATAAATCCTTTACACGGTCCGCCCAGCGCTGTCACGCGTCCTCCATCGAGGTATCCATCACGTCCGGTTTACCGATTAAAACATTATTTTATCAACTCGGGCTTTGTTCGCGATTTTTTCGGTTGTTAGGAGATTTCAAAATATAAATTTCAGATTTCGAAAATTCGGATTTTTCCCGCCGCTTAATAGGCGCGATAGGAAAAAAAAAAAAACAAAAAAATCGCCTCCGAAATAGATTCTGTTCGAAACGTTCGTTCGCCTTTATGTTCGTGTATGTATTTGTAATAATAATGATACGCCCCACGATTATAGTTTACTTAATCTTGGATTTTTTTTAAAAAAAAAAAAAACGTATACTAACATTGATATTAAATTTAAATGTTTCTTTAATTTCTGTGGTCGTATGAATAGCAGTTCTAGTCTGGGGAACAATCTCGGCGGAGCTATAAATAAATACAACAGAATATAATTTTTCGCATTGTTAGTCTGCGTTATAAAATGCGTTTTGACGATTGTCCGTAAACTTTAGAGGGGTGAGAGGGGTGGAATACGCTACCCGAGCCCCTTCGAAATGCGCGGATTTCGTTTTGTTTTAAACGGCGGCGGGCGTTCCGAATATCCACGGCGATAAAAGTTCACCGCGCCACTGCACCACGGGGTACGCGCGGGAAAATTCGCGTTAACTCGTCGTGACTTTTGCACCGATCGGGTTTTCCGCGTCACCGTGATAAATTATCGTAACGTGTCGCCGTAATATAGTCGGAAGACTATTATTCGTCTTGCGCGGGTGCCGATCAACGAACGGTTCGCTCTCCACTGCGCGTAAAATAATGTCACCCGTCACACGGGAACACGTCGGACCCGGCCGGAATCAATTACGCCCCGCGGCGCGGCCGCGACGACGGGAGGGGAAGGGGCGATGAGGAGGAGGGNGGGGGGGGGGGGGGGGGGGGGGGGGGGGGTTAGGTAGCGGAGCGGAGAGACCGGAGGAGTGGCGGATGGTGTGCACGAACGGCGATCGGATGGAAAAAATGCCTCTGGTCGTCGGCGCGCCGGAAAAGCGCGGTGCTATTTATCGTTGTACTGTTATTGCTGTTATCGTTATCGTTATCGTTATTGGCGCGGCGGCGGCGGCGGCGGTGCGACACTGTTTTCTTCTCGGCGGACGTAAGGGATCGATTCCGAGTCTCGCGCGGTAACAATGAAAAACGAGCGCGCGCCCGGCGAAAATTGTTTGCTCGCGCTCGTCCGCGGCCTGGCCGCCGCTCGAGAACAAACACGATGCGTTTGGCCGGCGGTTTTTTATTTTTTTTTTTCGTATAATTAAACGCGCGCCCGTCGCGTACAACTCTTAACTCGCGACTTTTCCGGTCGCGAAATCGAACGCGCCGCGTCGTAGCCGCCGGTCGAACGAGATGCCGCGTATATTTATACGGGTTCACGTCCGGCGTACAACGCCCGACCGACTTCAAGTCGTCCGCGGGGTTTTCCCCCCTCCCCCCCCCGTTATATAAACTTTTGCGGACCGCCGAAAAATCACCACTGCGCGTCATGGCGATTGTTTTATCGGGGGACCGGCGAAATTTCATCGCGGGATTTCAAGCGCATTCGGCAGTGGCGTAGCCACCTATCCAACGTTCTCCGAAAATCAACACACAGTTTTAAAATCAAAAATTCGCATTAGTAATGTTTCCCATTCAAGCCTTTATATTATTCTATCTGGCCCACCCAGAAAAATATTTCGAGAAACGCCTCTGCCGGCATTCGGTTTATGTTTTATTTTTTTTCATTTTCAATTTTGTAACATCTCTCCTTCAACTTGAAATGAGTATCCACTTTGGGTTTTACAATTTCAACCCCGCCACCTTTCAATCGTAGATCCATTCAAAGAAAAAATAAAGACAAATTATAAATAGCATAGTATGTTAAAAAAAAAAACGGGATAGCAAAATGTTGGCGTTGAAACCGCCCGATAGTTTCTAAAAAATGTTTGTGAGAAACAAAAACACGAACATATTTCGCACGTTGGGTGAGCCACTGTTGTAGGTGAGAAGTTGAGAAGGTGGTTCACGGAGGGAATTAAAATTATAAATGTACGCAACGGTATATCATTGCTAACGAAAAACGATTCGGAGCTAACTTTATTTTATATATGTACGTAAATCTTCCAGTTTTTTCCCGATTATTATGAAAACTGCTTGAAAAATCGAAAAATGATTTCCTAGAAAAAATTTTCTTTCAGAAAAAGTGCGCCACACTTGAAAAATTGGAGTAAAATCGTCGCTATGCTCCAAATCTAAAGTACAATAATAATTTTAACGTTTTACGGCGAAACGACGAATGCATATGTGTTTTTCTAAAAACCAGAGAAATTAACACGGAAATTCGTTAAAATTTAAGAAACTATAAATATAAAGCTATAAGAATCGGTCTTGATCTAAATTTATCTCAACTCAAAGTAGGTGCACTACACAATCAACTTGAAAAGTTAATACTTCAAGTACACAAACAAACTGACTAACCGAAACAATAGTTACTCGTGAAAAAAATCAACTCGTGAATTAACGTCACTAATATCGACGGGACATTTTAACTTACAGCCGGTCAATGCTCAGCCTTGTGGGTATTACTGAAATTGCGGAAGCGGCTCGAGCCGATAATTGCCGGCGAACCGCGGACGATTTATGCATTTAAGTATTTTTTTTTTTTTTTTTTACTGTACGGTTTGAAAATTCGAACGCGACTAAACTCGACGAATCTTAAAGTATGCGCGAGTTATACATGCAAACTAAAAAAAAAAAAAATCATCTCCGCAAACCGACCGTACCGTGAAAGTCGATTTCGTCTCGCAGCCGTGCACTGCGAACGAGTAAAATATAGTATAATTTTTTTTTTTATTTTTAATACGAATTTTTTAATATTATGTTCGATCGTTTAATTCAGTCACGCGAACGGCAGCTGTGTCCTTACGTTATACTGGGTATTTTGAATTTCACGTCACAGTCGAATTTCCCACGAAGTATTTATTTTAAAAAAAAAAAAAAAAAAAAAAAAACGAGATATAATCGACATTTTGGAATCATATATATATATATGTATTCTAAAACAATTTTACAT